ACTGTTTCTCTTTGACGTAACATGTAGCGTACACGTATATCGTCGGTATCAATCATCCGCGCTACCATGACATTATCCAGAACAACCTTGGCCTTAGACCCCAGTACACTCCGTGCACTCCACGACAAAGACCACGTCATCCACGGCAGGTAGTGAGTTTCCCGAAAAACACGTTTTCTCTCGCAAGCATATCAAACTGTTCTGCATGTAAACTTGCTCATAACTCGCGATAACGTCTAGCAACCCACATATGCAGTTGTGTAACAGAACAAGGCGATTACGCGCCGATGCCTTGCGGTCATTCTAAGGTATACACGGCGCGCAACGGCAGCAGCTAACCTGCCGCAACCTACTTACGGCTAACTTGCCAGAACCTCCTAGGTACAATGGCGTATAGCTGGTTGAACGATCGTTCACGGTAAATCCGCGAACACCTCCAGCTTCCATGGACAAGTGGAAAGAAAGTCGAGGCACGGCAGGTAGACCGGGGCCGTCTTTAATGCACGTTCTTTGCCACGTGTTTTGTCGGGTTGCGTTTGCGTGCACATAAGTTGCGTGCAACTCGTGAATATTCATTGGCGAATCGCGTGGATATTAAATATCGGCCTGGCAAATTAGCTGATGCACGAAACGATTCCGATATGATTATTAAAGTGGAAGAAATTTCTTAGGGGCTTCTACCGAGGCAGGCGTATGTTGTTTGTATTTTGTTATAGCTATGGTGTTTTCATGTTTGCATGGCTTACGACAAAGGACAATGGTGTTGAGCTGTATCTACTCGCTCCTCAAGAATGCTACGTGATCGGTTGGTAGCGAGAGCGCTTTATCTTCATTTCGCAAGAATCCATATGGGATAAGATAAGCCGAACGTGTTCCAGGCCTAAGCCCTCTTCTCTTGATTGTTACAACGGGGAATTCGTGCTTAGATCTTTGCACACAAATCGACAAGATCGCTTCTCGGCGCACATATGTTCATACATGTGTTCTATCGAAATCTCGTGATTTTCTTACTCGTCACTTTCTGAATCTACCGTGAAAGCTTTTCATCGCTCTGGCCTATTGTGGCCTCAAAGATATTTGATCTTTTGTATTGCCGTTTACTCCGAAGATAAGGACATTGACTGCAACGATAATAAACATCGATGATAATGCCCCGTCTGTATACTTTGACGAGTCAGTTAATTGTCGGCAGTGAATGACTGTTTGTATCGTTTATCTTTCGGTTATTATTGATTTTCATGAGGGCTAATTCCTGTAGCTCGATGACGAATAAACAAAGTTCGAATTTGAGACTCTTGGATCGTCAGGACAGTTGATACTCCAACTCGAAAGCGTAGTCTGTGCATGAGGGATGTTGTATTGACACTATTTTATCAGACGTAAATCATAATCAGTATCGTCATCCACGTCATAGGGAAAATCAATAGTTTATCGATAAAAATTAAATTTTGAGTTCGATGAACTTTTCGAAAATTAATAATTCCATACACGAGATACGTTTCATCGTTCCGCCACGCAGATAGCTGAATGTATAAGGAATCAGGAAAAGTTTCTAAGGACAACCGGAAGTACTAAGGTACCTGAGGCTCCATACAAATATCTAATTTACGTGACGCACAGATCATTCTTCCCCTCCGCGTCAGTTTATTAACTTCAATCAAGCACTGACAAATTTTCGCCATTTTATTTTTCGGATCTTTACCGCACGAGCAAGGAGCATCTGAGCCAAAGGGAGATTGGAGACATAAAACAACTCTCCGGCAGGACTCTCGTATATCAAAGAAGAAATTTTCTTTGAATTCCAAGAATAAACCTGCTGTAGAGGAATGAAAGAAAAAAAAATGGGGAAAAAATGAGAAAACGTCGCCTCTGTTCGCAGGTGCTTACAGCATAACACTCTATGACTATGGATAAAGCTATTCCGTACTCGCCTCTTGACGTCACTTCCTGTCGAACAATGCCATCGCAATACTAATGATCAATCGCTGCATACCTATGTCCAAAGACGCATGCGATTGTCTTTAGCGGATCGATTTGCCAACGTAAATAGATAGTTCTCCGAAGTGCATGTAACGTGCGTTATACCTACGTGCATGTGCAGTTACGTACTACAGTATCAGCCGTTGAAGCACCAACGCAAATATCGATCTTATGATGCTATAAAGTAATAGATGGTAAATGACCTTGTCAGTTATGCTGTAGAATATTTCTACACTCGTATGGTTCATAGTGGTCATGCATGCTCATTAGGTACGCAGCCCACTGGCAATAGTAAAAGCCAAACATCTCGTATGTATTATAATATATAAAGCTGGAACGATGAGCAATTTTTCGAAAATTTCAAAGAAACATGACGACGTAGCGTCCAAGATGCATCATCGGGACGTTTCAAATAGACTGTCCTGCCGCGAAGTTATAAGACATGTCTGGACGCTAATGGCTGGTTTCACCATTCGTATCTCGAGGCAGCTTTCACCCATGTGGTAAAGCATTGGGACGGGCACGCATGTAAAGGCGTACCCACCGTTTCGTACGCGCTGGCGTTGCGTGATACGTGAACGGAAAGAGGTTCGGAAGTAACTATTTTCTTTCGTAATAACAGGTTGTGGTTCTTTTGAATGATCTTACTTAAAGAGGGAAAAAGATGGAGATGGTAAGAAAGAGAGAGAACGAATTGCAGAGTTTATACGATTATCGCGAATGGAATTCATTGAAGTATTCGTTCCAGTGCACGACTCTGTTAACGATACCGCAAAGCCCACTCCAGAAATTCTTGCCCTCCTTTTCAGTCCACCGGGCGCGCCTTGTCCATTTCAATTTTCATGGGACTACCTCTCGGAAATGTGCTCGCACACTGCCAGCCACGATTCACGTAACGGTTCATTATGGGTTCGGTTTTCTGGCAAGCGGGATGCGGGCGACGATTGTTAAAGCTGAAAAGTCAAATCGATTTGATTTTAGGCCATTTGCGGATAAGCTAGTAAAATATTTAATTCCGATTACAGTCTATATGGGCTTGTGCTTTTGACAAGTCTAAAAACATATAATTTGTGTCGTTATAATACTGAAGTGGTTTTTAAACTTTTTAAATAATTCAAATTAATAATGCCCGGCACGTTTAGTGTGCACATCGATCGAATAAGCTACAACTAATTATACCGGTCGGAATATGAATAATTTGAAAATTCTATTTACCAAAATGTATACCTGACTGAATTTCGACAAATAGAAGCGTCTGCCTTCGCACCGCGCCTATAGCGCACGAAGAAAATTGGCCGGAGGCAAATCGAAAATGTAATCGAAGACCTCGAGAACGGCTGAACTTAAGAGCGCACATCGCCCTGGCTTGTTTGCACGAGAAAAGTGCATCTAACCAGCCAGCACCCTCGTCCGTGTCTTATGTTCGTTCCTCTCGTCGTTTCCTTCCCCGTTGGCCTCCGCACACGATTCTTATCTCTGAGCGCGTCCGCCTTTTTCTTGGGCTTGTAAAAGCGCCCGTTTCAGTCGCCTCGTGCTTCAATGCTCTTACCCGAGCAAACACAAAGAAAGCGAACATTATGCCGGAAGGCCAGCTTCCCATGGCGACAAGATACGGGAAGTTTCGTTGTCCCTGGGATAGAGGAAAAATTCTCTCCGGCCCTTACTTCGGCGTCGTTCCTACCCTTGTGACGTTAAGGCTGAAATATCGTTGGCAAGGGCGAGCGGTTACGATCGCTCGATGATCGGTAATGAGACTCCTGCTGGCAGATTTTAAATTACCTCGTTCGAACCTTCCACTTTTACTATATGTATATACGTATAAGAGACTCGAGGGTTCGTGAACTCAAGGGGATTCCCATGGGCAAGAAAACGTCCTAATCGTTCCTCTTCATCTACTTTACCTTGGCTGTGCATCTTGTCTATGCATTTACGCGTGAATAGTGCCGGTAAATCTCTTTTCTTTATTTTCTTTTTTATTTTCTTCCTTGGAATAAACTTCCTTTATGCGCCTCGCATTAAAGACGTATAAACCTCGTTGAATAATTCCTATCTATTCAATAACCCCGCTAGCGAGTGTACATCTTGTGTATACATAGGTACACCATTCACCTATTACATAGATATACTCTTATCAGTTTTCTTTCACGAGCACTTTTCTCGAATCTCGCCTGCTCCTTTCTGGATGCTCCTAACAGCCAGAAAGATGTTAAGTGAATTTTTCTAAAAGGAAATTGTCTTTCTCGAATTGCCTTGTATCTTCATCAAAATGGAGGTCAATGACTTTTGCTCTCTTTTATTATTATATATCTTTGTACAAGTTTACACGTATAAAATCATTAGATTTCTACGTAAATTCATGGAAAATCCAAGGTAAATTTCCTTTCCTCGTCCTCTCTCTCTCTCTCTCTTAGTCTAATTTCCTCTCGCTCTCGTCATCCAGCCAACAGGGGCTTCCAACAGGGTAGGAAATTAATTAAACCAATAGCTCCTACAGGGATGCTCGATTACATGCGAGTGGGCTTCCGAACGAATATCCCTTGATTCTGTCCGCTCGCAACTCGCTTACTCGACGAGTCGTGCTCCACTTTTCTACCGACGATATCGATGAACGACCGCACGATTCCTCGATACTGTGCAACCTGTATACCCGAGCCGTTACGTGCTCGTTGGCTTCAGCTACGTGCACCGGGTCCGCGCTTAGTTCTGCCACGACGAAATGTGCCGAGGCCTTTCACGCTACTGAATATAGATAAGCGCCTTTTCTTAGAGGAGGGCGCTTTTTTCCCTCCCCTCGTTTCTCATTCCTCAGCCTAAGCAAATATTTACCATTGCCCTCTTTCAATCTTCGCCAAATTCTCTATGTCTCACGTGCAGTGCGCGGGGCAGACTGTTTCTCGACGTGGAATAAAAATCAGGAGAAAAAAATATAAAAGTATCATAGTACATAAATTTACTTTGTATTCCATAATCGGAAGCTTGACTAAATTCTCCTTTATTTTCTCTTTTTTTTTTTTTTTCAGAACGAAAGCTCTTCGTGGGTATGCTCTCGAAGAAGTATGGAGAGAACGACGTTCGGAGTATGTTCGGTGTTTACGGAGCGATCGAGGAGTGCACTGTGCTCAGGGATAATGCCGGGCAGAGTAAAGGTTGCGCCTTCGTCACCTTCGCCAGCAAACAGTACGCCATTAACGCCATCAAGGCCCTTCATCATTCCCAAACGATGGAGGTAAAGTAACTTCCTATGCTCTTCATTATTCTATACTGCTATTACGTATCTAGTCGAATAACTTTGAATTAGCTGTTTTCTTTTTGGTACTACGCGGATTTCTGGCAGCGTTCAAGATCGTACAACGGTAGTGCCGAAAAACCATTTTGGAACGGTTATCCTTATACGTTTGATCACGAGGATGAGTGCAGGGACTCCAGTAGTTGAACGACGTCCTTTGGTACTCGCATCCTGGCGCACATACCCTGACGTGCACACGTACACGGGATATACTCATCTCGCTGTAAAAATAGTGAGGGCCCGAGATTGTAGCGGCGTCGTTAAGCGTCGGCTCGTTTCTTTTCATAGCGAGGCGGCGGTTACACGCTCGGCGGACATTGGCTCGGTGCCACTATCATCCTAAGAGCATCCACACCCTGGCCGAGCCTATTGGTAATACCGATTTAACGTGCAAAACCCGTTCGAAGAAAGAATAGATCTGGAGTGTAGAACCTTCGCGAATCACGTTCATCCGACAGCCATCACGTTTATTCGACAGTCGAATGCTATATCGACGAATGTTCCAATCAGCGATACCAATCGGGAAAACAATTCCGATTTCAAAATCCGCGCCGTTCCCAGCGTCCGATTTTCTTTCCTCGATTTTATCGTCGACCGCGGATACTCTGTTTACAGATAGTGGAGGCACCATCGCGAAACCCGGTTTCCGTGAACGGATAACGGCTCCTTTTCCAGCCACCGCCCGAGTACTGCATCACTATTGCATGCGAAGAAATGGAATAGCGAAGCCGTCTAGGAAACTTTAATCAACTCTTCCTCGCGCATTCTCACCGGCCGCGTTACCTCCTTGCGCTTCGCTATTTGCCATTTGCCATTTGTTCTTTCCATTCTTTACCTCCTTCCGCTTCTCCACGATCCAGTTTTCTCGGCTGGAGTATGCTAGCCTGTTTCCCTCTCTCTCGATCTCTCTCGGTCGTGCAAAATCTGTCCCCGCTGTCTTTCTCGTGGACCGTTGTCTCGCGATTATAAAAATAACCGAACGCCAAGTACCTGAATTTCCTATGATCTTTCAGCGCTTGAACTGTCTACGCTTAGTCGAGAAGCTCTTCGGTACACGTAGAAACGTATAACGTCCCTGTCTCTCCTGGGATCGTTGCAAGTTCACGGTTAGAGAACCATACCGAATGGTATAGCGAGCCTGGAAGTATGCCGCAGCACAGGAGTAACGCCGATTTCATTTTAATATCATGAATATTTCCGGTGCCAGGAGGAACTTCCTCGAAGTTGCCTACCGCGATGAGTTAACCCAGAAGATTGCATTTTCTCTTGCATTTTGTTATCGCGACGTGCACGTTGCTTTTTGTACCCTTCGTGCAATTCGTCTCGGGTGAAAGGTCACTCTCAAGAATTTCGTTATTACGATGAAGTTGAGCATGCATTATTCCGACAGTTGAAGACTGCTGCGCTAACCGTAGATTCCGCTTAAACCTGCAGGGTTGCTCGTCGCCGTTGGTTGTGAAATTTGCGGACACCCAGAAAGAGAAGGACCAAAAGAGGATGCAGCAGATACAAGCGAGTCTCTGGAATATTGCTGGTGTCAATATGACACCGCATTATTTAACAACCGTAAGTATTCGCTATAGCAATACTCGCCGTTCATGTATAGTCATTGCTGAACTTTAAATAATTCATCATCTCTATCGTCAAGCACGAGCAAGATTTCGTATCGTCAAAATTGATTAGGACTGTCTCTATCGATTTTAGAACGACACGCACACCTTGGCGCCGGCCTCGTTGCAGCTTCTACAGCAACTGCAAGCGACGTCGAGTGCCGCGACTCCAGTGGGCGCAAGTGCCGGGGCCAGTGCGCTCTCGAGTGTTCAACATCAGCTGTTGCTCCAGCAACACTTGGGTCTTGGCGCGGCAACGCCAACGCCAGCTGCACCGGCAGCGGTACCCAGTCCGCCAGAGATCAGTCAAGCTAATCTTCAAGGGTTGGCTACGCTCGCATCCCTGAGCAACAGCGCCGGTGAGTATGGTCAGTGTCTCAGAGCTTTTCTTATCATTTCACTTTATTCATCTTTGATCTTCCGTGCATCCTTTCTTCCTCGAAAGATATTCTCTTGGCGGCCTCACAGAGGAATCCGCAATATTTATTTACGTGCAGGGAAGATCTTTAACGAATCGACGGCCGTGGTCTTACAGAGAGACGAAAAATTATTTTTCATTGTATCATAGCTAACGCAGGAGTCTCTCCGATGAGTATGCAGAACCTCGTCACCCTTGCCGCCATGACGGGTGGCAACGGCAACCTTCAGGTTTCTCCCAACAGTGAGTACCGGCCGAATAGGAAATTCTGGTTCTTTGTGGTATCCAATAACGTCATTTATTAAAAAGTGGTACTGTTTAACAAGTTAATTACTCTGCGACAATTATTCGTTAGTGGTTTGCATGCAATGGTGTCGTCGCTTACGCTTTCGTTAAAATTATACTTTTTTTTTTATTTGCACGTTCGGAATAAGAGCGGACGACGATGTCGATTTTTTTTTTTTTTTATTAAGTTTCCTTTAGGATCGCACTAGACACAAGGTATTACTGAGGCATGCTGACCTTGTGAACGTCTGTGTTTCAGCGCTGAGCGGGTTGGCGAATTCGACAGCAGGTATGTCGCTATGTACGTGTCGCATTGCCTGGTACAGTATTAACCATTACTAAATTAAAGTTAACCGATAACCACACGAGGGAGCTTTAACAATTATGACAATTTTACATCCGTTTCGCTTGATCATCGTAATCTGTACGTTTAATGTCTCGGTTTTCCGCCGTCACACTGTGTTATACAGATTTAATGCAATTTCTCTTCCAATTAAAACATCAAGAGCCGAGGACAATCAGATTGCATAGCAGAAACAATACAATGATTGGTGCATACATTGCCGCTCGTTAGTCAAAATTCTACGTGAAACAAAATTTCGTTGATAAGATATTATTAAAAAAAAAAAAAAAAAAAAAAAATTACGTCCACATTTTTTATTATTGCCACGACGATTTTCTTAACGATGCAATTCTTTTCCGTACATAGCCGCCCTTCTTGGAAAGACAGGAAGCACAGGTGAGAACACTTGTCGTACACGCACCATCGCTGTTGCAATTAGCGAATCTCTGATAGCATCACATATTAACATGACTCGAACACTGTACCGGAATCCTCGTTTGGCTTACATTTAGACAGTCTTCCAATCCCAAACGACAACACTACCCTTAGTCGTGCGTAGGTGCTTACTTGCACAACAGTGCACTAATTACTGTATGGAGCAACTCATTATAAATATATCTCAATATATATACTATATACACACACATATATCTATGATGCGCGTCTAATATCACGTTACAGTCGATGCTTCTACCTAACCCTTTGCCACGTAGTCCGTTTCCGTGCTCTAATACGTGTCTAGCCGGCAGCATGCGGCACCGTTGCAAAAGAGCTTACGATCGATCATTTTCATGTGTAATACTAGAACTAATCGAGCGTGCTTGTTCGGAGAATGTGCTTGTATACGACGAACGTTCATCAGTTACGTTCGCGCACTTCCGTAGACCGATTTCTATCCCTGCGGAAGTTCGTTCGGCGTATATGCTGTATAATTAGTCAAAGTACCAGAGGAAAGCCCTGCAGCTTTCAGACAGCAAGAGCATGTCGCATGCGGCTTTACTATTCGCAAGGTTGCCGCTGCATTATCAAAATCGTCACTTTGTGAATCTCGATCGCCGGTCTGACAATTTCAGAGTCGAGCGTTGATCGATGATTCGTTTATTAATCGTACGTATTATCAATAGCCTTGTGCTCTTTCAGGGTCAACGGGTGGAAGTCTTAGTCCTGTTGCGTCGCTGGCGCTGAACTCCTTGACAGGGGCACCTTTAAATGGACTTCAGGACTCCTTGAACAACGCCTATTCCAGCTTGCAGCAGTATGCAGGTGATTATACATTGCCATGATTATGGAGTTTTTAGTTAGTCGTGGAGGGACGCGATTAGGCTAGAGTAAATGTAATAAAGAAGAAACCTTTGACAAGTTCACTTTCTAACAAGTACCTGTGCGCATTAAAGCTCTCATTGGAAAGACGACGGTGACCGTGGAAAAGAAAGAGTTGCATAGTGAGTAACACGAGCGTAACCTGCCTGCATAGTCGTATTTCCGCATCCGTATCCATATCCATTGTCCATGTCCATGTATGTCTCTACTACCCGTATAACTAGAGTCGGCAGAGGTATGCCGGGCGATAGCGTTACGTTTTACCGACAACGTCAAAGATCCTGAATTTCTAAAACGTATACTCTTCCGCTTACAGGGTTTCCGACGTTCACGGGCGCAAGCGCGGCAGCGGCTGCCGCAGCCGCGGCGGCGGCCGCGGCGCAAAACACCAGTACGGGTCCAGCGGGAAAGCAGATTGAAGGTCCCGAAGGTGGTAACCTCTTCATCTACCATCTTCCGCAAGAGTTTAGCGACACGGATCTTGCTTCTACCTTTTTACCCTTTGGTAACGTCGTTTCCGCCAAAGTCTTTATCGACAAACAGACAAAAATGAGCAAGTGTTTCGGTAAGTCATCCTACCATGATAATTTATAATTTCTCTGTACAAGTACCTACTGTCGATATGGATAATACTTTTTTTTTTTCCCCGATGCTCACAGGTTTCGTCTCCTACGATAATGCAGCGAGTGCACAAGCAGCTATCCAGGCGATGAACGGTTTTCAAATAGGCACCAAACGATTGAAGGTCCAATTGAAACGATCTAAGGAAGCATCCCGACCATACTAGCCGATATCAAGGATCGTTCGTAGGTACTACACTACCAAGGACTAACCGGGATTATTGACTGCTTAGAGATTTAGGCGACTTTACCTAGTCACTGTACATAATAGATATGTAGAGGCTGCGATCATCTCGATGATCGCACGGTAATGTGATACTGGTTGGATCATTCTAACTTTGAAAAGTATTACGTCAAACCCATTTCCGTTTAATCAGTGCTAAGGTGACGCTTACTGGAGCCTCTTCAATGGAACGCTCTCTAGTCGATCAGTATTTCTTCTTTGCATGAGATTCAAGATAACGTAAGCTTTTACATGAAACAATCAAAAGGATATATACGAAAGTAGATGAAAAAAAAAAAAAAAAAAAATTTTTTGAAAAAAAAAAATACACAACACGTGCCCATTTATTTTCCGTACTGCGATCCTTGTCCAACGTCAAGATATTTAGATCCTACAAAAATGTCCATCCCTTGGTATAATGATGCCATTAGTGTCATTTCAAAATGGCTGCGTCCCCTCAAAAAAAAAAAAAAAAAAATTTATCTTGACAAATAGAACCTAGTCGCACTTTTAGCGTTGCTGTGATATTTCGGATTTTATCGATGCGAGTGGATTGTGCCAGGTATACAAAAATGTCGACCAATTAACGCGATAGAGTCTTATGAACTGGACCAATCCGTACTCACTCGTTAAGCCGAGAAGACAATGACTTATTTAGAAAAGTATTATTCGCTACTGCTCGCTCCGCCTAACGATCCATCACTCTTTCTTCCTAGCAAATCAAACTATTTTTTTTTTTCATATCTATTTCTCGTTCTGTTATAACTGTATGTCGTAGTTACGTGTTATCACTTAACGCTCTTAAAGTATTCCTTGGGAGGGTCGAGGGGGTTTGGGGGGGGTGGAATACGACACGTTACTCAACTTAGAGATCTTTTTCGCACGCGGAGTCGTGCTCATTTACCATGCACGTGAACCTTTCGATGCCCGATACGGAAACACCATTCCTCCCAACATTTCGCGATATCGTACGGCATCCGTGCGTTCTAACTCTGTTTCGTGCTTTCAGTGTTACTTCGTTGCCCGAGTTAAACGAGCGCCACGCTGCCGTGTGTTTAATTATTCCATCCCTTTTTTTTTTTTAGATATGTATATACATACATGTACAGGGTGATTGTGAAGTCTCTTCCCACATTTGAAATCGAATATCTTGGAACAGAGTGAATTATGATCGGCAAGATTATTTTGGAAATCTGATGAAACATAGTTGAAACCATAAACTTTTTGATAATGTCTATGTTTGGTTGATCTTGGAATACACCGTTCGAAGGCCTTCGTTTTTTATAGCGAGACGATACTTTATAGTTACCCTGTACTTCAGTACAAATCTTGCAAGACTGTGCAACGTGTTTCACGTGATAATCATTAGGTTCATAGTTTAACGGCGCTGCCGAAGCTTTTACTAGTTAGAACTAACATCGCCGTGTGTTTGGAGGGTTGGTGCCGGCCGACGGGCAAACGGGGCTAAACGGCTCGCCTTTAGTATTACCTGAGAAATTGATCTGTGATAACAAAGTAACGAATATTTGCTCTCTGAAATAAAGCGAAGACGGTGACAATCGTAAATATACAGCCAATGGGAAATAAGCTTTAAAGATGAGTGTTCGATCGCGACCAGTGGCGAACCGTGGGCCGACGTGTGCGCGGTCAACGAGGATCGAATGATTCAAGGGTTGTAAAAGAGATTTTTATAGGTAAAATGAAGAGCTAGCAGAAAGGTAGATGGCGTCGATAGCAGAGACAGTGGAAGTCGTGATCCTCGTTGCTTCCGTTTAAAAAAAAAAAAAAATGGCGGAACGGCAAGGCGCCCAGGAGAGCATCCCTTAGCGCGCCATGTTTTTCGACGGTGCGCGCTCAGGGTTGCTACGAGAGTGGTATTTATTCGGTGTGGTGGTGACTAACCTGTCCGTGTGTTTGTTTGTGTGCCAGCAGGTGGCCTGTGACGTTGTGACCGTGTACTCTCGACCGGAGTCGCCGTACCATGTCTGTCTCAGTCAGTCACGATTCAATCTCTCGATCAGTCTCTGTGTTTGTCGGTGCCTATACGACTCTATAATTTTAATCACAACACCTTCCTCAGATCTTTCCTTGGCATCCACTTCAATGCTCCGAATTTACCTCTAAAAAACATCACCGGACTCGACTTCGTTCCACTTCATCCCACCACCAAGTTCCAGCCAAACCACCTCGCCAATGAACCTTCTACTTCAACAACCATTTTGAAGTCTCACGGTGTTCTATATTATATGGATTAGTACGAGATCCAGGATGGATCTCTATTGATCTACGGATCGCATTATCGTACGTGGAACGGGTCGGGAATCCGTGACCGCGAAAAGTTGGGGTGCAAGTGCGCGAGTAACAAGTATCTTCGGATCGGAGAAAGGTAACGAAAACAGGATCAGATCGGTCGATCGAGTAGAGGAACGCAACGTCAAAAAATAGTAGGGACTAAAAAAACGAAATGCGTGGCTATTTTTTTGCCAGATGCGATTAGCTTTGATCGACGCCACCTTTATTCCCGTATGTACATATGTGTGTTTGTTCGTATGTATATATACGTATGACTGCATACGTATCCTACGTATATCTATATACACGGGTACGCGTCGTGACGTACGCGTGTATACACATATGTGTACCTGTGCACAGTGGGCGTAAAATCGCTATCGCCATAGAGAATATTAAAAATATATTGATTATACGAAAGAAGCAAGATAGCATATATTATTATATAAAATTAGATATATTAAACGTTGACTGAAAATTATTTTTATTGGATAATTATCGGAATCGGGGGATGAACCGGGTGGAGGTTTAATCCCCCTACGTGACTCGGCAATGCTCGTCGTTCGTTACGCAATATGTCGTCGTCGTGGCCGCGATCGTCGTGATCGTCGTGCGCGTTTACAGCCAGCGCGCCAGATATAAAATTCATTCACCTGTATAAACGACAATTTATTATCTGAAGTTCTTGGAAATATAGTGAAAAAAAATGAAGAGAAAAAAAAGAGAAAAACTAAGCAAGATGAACAAGAGGTATAAGAGACACTTTGTATAAAAGACTTTGTATAAGATTGTATAATACAATCGGGATTATAGGATCGCGTAAACGTTTAGGCGTGCGTACGCGTATGCGTCCGTCACTTGTATCGTTAGTTGGACTCCATTGTTTGCACGGCATGTCGGATGCCTTACGTGGTGAACATCGCAAGTCACATGATCTCTAATTTTGGCCGCAGCTACGAATAAACGCGTGTAAGTTATCATCCCAATCAAGTAAAAAAAAAAAGGAACCAGACATACGCGATCCCACGAAAATATCCCTAGATCCGAAACTAATTCAATCACGAAGCGAGAAATCACTGTCGCTCGACGCTACCCTCGTCCAAAGTCTTTCCTTTTACTTTTTCAATTTCCCTTTACAATTTTCTCACGCAGTATTTTCCATTCTCTCCAACAAACTTTCTTTTAGTTTCTCCGAAAAATTGCTGGTCCTCTCCGTGTCCAATTACTTTTTCCCAGATATACATTTTCATCAGCAACGTTTAATTCCCTTTGCGCCAAATCATCTTTAAAAATTTTGCCTCGCCACACCCTGACTTATTCTCACTGTTGGACGATTCCGCGGAGTCGCAGTCGTGGTCAACGTCGTCGTCGCCGTCGTCCAGCCTGAACGACGTCGAGTACGCGAGGGGCGAGGAGCGATTGAAGAAATCTGACAAATCTGTCGCATGCGCAACCATCTCCTTACTTCAACAACCTTTTGATACCTTGCTTTTAACCTCTGGTGATTATCCGGCTGTCACTTGTGCCGGTGCAGATGGATAGACGCTCGGTAGCACTTAATAATTTTTCTTTTTCTTTTTTCTTTTTGTTCAACTTAAATCGCTATCACCGTACGTCGATACGCACTTTTACGTTACTCCCATTTTTCTCTCGTCACCGTGTATATGTATATATATATATATATACATATATATATATATGCATATTGTATCAGACCAAATCACGGGGGATACCGCTCCGACAGAGGAATCATAGGGATTTTATTATACGTATGTCGGTCGCATAATGTTTTGTTTTTACAGTGGAGAATGTAATTATTTTTGTTTTTCTTTTGAACATCAGTCAAACTGTTTTAGTAAAATTGTAACGCTCTAGTACCCTAAGGGATTTCTGTTTAAGCGGTTACCACCGTATCTTCGGCTGGCCAAGCCGATAGAAGCTCCGAGCAAGATACCAAAGACGTGTCTTACGTTGATTAACCGATGTACTTACTTGCAAAGCTGACTAAGAATGACTAATTAACACGTTAAACCAATTGACTAACTCATGGATATCGAGCACACGATGGAAAAGAAAAAAAAATAGGAACCTAGTCATAACTATCGTTATATCATTGACGTCGTAATCGTCATCGTCATCGTCATCGTCTCATTGCCGCCGTCGTCTGCCGTTTTCGTCATCGTGATGGTCATCGTCGTCTTCGTCGTCGTCGTCAATCGTCATCGTGATCGTCGATTCGGATCATCGTCACCGGCATGAACGTCACTATTGTTACTGCTAATACTTTTGTATTACCGCTCTTATTATTACCATTAACGCGCTACTGCTAATGCTGTTGTTACTATTATTCATTATTAATATTATTACTGTCATTACTGTTGTATGTGACTGTTACTACGATGATGATCAGAAGTATTGCCGTTATCGTTATTACATGCTAGATCGCTTGGTCATCATTACCATAGACTGTGTCCTATCTTTGAGCCAATCTTAGTCACGAATGGTCAAACAGCACTTTGACTATACTAATAACGTCGAATGACAGTACTGGCCAAATCGATCATTGCCATTAGCGAAAATCATTCACTCTTCATTTTATTACAAGCCATCAGGCACTCATCAGTCAAAGGTCATATTCGATATGGTTTATGGTAATGACGGGCATTTGTAAGATCCGCACGAGCGTATTTCTTTCGAGATCGTTCAATAGAGATACATAAAAATGTACTTACATGTCAAATGTGCGGCGATCGATAGACTTGCTTTCTTTGTTCAATCCAAATTTGCCATTATTTTTTTCTACTCTTTTACGTAAAGAATGTCTAATGTATTCATCGACGTAAAGTCGCGCGAAACATTTCGATTCTGAGACAAACAGAGTGCGTGGAAAAAAAAGAAATATGAAAAACTCGTGCGATAAACTCGGAATACTCTCGTGCCATTAATTGAGCGATCGATTGCTTATGTTTCGACATTAGACGACATTTCGCGATCCAGTGCGATACGATGCGATACGACGCGTACATAAGGTTATTATTCAATGGTGTTGAATTATCGTTACCAATCGTTGAATGTTCGTAAATTGTAATGGTTTACGTTGACGAGCGGATAAGGAGCTAGTTTTATAGAGTGTACGTCGCAGAAATCTAAGTTTAATTAGTTTATATTGGGATGGCATGATGGCGCGATTGCATGGGGTTCGCTCTCCTACGTCATATCCGGGAGCACGAGCACGTGTTTCTTATCACGCCGGTACAATCTTGATCGCGACCCGTCGCCATTATCACCACTGACCCTTCCCATCCCATCCCCCTCTCTCCCCAATTTATTATCATCATTGCCGGCATTATTATCTATCGTTAATTCTTCTATTACTTGTATCGATCATTGTCACTAATATCGTCACTACCACCATGCCCCCCCAAATCTTATTATTATTTTTACCGTCGCTATAGGTATATTTGATAGTGCTAATATTACTACTACACGCTACGGTTACGAGTACTATTATATATATATACACATATATTATTATGTTATTACTATTATCACGAACGTCAAATTCTTATTATCGTTTACAGCTAAAAGTTATTTGTTTTATTCTTCGTTTTGTAGACATGTTTATTTTTTTTTTTTCCTCCCATTTGACGCTTAGTACGTCCGTTATTAAGACGACACGCTGGGATTATGTCATGCGCGCGCACGTGCGTAGAACGTCACTTGAAAGAGCGTACGGAGTGTCATGTAACGAGAGATACACGTTTCTATCTCTTCTTTTCTTCGTTGAACCACGTTCTTACATTTTTCTTATGTCCGTCTGTTATTCATACGCAATCTTTTTCTCGCGACGTGAAACGAGAACCGACGCCAGTTATTGTAGAGAATAAATGAAACCAAAGGTGTAGACAAGAAATCAAAAATGGAGAGCGCAACTTCTCCTCGCGAGATAAAGGAATCTAGTATTTAAGATGCGCTCTGTCATCCCCCGTGACGTATTAAAATTATACGCCGATCAAATATTGTTCGACGACACGTCTCGCGGTGGGGCGATCGAAAATTGCGACTGGGTAGCCCGGTACCGGAAGTTTCTTCGTTTGACGACGAATACTCTCCGGTCCTTCGTTATCGCTGACTTTAGCAATCACGGCATATCCCACCGTGCCATTTTTACGCAAGAGAACCGAGAGGTCGACGGATTGCAGTGCTGTTACTTCTTAATGTAGCATTATACGCGATTCCACCTTTTTTTTATGGCTGGAACACTTTTGGGCATTAAGGCATCCCCTATTACGCGTACTCCCCTTTGACTGGTATGCGATAAGAATTTTGGATCGAGGAATTTTCATTTTTATCAAAGGGGTCATTTTTCTTTTTAAAGCGAATCGCAATGCCACGTCTTCTCGGTATGATAAACTCGGTCAGTATGAGACGTATGTCAGATATCAATATATTTATTTTGTTGGCTTATTTTTTATTACTTATTTTTTTTATCCCTCTTCCCCCACTTTCCCCGTCCCGATACAACTTACGGAACGGACCTTCTAGTCCATATTATTTCGACGTACCTACCATTGCTAGTTCAGTGCTATAATTTTTCTATAACTAATATAACCGTTGCTGGAGTCAATATACGTCAGAACGTCGAGAGATTGTAAGATTCTCGTGCCAGGAAACATTAAATGGAAACGGACATGGAAGCTTGAGATATCTTAGCCAATGAGCTTTTTCAAGATTCTTCACCGGCAATCACGTGAGGTTCGTGTAACTTTTTTGTTTGCCCGACAAGGTAAACTGATCTCCACCTTTCCCGTTACATAATAATTAGTATCCGCGCATATCTTACGATGGACACATACCGTATGTAGGCTGTATCACCTATGTTTTAAGAGTATTTTTCTGTACGTAATAAATTAGTAATTGCTACAGCCCGAGTCACTTTGTGCTCTAGCCGCATACATGTATACACGTACGCTACAATTGATATATTTATATCGATAGAGACGCGCACATTCTCTGTGAGCAGGGACACACGTGCTTTTCCACGTGATGGTGTTGGAACGTGAAAGCGATTGATGGCTTTGATTCACGGATTGCTTTGTATCTAAGGTTTGTAAGCTGTTATTACTTTACTGTGAGCTATTTGAGATTTTGCGATTCGGAGGAGTCAAAAATCTAATTGGGTCAACCGTTTTTCCTATGCACTCGATTTTCTGGTAATATATCATTGTACACTTTTGAAACTTTATACATCACGGAGTCAAACGAAATCGAATGGGGAAAGAACTTTTGAAAAATTATATAACAGCATTTGTATAAAATTTCACGGAGATTCATGTAAAAGCGGGGTGTTTATTATGTCAATAAATGAACATTTTTACACTGTCATTGAGAACTGTGTACAAATTGGATATGGAAATTTTGAAATTCTATAGATATCAGTATACTTATGTGTAAATCTGCTGTCATCACGGGAACGATGTATTTATATAGTCGTGTGGTAAAATAGTTTTCCTCGCTGCGCGTATTCGATCATTTTGAGACTTTCGAATCGCATATGAATGTCTATTACTTCGAGGGTGTAATACGTTCCGTTGTCACGAGACTTAAGTTCGACCGGTATTCGGGTAATTATTGTGTACGTATATTGAGAAGAAATCGTGAGATCAAGACGAGAATTTTCATTCGGGCGAGGTCACAGTTCATCGTCAAAGAGACGTCGTATTGAAATTGGCGTCAGGCTCGTAAGGGAAGCAAATCACCGAATTTCAGCACCCAGTGCATTGTCTTGGCGTCGTAAGTTGAATACAGTGACATGCAATTTAAGTACTCACATTGACATAGTAATGTAACGATTTATCGCATAGCGTACGTTTATCACAACTAAGAGTCACTGTGTCTAAATAGTAACGATTTAGATTTTATATATTGCGTGCGAGAGTATAGACGTGTGAAAAAAAGTGTGTGTGAGCGCACCGCGCTGTAGTTAGGCTGGCAAGTTAATAAATCGTATTTTGGAATTAAATTTGGTCTCGAGTTTATTACGTCTATACGAGTGTAACACTCCAGATTTATTTTTTCTATATGTTGAGGGATAAAGGTAAAAAATATATATTTGGAACAAAACTTCTTTTTATACTGATGAAGGTAAGTTTTACTTCTTCTAATTGGATTCTCTTGCGTGTTTAAAGACAAATAGGAAAAGTACATCATTTACACAAGGAACTTTTACTTTTTTATAAATCTCGAGGATGAGCGACAGAGAATAAATTATATGTACAATAAAACGGATTTTGGAATAACTTTGCAGAATTCCAATTGCATTCGCTTCGTGTGGGATGATAATTTTGAAAAATTGACAAGTTAAAATCTTCCGACTCGTCACTTATACGTACGTGAATAAAACTTATGTATATTTGACAATTGCATTCCTTTGGTATTCTTGGAATTGAATATATGTATACTCATGAGATTCAAAAGCTAATTAAGCTAAGTTTTGCGTGGAACGCTCCCCCCACTCGCAGAGTCCTGCGCAACGAATTTGCGCGGACACAATTTTGGACAACTTCCAGTACTTCTAAATATTCTTGGACAGAATTTCTGATTTCTAAGTGTTAATATCTAACTTTATTGATTTAATGAATTATTTTAATATTCCAAACACAAATTTCAATTCAATTTTTATCTACTCGGTATATTTTGCGAGATTTTATATTTTGAATAAATTTGCGACGTAAATCAAGATCCAATAATATTTTGTAGTTTTGGGAAACCTTTATTGAATATTTCAAATTTTCAATCCCTCTGTGCAACTAATTTTTTTTCTTTTCTTCTCTTCCTTTTTCTTCTTGTTCCTTTTTGGCTTTATGACCTCGTAGACGGTTAAGTGCCAGGAAATCAGTTGTCACTACCGGGCTTCTGTACGAATGCTTTCGTCCTCATGCATCCGAATCATTATCTAACATTCAATAAATAGAGAAATTACGTTCTCAGCCATGGTAGAATGAGACAAGGTATATTCAGTTCATGGACACATTTTCGACCACTTCTGCGCAGCCCGAAGATTCCGCCATTTTTCAGTGTTCTATGTTTATATCGTGATATGTGTAACATCCCATAACCCCTCATAATCTAATCCTGAGCGTATGCGAAATGTATGCTGAGATTTGTATTGTGCATAATAATGGCAACAATTTCAATAACAATGCCGTCGTGTGCAGTGAAAAGTTGCAATAATAGAACGGAGAATAAAAAAAGTGTGATTCCTGATCTCCGAAATTTTAATTTTAAATTGGTAGAGCTAAGAAATAAAAATAGACGGAAAAATAATGATAAAATAAGTAATACTAAATATAATTATACAAAATCCTAAAAATATGTTTAAATATATCCTGTTCCCTCCGAAGTTTATTATTATTTCCCGAGTTGCTCATACTAATCTAAAGCATTTATTATTTTTCACAATGTATATTTTTTTCATTCTGTGACAATTCATTGTTTATTTTCTTAAAATACATTATTTATTTGTGAATCGACATAGAGTATCACTTTTTAATGAAACATGCTGTATTTAGTTGTAATAGGAAAGGACTCGCGGTGAATATTTAAATAATTTAATTATTCACATAATTTAAATATAACCATAATTATAAATTTACTATTTATTTCACTTTTCAGGGCTCTATAAAATATTCAGAGGGATGAAATTAATTTTAATTAGAAATAATATTTGTTACGGCAATTTTCAACAGTTAAAACTCTGCGCCTTGTTTCAAATTACGCGGCAACAATGGTGGAATCTTCGGGCAGCAGCTCATTGGTTCTCTGCGACGTAGATCGTCTTGCTTCTAAATATTTTTCTTCTATGTTGGAGATCATGTTCGAAAATATCCGAAGGTTGCCGAAACTAGCCGAAAGTTATCACCTATATTTCGCAGCGCGTTTAACGTCAGTTTTACTGTTGCTGGTGATTACTGGCGCTATTCTGATTTTGTGAGTAGTTGCTGCTCAGGTCGAGTAATTGTGTAGTTCAACAACGAAAATATGGCGAGTGCGTTAGGTGCAGTAGGTTGGGAAGGTATATTTTTCCACGTCAAACTATTCTCTGAGAAACAGTCGGAAATTTGATCTATAGTGAAGTGAATAAGCGCTATTTTTCCTACTAAATTATGCGTTCATTCATTAAATAATATAAGTTTTATTATAACACTTTTATTATTAGAATATGATGGTGTTTAAATACGAACGTAGATACAGATAATTTTATGTACACGTTGAGACATCCACGAATTTGACAAACTGATGATACTTTTGTTCCGTCATTTTATTTTGTTTCGATTATTCCGATTGTTAACACTATGTTTCCAAAACATGTATTCTAGATTATAATGTTCTGAATAGTGTCAAAAAATATAACTCACTCTGACTCTGTATTAACAAGTTTTAACGGTTGGTAACCTTTAAATTAACTGATGCTGCAGACTTGAGAAAGCAGGCAAGACATTTGGAAAATGAAATCGATGCAAAGCTCGTAGCTTTCAGTAAGTTGGGTGTAAACACTGGTCAAGGTCATGCTAGTTCAGAAACAGTACCTCTCTTGGACGAGGAACATGTCTTTGAAAATATGGCTTCAGAAATTGAGGCTTTACTTGCTAAAGTAAGCAAACTTTATCTATACTCTGTTAGAAGTACAGTGAATACGTTTCGATTTATTTATATTTATTGCAGCTTACAACGATAAATGATGGTATGAGTGAAGTAAAACCAAGTGGAGCAGCCATGCTACACACGATGCAACGTCATAGAGAAATACTGAAAGATTACAAGCTTGAGTTTAACAAGACACAAAATAACTTCACAGCTAGAAAAGACAGAGAGGACCTTTTGGGCAGTGTTCGCAAGGAAATTGAGTATGAGGAAGCATAGCTCTGTTTAAAATTTTTAAAAACTACTTAATATAACTTCACAGATGGTAACTTACTACATATCTTCTTTTTTCTCTGAATTATAGTAGCTACAAGAGTGCCAGTGGCCTAAACAGAAGAGACATGTATTTAAAGGAAAGTCAGCATATTCACAAGTAAGAAAACAAAATTTACATTCTATGATTCATTTAATAATAAAATTATTAATCTCAAATATTATTTGTTCACAGTTCCGATCGTCTGATCAATGACCAGATAAGCATAGCCGTAGAAACAAGAGATCATCTTATGTCACAACGTCAAGCATTTAAGAGAATTCAGACGCGTTTTAATGACATATCGAACAGATTTCCAGCAGTAAACAGTCTACTGCAAAGGATAAACTTACGAAAGCGAAGAGATTCTTTGATAATCGGCCTTCTCGTCGGATTTTGCACGTTTCTCTTGTTGCTGTACGCTTTCCATTAATATTTCATATTCAATTTGAATGCTGTCAGCATAAACAAACTTTTCTGAAGAAAGTGCCCAGTTACTTTCAGTTATACTAAAAACCAAGGCAGGCGCAAAGTGATTGATATAGAGATATAAATCACACAATGAGTAAGCGTACATAGGACTGGCACAGGGGAACAGAAATCATACGTACAGATATTTAGATAAAGTGAATGATTATTCCCGTTTCTTCTTTTTTCTCTTTAATTTTGTAAAATTGTATTATAGAAAATCGGAAGGATATATATATACCTGGAGCATTGATGACCCAGCAGTGACCGATTATTTTAATAAATATAAACTACAATGACTGAAGGCATTTCTTTAATTCTTGTCCCATTGGTCGTATCTCCAGTTTACACAGGATACAGAGGTTGAATGCGCGTACACGCACATGTATTTTTGACTCCAGTTTCACACAGGGCTTATCTGATCTTACATTTTAACAGAAATTTCACATAGCATAGCGCGCGTACATGTAGTATATACAGGTCATTCGAATGAAGCGCACTAAATGAAATTTTCATGATTTCTATGATGAAACCAACTTCTTGCGATATAGTGCCTCTTGAACGACCCTATATGTAACATGACGAACGCATTGGCCCAAATCATTACAGCTCTTTAGAGCATGATCGACAATACCACTTTTGAAATTCGTATAAATTCAGGCCGTAAGATTGAATGTCCTCCTAGCACATTCCATCTTTTACTTTTATTTTCAAGTAAGATTTCCTCAAAATGGTATCGAGAATAGAATTAGTAATACGTCATTCTATTTAAACAGATATGTTCTAAGAGTCCTGTTTTGCCACCAAACTCTTGAGTCACACACACATTAAACAAAGAAATAAGTTTCGCAAAAGTAAGAAAATCCTAAAAATTTCGTTTCGTGCAATAACAACTTAATAAAGGTAGGACAAATAAAGAATATCGTTCGAATCGTATTTCTCTTCTTCCTTCTTCCTCCTCGTCAGTTTAATCTTCTTTTCTCTTATCAAAACAAAAGCAAATTTTTTTAAGTTTCAAACGATATCTCTGCCTGCAGTACATAAAACACGATTATCGTGGAAGAAAAATGATCGTGAAAAAATAATGAGGATGCTTCGTCGAATAATAACATAAAATCCTTCGCGCTCGATAGATACTCTTCGAATACTCGGCACAAACGAACAAACATCTATTCAATATACACACGAGGAGCGTATGACTACTATACTTAATGCTTTGTCGAATATAAATATATCATGTGTGTCAGGCGAGTCTATGTTCTATATGTTAATATTAATAGTAATCGAAGCAGCAGCATCCCCGAGGATCAATAAATTTGATGCTTCTAAAAAATTAAATAAGACAATAAATCGAAGGATTTCCAACATCCAATTTAGTCTCGATTTAACTTTAGGTAGCATTGATGACATGATCCTCGACAATGATAGTGATAGTAGTAATGTATTAGTTAATCATAGTAACAGTAGTATATAATAGTAATGGTGGTAGTAGTAGTAGTAGTAGTAGTATAGTTTTGTAGCAGTAATTAGCAGCAGAAATAGTAGTAGTAATAGCGATGATAGTAGTGGTGGTGACAGCAGTAGCGTTAGAAGTAATATAGTACTAGAATGGTAGAAGCCTATGATAGTTGTAACAACAGTCATTAATAGTCGGAAGGTCCACCTGACAGATCATCGAAGAAGCCACGAATGAAATATATTCATAGCCCACGTTAATTTCTAAATAGTTTTGCATACGTCTCTCTCTCTCTCTCTCTCTCTCTTCTAATATCTTCAGTCGTACTGATCAAAGGATTCATGTCCTTCGCGCCTCCTTAAGGTATTACTATCTAAAATTCTTTAATTTCGATACCAACATAGACACAATACATCGTATCGTCAAGTTCATCTGCATCCTAGAATTTCTTACTGTTTATCCTTTTCTCCCTCTATGCACGATTGATCTACAGTGCGTAACGAGGAAAGAGGGATGTAGGTTGGCGCCTCACGTATTACATTTATGTTTCGTACATTGCACGCGAGACAATCATTAAAAAGAAGCCACTCTCGACTTTTAATAGTTTGAAACTCGCATCGATAGTCATTTAAATTAAATTAAATTAATTTATTGAACGATCTCTGGCAAATAAGTCTTATCGTTAAATATATAGGGTGGTTTTCTAATGTTGGACAAACTTATAGCATTCGAAAGATCGTACTAGCGACGATTTGAGACTAAATTCAAAGTAATGACCGGTTGGACTTGTGTTTCATTTACGTCTAGCTGTATCGAAGGGTCGTCGTTTGGCAGGGCGTATAAACGCGATTATATATATATAATTATATATATATAAAGAAAACAAGTAAACGACGTCACACGGCAATCACTACGTTATAATCGTCCCTTAAGTTTCTTTTCCTATCTGCCGTTTCTTGTTCCTCTTGATAGATCACGCTCTTCGGACATTCTCGTCCCCTGCCCGTGACTTCCTTAACGAGAATGTGCACCAGCTTACGACATCGTAATGCCATTATCGGTGATTTTTTACGAATTCACAAGGTCGACGAGTTACGTTCACACACTTAGGCATGCTCTCTTCTTCTCTTTCCTTCTCTCGTCTCATTCTCTACCGTGGGCGTAATTGTAATAGTAGACGGAGATACAAGTGTAAACGACGAACAAGTGGCGAAGCTTTGACCTATAGTTCTCCTGGTCGTACGTCCACACCTTCTCGCGCTACGTGTCTTGGTCCTTCCTTACCTAAGATAAGTAAAGTGTCGTTGAAGAACATAGAATAAACAGGGTAAAGACTGCTAAATTAATTATTTGTATTGGCGTACCTCCAAGACTATCGTTCTTTCAGAATGTTTGCTCCTCGGTCTTTTCAGCGTCGGCGGAGAGAGCTTGACGCAACGCCTCCATGCAAGTCTTGGGTATCAAGGTGCCGACGATTTTGAGGCCTTCGTCTGCAATAATCAAAAGGGAATAATACCATCGAGGTGGTTAGGTTAGGAATTCTGAACATTTTTTTTTAACGTTGTGAGGAAGGTAGATAGATGGGGGTAGAATTATAAAAGAAAGCGTGTAAATGCACAGGGGAAAGGCTCACCAGTTCGCAGACGAACAACCTGCATCTTGGAGTTGTGTCCAGAGCGTGCTGCAAGGACGTTCTCTACGCGACTCCAGACACTCAAAACAGAACCGGCAAGGACGTTGTAAGAACGACGACGTAGACCAACCTCACAGTCCATACCTAGCGTAGCATTTTTGCAATTGCCACGCCAGTAAGCGTGCGAACACGTGTCAACCGATGACTCGTATTGCTGCGTCCAGTGAGGCTCGGCTTCCTCAGAGGTCACTTTTTTGTACTTCTTCTCAAGTTCACCAAGGGTTTCCTGTCGCAGCTGTAAACCCGTGTTCGGCCTATAAACCATGTACAGTTGATCCTTTTTACCCTCGGCTTTCTTCTTCCCACCATCAACGGCGACCGCGAGAATAGCAGTTTGCTTGCCATTACGAATCTGATGACTCAGGTAGAAACCTTCTTTGGATCCGGCTAATTCTGACCATCTGTCCATCGCTTCTGACCAGCTCATACCTCTCTCGACGTGCACCACGTGCAATTCCGTCGGAGCTATTCCTGTCGCATGTTTTCGCAGAAATCGATAGAGCCTCACTCTTCGAACATTCTCTCCAGATGTACCCAGGTCCAAGATACCCATGTCGAAGCGTCCCATCTTCTTGGCTTGAGTGACAATCGCATTCAACGTGTCCGTGAAGTATTTGAATAAACGATTCTGTAGATCAACGGGCATCCCAAGGATCCGATTAAGGAATTTGGACATGTTATTGTAATCCTTGTCTAGTGTCAGAACACCTGGCATGTTCTCGCTATTACATATCAGGCCTACGCCCACCAGTGCGTCTGCTACGTCCTTGAAGAAGTCGCCACGATAGTCCTGCGGCGGTGGTACCAATGGTTGCTCGTATCTGTAATACGCAAAGCACGAAAGAATGTCAAATGGGTCACGATTGAGAATTAAAAAAAAAACCTACCCCATTATCGTTTTCATCGTAGCTTCCAGGGCAGCTCTGCCATACTTGTTGTCGATGTTGAATTGTGACAAATCACGTGTTTCGGTAGCACGACGATCTCCGTGGGTCAAAGCACCGAGACTCTCTAGCCTCTTGGCGACGATCGATGCGAAACGTCGTTCACCAGCGAGATCAGAGATCAGGAATATGTATTCCGGAGCATTAACCTGATTCGATCTGTGCGTCCTACCAAACTGTTGTATCGCCCTATCGGCGCTCCAGGGTAATTCCAAGGTAATGTGAACTCGACGCATCTGGTTACGTGCACGTCGATCGCTCTGCAGGGAAATACCGCTGCTTGCCGCCTCCGATATGATCGCCACGGTCTTCTCGCCGTCCATGAATCTATTAATCGAGAACACATAGTTGACGATTTTTCCTGCATCGATAACCTTGTCACTTGACGTACCTTTGTTTCTCAGTAAGGTTGAGCGTTTCCAGGGGTACATCGACTTCTGACCTGGACTCGTACTGGATTGCACCATCTTCAGTTTGTACCACGCGACCCTTTCTACCAGTCATCTCGGCAACGTTTTCTGGACCGCCGAGTTCATCGATCAGTTGATCCAGGGTGTTGGGTGGCAATCTGTCACCCAGGATCTCTATTTGCGCAAGAAGTTCCTCCTTCATGCTGCAGGCCCTCTCGATAGCGTCGCGAGGCGGTGCATGTGAGGTTTGTGACTGTGCCATCATGCTGGCAGCATTACTCTGGTTACCGGCACCGCCGTGGGCAGCATCCCCGTTTCTCTTGTTCCTACTCGTAGAGGTCTTGTGAGCGAGCATCGATTGAATTTTGTCTTGCGTGCTCAGCCTCTTCTTCGCCGGCTTCTTGTGTTTCTTTCCACCTTTCTTCTTTCGCCTGTCCCATGGATCTGCGTTATGTTCATGCGTAATATTTACATATAAATATTATGAAGGTGAACCTTTCAAGATGCGCTGCTTACGGATAGGAGGCGTTAATCAATATGAAAATCAAGATATAAGATGGTCAACAGAACACCCTGACTCGGATCCCCCTACTCACCAGCGTCGGAATCACTGTCGCTGTAAAATGGATTGAAGTCAGAGCTGACGTTACTCTCTTCGTCCGTGTGGTTGTCATCCTCGCTTTCGGTACCGCTTAATTTGAATTCGGATCCTGAGCTATGTCCACCGTTTCGGTCCTCCTCAGAGATCTCCTCCTCGGAAGACCAGGCGCGCACCTTCTTCGAGGCACGTTGCGCTGCTTGTCGGATGGGCTTTCGCTTCCTGCCACCGGCAGAACCTCCCGCTGTTTCAGTACCACCTTCAAGATCAGCAAGAGACGTTCGAGGTGGTTCCAATCCAAGCAGCCGATGTATCCTATTGCGGTCAGGGGCTGGGAAATGTTTTTCTACCAATGTTTGCAACACTCCCCTGCAAGATGCCAAATTCATTATTTTTCATTATCGCCTATACGTTGTCATTCAATCGATACGCAGGGTTTAAAAGTTAAATTTACTTGGCCGTGGAAACGAAGTCACTAAGTTCACCATCGTCGCGCTCGAGCTGCTCCAGAGTTCTGGCCTCTCCCGTTGACTGGAGACCAATGACAACGCACTTTCCGCATTTAACGGCTTCGCGGGCAACGGCCACAGCATGCTTAACCTTAGCCGCGATACACAAGTACTTGAAGAACCTCTGATGCGACGACCAAAACTGACCCCACATCGTCTTCTTCATACGATTCTCGGCATCTATCAGTTCCGCCGCTTCTTGAAATTTCTGCATCGCTTCTACCCACTAAACGAGTATGAATTTTTGTATAGATTATTTAAGAACATTCTATTTAAATTTAACAATTTTCTCTTTCCAAACGATAGAAATTTATATTTTTACTTTGCTATATCTTTATAGAGGAGTTCTCTCTCACCAGTCTAACGGAATGATCGTAGATCTTCGTAAACTCTTTGCTGAGCGGTACTTCCTCGATTTTGAAAGCTACACCATGGAAGCTGAGCTGCCGCGCGATGTACATTCCACGAAGTTTCATGTCCATGGCGACGATCTCCATGGCGCCGACGCCACGTTTCTCCACGGCCGCGATGAAGTCGTTAAACTCCGGAAATGGTGTGCCCTCGCCCCACATACCAAGACGTACCATGTAGGCCATATTCCTTGGTTCCGACGCACCGGTGGCACTCGCGTACACCACTCGCGATTTTGGTAGCTTGTTTTGAAGTTCCAATACCGTCAGACCTGGACGACAGTGTGTTATGCAAAGGAGTTAGAAGATTCCTGACAGATATCTTCGAGACGAAGTTACTAATGGACTGTCAAGTGGTTGCGAACCGGTCTTGGTGGGTTTTGAGCTGCCCGTGGGGCAGAGATTTTTCGCGCGATGACACTCGTCGAACACTATTAGCCCGTCGAAATCCTCTCCGCACCATTGAAGTAGCTGCTTCAAGCGGCTCTTGTACTTTCCACCGCTTTGCGATGATTCACCAATCAGTGCGGAATACGTGCTGAAGATTACGCCCTTCTTAACGTTACCGTTCACTGCTGATGAGATCTTGGCGTACTTGAACTTGTTCAGTGGATGTACCTGATTCGCATTAAATAGTTCAAAAGGACTTTGGCGTTCACATTGTCTATGTAAAGCGAAAGAGTCGCGTAATTAAATTTAGAGTTGCCAGATGTTCCACCTACCTCGATCTTCGAGGCGCCTATGTCCTTGAGATCTCTTTCGGCGTCGTATTTGAGATCATTCGATACGGAAACCCAAATGGCGCGTTTTCTGCCTTTCAAGTAGTTTTCGTAGATAACACCGGCAATGGTCCTACCCTTACCGACACCAGCACCATCCCCAATTAGAAATCCAGCTCGCGTACCATCAGGTAAAAGGTGTTCATGCTGCTGTGATGTGTACGTTATAGATTCGAGCTGAAGTGCAGAAAGAGCACCGGAACGTATCGTCTCTTCCGGGATTGACAACTTGTACCAGACATCTGTTGGCTCGACACTCGATAATGAGGCAGTTTCCACTACGGGGTCAGGATGTTTCTTGCCTAGTTTCACTGTGAATGCGTAAAGATGACAAGACACAAGTATGTTTATTGTCGAGAAGAAAAACTCATTGCGAACCCCAAAATGGCGAACAGAATTAAAGTAAACTTTCATACGTTTCGTTGGCATGTAATCTGCGTATGTCTCAGCTACACCCATGTCTTCGTCATCGACCTCCTCTTCTTCAGGCAATGTTGGCTGCATGCTCATTTTACTAGGATCACCAGAATTCATCCACAATTGCGATACAGCTTTACCTGTTTAAGGGGAGACCTTCTTTTGAAAATTGTTGATTTCCATTTGCCAATACAATGTTAATTTCTATCGGTGATGTTATTTTATCTTAGGTACTAAAACATAATCGTATTACTTTGACGTAATTAAACGTACCGGACAGTCCAGATTGCCAGTTTTGATGTGGACCATTCTGACTCAGGAACTGAACAAATGGGTTCATCCCACCCATTCCCATGAAGCCGCTCAACATGTTTCCCATCTCCATAGCTATGAGAGTATAAAATCCATGAGAAAACAATTTAAAAAGAAAAAAATTCAATAGAATACGAGAAAGCAAAAGAGTAACAGTGCATGAAAAATAGAAAATACACAATGCTAGCATAGATAAAAGCCAATTGAATAAATGTACCATAATTTTATTATTGTTAACGATGTATTATTTACACACAAGGTGTCGATATTTTAAGAGAAAATTAAAAAATGTGATTGTTAATCATATGATTGTTGTCACTGTCGGACTCAATTACCAATGAATTTCGTTGGGGAAGCAAAAAACTGAGAGCGACACATACCAGACTTAGACTTACTCTGCAGAAAGGTGGTTGGATTAAAATTCGCAAGATTCGCCAGGGCTGGTGGTAAACCATAAGGCCCACCAGCACCTAGCTGACCCATTTGTCCTAGTGGGTTTGGGTTCACGAAACCCTGTTGCCCACCTTGAGACCCTCCCACGCGTACCATCTCATACCCAGGAGATGCTGTCTTTGTAACCAAACCACCAGGGATTTTCCCACCCAGCTTCTGATTCAGTACTACGAACATCACACACAAAATGGTTTTAAGAAATGTTTCTCTGATGTATTATAGAATTATTGCTGAAAAATTAGCCTAACACCATGGACAACATTACTTTCTAGATTCTGTTGTCATACTTACTATTGATAGCTCCTTGGCCCTTGATCAATGGAGTTTGATCTAACATGTCAGGTTGTGGCTTCTCATCCTTAATATTAGCAATTCCTGCTGCTGTTGCTAGATCTTTACCTCCACCTAATAATAACACAAATATTTGCTTCAATATGTTTAATAGCTCTGAAGCAGGAACCTAATCCAAGGAATAGTTCTCTCACCTGGCACTTCAATTTTATCTGGATCCTCATCATCGTCAAAGTCACTTCCACTGCTGTCATCACTCATTGCATCTTTATAACGTCTAGTTGCCTACATAACAGATATTGATATTGATATTCCTGTACTGTCATGATATGAATGTCGATAAAAACATCAATAGAATAATGACATCAAAAGGAAAAACATGATAGTCAGAAAATAGTATAGCACTCAAAAATTTTGCAACAAAATTATGATCTGATACAATGTAATATGCTATAAAGTATATGCCAATGCTAAGTAAGTTGAATAAGTACATACTTATATTTAAATATACACAAAGAAATAAGAAACATGTAGAAACAGAATTCACACAATCATGTAAGAAAATAAATCAACATGAAATGACATGTAACAATAATAGCATGTGACATTATAAGGAAAGTATATAAGTGACATTTATCTGAATCACATGAAATACAATACGTAACAAAAAAAAAGCGATATGAATGGAAAATTACAACATATTATTAAGTATGTGAGATCAGTAAAATACCACGACAGTGATTTTTTTAGATTAGTGGCAAAATAAAATAAGAATGGAAATGTAAATGAAGATTCGATTGAAGGCGACGATAAGAAAATGCAGAGTCGAAGTTAAAAAAATTGCATATTTATATATTTCGCGAGATACTATAAAAATTCTAGGTTATTCGCTGTAACGCTGTCGGATGTGCCCAAAACACAAAGGTAACTCATGCGCGCGCGTTTGTCCTAACTGAACCGTAGTCTTTCGTGGTCAATCTAGGAAGAATGTAAAATAAGAGATACGGCGGGACGGAGGGCAGAGAAATAATTTTAAAAAAAAAACAAAGGGAAAAAGAACAACCCACCATGACAAGTTACGTATGACGCACCCGGCTTCGCGTCTAGTTTCTCACGAGAGCGAATTGCAACTGGAAAAAATCACAAGGCGAGACACAAAAACTTACGAGAAATAATACCGTGAACCCGTGAAACCTCCGCGAAAAGCGAAAAGATTAAACGCGACCTCGCTCTCTCTTTCTCTTTCTCCGATTCTCATGCTGCTGCACGAGTATTCGCTTTAATATTTTCAACCAACTCTTGTACTTTAATCAGCCTAAACGTCGGCGAGCGCGTCTCACAGATTTTTCGAGATGACAACTTGCAACAGAAGAACTTACTGTGCGCTTAGGCCGAGGCATTTTGCCGTCTGGCCGTTTACACTGTTCTATAGAGGCTACACCGAGCGTTCTGTGCAACCGTTTATAACCTGGATCAGTCTGGTTCAACCACCTTAAGCGCCTTTGCCTTTGACGAGCACGGCTTCCGCCATTTTAGCTCGCACGGCCCACGGTGCACCGCGCCGCGCCGCAAATACAAAAACACGCGTTCGCTCGGCTATGTTCGGACACATTCGGCTTCTCTCGGTATGATCTTACGAGAGGCAACATACAATGATGCCAAAGCTACAATGATAACGTAATGAGTATGCTGCCGGGTTTTCAATAAATACATTATTATCCGATAGGATTCTGATTATGTTCCACTAAATTATAACGAAGGATCAATAATTAGTTATATGGGCAATAATTGTTGTACATGAACAACCATCAGTTCATCCAAATTATGATGCAAATATTGGGAACATCCTTGTCATCTTTATCAGACATATGACGAAAGACAATGATAATTCGCGAGAATTGCAGCCATTTAAAAGGTATCTATTATCAAATAATAAGTTACATCAAATTTGACTTTATTATCATAAATGAGTTCAGTTGTTTGTGAGAATTATACAATATATTCGGATATAATTTACGCTGATCACATAGAAACTCAAACGTACGCAAGTATGCACGGAGCCTAAACCTATTTTAGTTAGTGTTAACGAGCTGGCAACCCTGTCGCGCTACCTTGTGGGGTTGATCGTTATACCATGTAAAATATCCGCGGTAAAAAGAAAAGAAGGTAAAGCAGTCTCTCGCGTGGGAGGATTTTATAACGAAAATTCACTCAGAATCCATCTTGTTATAGAGAATCTCGCTTCTTACAATATGTGATTTGCTAAAAGAATAGCTGAATCTGATCATTTTCTCGTTTGTTCCATGGAAATTAACTTAAAAATTTCATCCCTCCAGCATCATCGATCCAAGCTTCGCGCGACGAACAGTGCCATCTACTCTGATGAAATATTCCAGATTTATTCTAATTGAAGATGCGCTACTACGTATTGAATTACTGATATCTACTGACATTGCAATAGATGTGAGGAATGCTTAATCATATAAACTGATATCGACTTGCAAATGCACTGCTGTTAGGCATCTTTAAAAAGTCTCTCGTTAAAGAGTTACTTGTTGCTATTGAGGTTATAAAATGATTACGATAAGCTTCGGTTAGATGGACACATTATTTTTATAGTTTAACATTTATCTTTGCACATCATGCTTTCTGTTCACGCAACGATCAACGAAGACTTTGAAATGGATTTTCTACGGAAAAATAGAACAAATTTACGAACTATATTGCTAATGTATTTTGGTTGAGTTTTCTTAATGGAGAAATAAAATCATATATATAAGTACAAATAGAAGAAGAAGAACAGTTTTTTATATAATTCAATATTTTTAACAGAGCAAATATAATTACTTTCTTATGTCCTGCACCGATTCTACTGGATTCTATTTTCTTGTCTTCGTATTACGAGCCTCTTTCCTGCCATTGTACTGACAGTATTTCCGGTTTCCGGTAGTTCTGTGTGTTAGCATGTTTAGCATCGTCTTTCGTTTCAATCAGGAAGATGTAAGTGTGTAACGGCCATAGATGATTGTTAACTGTTGTAGAGTTTAGTAGCTGTCGCTAGATTTCACTTTTCGAAAAAAATCTCTTTTCGTCAAGATGTGCCAGTATGCCTCAGATTTTAATAAATAATATATCATTTTATAAGTCATGAAGTGCGAGTTTTTGAGACAAACGGGCATTTTGTGAATCTGTAGGTAAAGCTGTGTATAAACGAGTGCACTGGCCTCAGGAATTTCGTGAAGTCTTTCGATGAGAGAAAGTATTTAGTAAATCAGGAAATATCGACACAGCATGGTGAGAGGTACGATGGCTTTTCTAATAATTAATAGAACTTAAATTTAACAGTCTCTATACGTTCGTGTCAGGTTATGGTTTACACAGTTGCTCCAACTCGTGATGTTATTTACGTTATAATATAACTATACTGACTCGCTATGTGCCATTGTATGAACAATCATTTACTGCTTTTGAAAAAAAATTCTAAATTAGTTTATTATAAATTTTTTATATTTTCTCAAACCTAATTTCATTGATTTTCAAATCTTGTTACAAATTTATCAATCTTCTAGAAAGTAACTCAAACTTATTGGTTAAATTGCCTTATTTAGTATTTTGATTTGTTTTGTATTGACCTGTATTGTAATCCCATATATCTTGTAATAACAGTCAAATGTACTTTGTTCAATAATATTAGATTTTATATTTTACAGATTCAATTACCTATTCATTAAAAATAAATATGAAATATTTTGAATGTTCAGGAAAGAAAGGACGTGCCCCTGCAAGGGGTTCAGTGCGTACACGTTCGGTAGCTTTAACCGAAGAAGAAGGAAAAAGAGATTCATCTCGAAGAAAAGGAACAAGGATAGAGTTTGGCAACAAGAAGCTCACACATACTTCAGAGATACTGTTGAATGTTCAAACATACGATTCATCTGAAAAAATGACAACAGTTTGTTGCTTTGATGTTAGTAAAAGATTTACTTGACTAATAACTGATAGAAGTATTTCAATTGCTTTGACCTTTTAAGAAAACAGAGAAAGATTTATGTAGCCTTTTGAATTATGAGCATGCTTGTTAAATGTGGCCTAATAAATTATATACTATATTATAAAAGTATAATACTTTCTTACAGAATGTCAGCTTCGGTAATACAGAACTTGTGAAAATCCACAAAGAGCCAAAGATTACATCTTCACTTGATAGACAATCCTTTAAAACAAATCAACACAATGACATTCTCATCCAGGAAGGTGAATTACCAGATGCAGGACTATTCACGACAGATGGTGGGTATTATTCATCGAAGAGAATATTTTAAAGAACCTATGATAATTAGAAAGATTAAATTGGTTGTCTTCTCAATTATTTATTATCATTTGGAACATCTACGAAATTTGTAGAAACGCCCGTAGCAGTACCAGATCGCGGTCCATCAACACCACATCGAATAAATATGCCATGTGATCGAATAGAAGAGTTAGACGTGCCGGTAGTTCCAACTAGGAGATGTGATAATCCAGTGAACGCTGCCTTTAGTTCTGTACAACCTGTGGCACGAAAACCACCAGTTGGAAGAGGACGCGGGAAGCTAAACTACAACCAAACGAATAACAGACAGGCGATCAATTCGATTGCAGCTGCAAACACAAACCATAAGTTAACTGATTACTTCCCGGTACGACGTAGCGTTCGAAAGTCTAAGAAAGCTGTACTGGAGGAGAAGCAACGTGATCTTGAAAACAAAGTATTGTGCCAGGTGGAAGAAGGTTTAGAAGTGAGTATAATGCTATTACAGGATAATACGAATAATTATTACAATTTTCTTAAATGACTTACGACACGCTTTCCATTATAGATTAGGCACTTTGCCGGCAAAGGTCGTGGCGTGGTGACCACACGTGAGTTTTCCAAAGGTGAATTCGTCGTGGAATATATTGGCGAACTCGTCGACCAGGTCACGGCTAAAAAGCGTGAAGCTTTGTATGCGCAAGATCAGAATACAGGCTGTTACATGTATTATTTTCAACACCGCAATCATCAGTATTGGTAAGTCATTGACATATTAGGCAGAAACTATTGACAATTTTCATCGTTGTTTGGCCATCTGTAATAAAGTTAAACAAACATGGGGTCAGTAAGATATTGTACATTGTATTTTTAGTGTCGATGCAACGGCGGAAACCGAGAAACTAGGCAGATTAGTTAATCATTCACGTAATGGGAATTTGGTGGCAAGGGTGGTGGACGTCGGATCTATACCACACCTCGTACTTACCGCGAAGGAAGACATACCAGCCGGGGTCGAAGTGACGTACGATTACGGAGATCGAAGTCGTGAAGCTATTCGCAATCATCCATGGTTAGCGTTGTAGCTGTAAATTTTAATGCATGCATACCATTGCGTGCACTCCTGGACTCTTCCCTGGGGCGCGTTATATATTCTAAGACTATTTTCGGGGAAGAATTCCAGAAGTGCCAGTTCAATTTTATTCGCTAATTTTTTTTCGTGAACCTGGCGAGGCGTTTGAGACCTTACTTGGCGTTTTATTCGGAGAATACATTCTGCATGACACCTACTCGCGAGTCAATCCCTGTTAATCATTATTTATATGTTCGACGTTGGACTCTGCTGCAAAATTGTGCAGCAACGTATTGAGTTTGAAGTTATACTTTAAGTAATACTACTTGACTAAGGTTCTACGTTATCAACGATATCGGTCCATCCTTACCATCACTTTCATTCATCATTTCATTTGTATTATCTGCATGAAGGAAACATTACGTTATCCATAACTTAGTAAAATTAATTATTTCGGTAATGCTATAGCTAATTAATAGGTAATCTGTAATTTTTTTACGTCATCCTCAAGACTTGAAATGTGCGCTGAGAGCGTAATAAGAGAAAATAATCGAAGAAGCACAGGAAGAAAAAAAGATGCGTAAAATGTCGGCGGTGACTCACCGTCATTAATCAGATCCGTACAGATTGTCTCTATACCGCAATTTTGTACGATTACATCCTGAAATTGGGGCTTATATACATAGATTAATGTTTTATTATTATCATTTATACAAAATCATATAATGTGCCGCGTGAAGGTACAAGGTGAAGTTTTTGTATAATAGAATTGAATGTGATCGAACGTCGATACGTTTCGAATTGATCGTTAAACTTACAATTAGCCCTAATAGAAATTCTAGTTGCTACTGCTGGTTGACCAGTTGATGGACATTACTATTGTGGACATAAAAGAAACAGTGGACTAGTTAGTCAACTAGCCAGTGACTGGTTGGACCTAGATTGGAGTTTCAAATTGAAGACATTGGGAGGCCTTCGTAGCGCTAATCTAATATGCAATGCTATTAGTCCGTACAACGCAGAGTAAACATGTTACCAAGGTAGAAAAATCCAAACACAAAAGATACCGTACACAGCATAAGTACTTTGGAAAACATTTTTGAACTGCGCTGTAGATCCATTGACATAGAAAGTAGTTAGACATATGACTTGCCGCATATTTATTTAGTTGCGTTTTCATCGACGTTATAATTCTATATTATAAAAATATCTGAAGGCAATGGAGAGAGGGAGTGAGTGAGTGAATGAGTGAGTTGAGTTGATTAAATCGTTCCTCCCTTGATGGAATCTCGAATAATCGCCAAGCGAGAAACAGACCAGCCGTTTGATATTTCGCCAATTACAGCCGTCTACTTACAGTGTAGATATAAGTCATGTTACTTCGTTCTATGGTTGACAATTTGTTTATCGCGATCAACCTAGGTCTCCATTAACGAGTACAAAGTAATAAGGATTATTGTACGAGATTTTCCAATCTCAAAATAAATCTGCAATATGTCTGAATGGTTGTAGGATCCATATAAAGCTAGACTTTTATCAGACAGCTGTGTATAACGTTCTCTCGCATCGTTGCAAACTCTAAAAAGACTCGTATTAATGTCTCCTATCTTTGTGAGACGGATTTGTACATCTTACGTTACAACCCTAAATCATTTAGCCCATACGGCGCTTACTAAGGGTATATCCCGTAATTGAACCACGATTGCGGTTATGAAATTTCCGCCAATTTCATTGGCTGATTTCAGTCGGTTCTATTGGCTGGAATTTAAAATATATTGTAATTTATTTAATCGAACAGCAGTAAGCGACTGAGGCTGCTTTACGAATTATTTTTAAATCTCACTGCCAGTCCTGGGTCTTTTATTTGTTTATTAGTGGAACTAGCGAAATAGTACCTGGGTGTCTAGTAGCAAACACCTCTCCTGGAGAGAATTTCATCGAGCACTGCCTCTCAGTCATTGAGTAGGTTGAGTCTTGCGTCGTGGACCAACCGTGCGTCATACTCCTACACGAAGGACACCGATCCTTCGTTATTATTTAATAAATTGTCTTCATCCTGTTTACGCACCTACATAATTAGGAGTAGCGAGTGTCGTCTGCATGTAGACGTCACGGTCTACTTATAGCCACGCACCATATACGTTTTTCAAGTACAATGTATTCTGGAGTTTTGTGTCAGAGCCCTTTTTACTTGGTTCCATTCGAAATTTAGACAAATTATAAAAATGCTTATATAATCATGTTCGAGGGCCGAATAAGAATTTTTTAAAGATCAAAGTTTAACATTGTTCTTCAGTGTAAGAATTATACATGCTAAACTTAAGTGAGATATATCAAGTGGTTATTGCAATTGTTTTGTTGATAATTTTATACCTTCTCAGTATTTCGTTTAGGTTTCACGGCTACGAAGAATTAGTCTATTGCCCATATGGGTTCTGTTTTATATGTATCAACAGGTATAGAGTATCAGACGGTTGTCCTTTTGTTATCTTTGTCTTCTTCTTTTTCTCTTGCACATTCTGGTGATCATTATTTCATTCAGACTTGATTTGGTCTATACGAAAATTAGAACCGAATGCTAATCTTTATTAATTTCTCTTTTAAATTTCTGACTCCGCTATAAGTATATTAATATACATCCGCATAATGTGAAGCAAAATAGTTAAATGGAGTTGCAATAGGTTGCGCATCAGTATAACTGAACTGAATAAATGGAGCAAAACGCATGATCAAAGCAGACCGAAGGATCGATCGGCACCATTGAGTACCACATTCCCGACAGACGTCCCCTCCTCAACCGGTCCATTTGATTTTGACAGTTCTCAATCTCAGCATTTTTCAGTGAGCATTTTCACAGCAATTGCAGTAAGATTTGGGCGAAGATGTCAGGGAGTCCAGTGTAACGGTAGAAACGGCCCTTGTGGTGTTTTAGAACAGTATTAGACGGATAGGGCGGATGCATCGACTCAATAGCTCACCCGAAAGATGGAGGGTTTGTCCTGCAGCAGGTTATGAATGACTTTGACATCGTCCATTTGACGTTTAAAGTGGATATAAACGTGGAATAATGGATAACATTGCGACTGCCGAATGTCTCACTCTTGATTTTGGGCCCTTCGAGACTGTTCATCGATGGCAACGAATGCCCGAGTGCGACGAGTTCGTGGGAGCGAGGTAAAAGCCGATTTGGGTCTAATTGGATGTATTCTAAGACTCACTGGCAGTACAGATAGTAATGGTTTTTTATCTTAAATATAAACAAGGAAACGATCTAGTACTGAGAGTGAGTTTAAGATTAGTTTAATTTATACACTATGTTTTATAAAACATTTTTGTATTTTTTAAATTTCTCTCAGGTTACAAATACTGCTCTAGCTGCTTTGTACTATGTTCTTGTACACTTTGAGCTTATGATTAACATTCTACAACCAAAGTAAATTGGTATTTGTGGAAGTAAATAAAATATAACTTGTCCCTTTTTTTGTTAAATAGACGTAGCAAGCACACTGTAGTGGCATACAACGATGCCATCTACGTCTTTGGTGGAGACAATGGAAAGAGAATGTTGAACGATTTACTGCGCTTTGATGTTAAGGAAAAATCATGGGGTCGTGCTTTTGCAACTGGTCCACCACCAGCACCTCGTTATCATCATTCAGCAGTGGTTCATGATGCATCTATGTTTGTCTTTGGTGGATACACAGGAGATATACATTCCAATTCCAATCTTACCAATAAAAATGATCTTTTCGAGTATCGTTTTCAGACTGGACAGTGGACGGAATGGAAATTTCTAGGAAAGTAAGGTTTCTTCAAGGTATAAGCATGTCCTTGCAACAGGTACAACATTTCTTCTTAGTTTCTCATATTAATTTGTCTGTATTTAGAACTCCGGTAGCTAGATCAGCTCACGGAGCAGCTGTTTACGATAATAAGTTATGGATATTTGCTGGCTACGATGGCAATGCTCGACTGAATGATATGTGGACTATCTCCTTACTGGTAAGACAAACAATTTTATCAGATAGCTTTCATATTATCTAAGGAAATAATTCATTCTCGTACGTCTTGTTGTTAGCCTGGTGACCTCAGGGTATGGGAAAAAGTAGTACAATCAGGGGATTGTCCTCCAACCTGCTGTAACTTTCCAGTGGCAGTAGCACGAGAATCTATGTTTGTCTTCAGTGGTCAAAGCGGCGCCAAGATAACCAATAGTCTCTTTCAATTTCATTTTAAGGAAAAACGGTATAAAGAATCAGTTTTCCATTTGAAGTCTCGCTTGGAGGATAGTAAAGCTATGGAGCCGACTTGAATGCTCTTGATTTTTTTTGCAGATGGACGCGCATTTCAACGGAACACATACTTCGCGGCGCACCACCACCGCCCGCGCGACGTTACGGTCACACGATGGTCAGTTTTGATCGTCATCTTTATGTATTCGGTGGTGCGGCCGACTCCACCTTACCGAATGATCTGCACTGCTACGATCTAGATACTCAAACCTGGAGTATTGTACTGCCATCCGCAGATAGTCAGGTAACGAATGCCAAAAGTTCACATTCTGGGTCCACGACGCCCCCAGAATGTGTAACGCGCATCTAATCTAACGAGGACTCTCCGTAGATACCGTCCGGTCGATTGTTTCACGCCGCAGCCGTTATTGGCGAAGCAATGTTCATATTCGGTGGAACTGTGGACAACAACGTACGCTCTGGGGAGACCTATCGCTTCCAATTTTCGTCCTACCCCAAGTGCACTCTTCACGACGACTTTGGCAGATTACTGAGCAGCAGACTCTTCTGCGACGTCGAGTTCATTCTCGGGGAGAGTGAAGCCAAGATTCCAGCGCATATCGCTATGGTAGCGGCGCGTTCCCAATTTCTTAGCTCCAGAATAAGACAGGCTCGTGAACGACGGGAGAAACATCTAGAAGAAGTATTTGGCAGTGTCGACGTACCCATAAAGGATCTTCCATTGTTGGAGGTATTACACTTTCATCAGTTTCCGTCGTTCTTCTTCCTGACGGAGAAGAAAAAATCATTTTCTTTTTGCTGCAGGTGAAACTGAAGGACGCGGTGCCGGAGGCCTTCGAAATGGTACTAAATTACATATATACAGATCGCATTGATCCCACTAAAAGAATAGAGGATCCTCTGAGCAATCGAATCGTCCTGCTCATGATGGACGTCTACCGGTTGGCTGTTCAGTTCAACATGAAACGCCTAGAACAGCTTTGTGTTCATTATCTCGAAGCCACGATAAGCCACGCGAACGTATTGGAAGCACTGCACAACGCGGCGCACCTGAAGCTTTACTTCATCAAAGAGATCTGCCTAAGTTTCGTCGTGAAGGATAGCAATTACAATCAAATCGTAATGAGTCAGGAATTCGAGACACTCGATCAGCCATTGATGGTCGAGATCATCAGACGACGTCAGATGCCTCAAGCGAGAAACTTTTCGAAGCAATACGAGTCCACAGGTTCGATTATTTATAAATTCAAATAGAGTACTATCACGGACATTATAACCATTTACCAGGTACTACCCTGGAACAGGATATGGAACTGTTCTTGAAGAGCGTCGGTCGAGAATTCTGTGACATCACCCTAATGCTAGACGGCGTCCCAATTCCAGCTCACAAAGCAGTCCTGGCTGCGCGCTGCAGCTACTTCGAGGGCATGTTCAGATCCTTCATGCCTGAAGACAACACTGTCAATGTATGTACAGGAGAATAAATGACAAAACTTGAGCCACATAATACTCAACGTTAATGTCATCTTACTTGCAGATACAAATCGGAGAGATGATCCCATCCCTGGAGTCATTCGACTCGCTGCTGCGTTATATTTATTATGCAGACGTATCGATGCCTCCGGAAGATTCCCTTTACTTATTTACAGCTCCAGTATTTTACGGATTCACGAACAATAGGCTTCAGGCATTTTGCAAGCAGAATCTTGAGATGAATGTCACATTCGAGAACGTTATACAGATACTGGAAGCAGCCGACCGAATGCAAGCTAGCGACATGAAGAAATACGCTCTTAATCTCATAGTCCATCACTTCAGCAAGGCAAGGACGCACTCTTTATCTCTTTTCCGGATTCTTCCTTCATTCCTTGGTCATTCGTAAAACCGTCTCGTCCATGACCTTAGCTACTAGCAAATGACAATTGTAATTTATAGGTGGCTCGACTACCGAGATTAAAGCAGCTGAGTCGGGACTTGCTTCTCGACATTTTGGAAGCTCTGGCCGACGAGAGAAGCGAGGTACGAATGTGCCAGGACATGTCAAGCGCCAGTCTGTCCAGTGACTGCTGACAGACCTCCGCAACGGATCATCGCGCTTGGAATTTACCTGTACCCTCAACTTTTCAGGTAAGTTGAGACCAAACTAAACAAGATTTTACGTTAAAAAAAAAAACGAAAATTTCAAGGGATTAAAAATTGCTAAAATATTAAAAACGCATCTCTTCTATGAATTTAACAGGAACTCTTTCGCGTGAACTTCATTCTGATCACGCGAATGATTCTCTTCATTGGCAATTACTATTTCGACACTAAGTTTTGTCCACCGTCGCAGTATACCACCCGAGGTCAAACTTATCGACGCTGCTGTACTCACAAGAAGAAGCGTCCTCGTCGTTTTAGAATCCATTGACTCCTTGCAGCGTTCAGAAAAAACAGGATCCATCACTTATAGATTAGCTGTTCTTAAATCATTGTCTATTTCGATAATAGATGCAAACTTTGACTGTCCGATCAACCGTCCTGCTCTATCAACCTTTGTTTACCCGTGCAGCTCTTTCTGTTGCAAAATCTCAGCTCGACTTGGGTACTCAATGTTCTTTACTTTCACTTATTAAATTATTTTTACACGCGAGTCTCCCATCCTCATGGAATATCAAATTTCTCTAGATAGCTAGAATAGACTTTGTAGAACGAGACGAATGAATAATGGGGTAGACAGATTATACGCTATTATTATGGTATACCATAGGCAAGTGCAATTACTCACAGCTTCGATAGATTTGAAAATCTCTTCGATTGATCCATATGCCTATATGTATGTATATTAATATATAGGTGTTATATAATATAAAGTTGTCATGTGTATTAAAATCCCCCCACTTCTACCGTGTGTCATGGCTACTTGAAAATATTTGCACAGAATCTTCGCACATCTACTTTAATAATTTACTAGGTTCCTCAGTGTGAAATTCGGCTCTTTCTTTTTTATAAATGCTACGCAGTTCGATGCACTTTTTGAATGGAAATTGTCAGATATTAGATAAAGTTATAATGCCTAAAAACTGTTTTATTATACAGTCATGAGGAGTAGGGCGCGTGGGAGCAGATGCGCGTAGATGTAATATGTCATTGCTGTATTTTGTATGATATAAGGTTATCGTCATAGTTATCATCGTTATCATCATCATCACGATCAGTATCGATTATCAATTTTTGTACTGAAATTGAAATAAAAGCCGAAACAGCGCTACGTCTCGTTGCTGTTGAACGTTGTCTTTCTGTCTTTTTCCTCTTGCTTAACGGGCATTCTGAGTCTGATTCTGTATGAATTCTCTGTGAAAAGTCGCATGCCGAATTCGATGGGAGAATATTTGTAAAATATACAAGTAGAATAATTGTATGTAAAGGTGCGGCAGACATGACAGAAATAAAATCAAGAAAGGATCACATATGTAAATCTTTGGATTGTGTTGGAGTGACGTTGTCACTGGAACCGTTGAAGAGGGCAGGTTTTAAAGTGCGAAGCAAGAATTTGAATGAGGTTGTAACTAGACTCTCAGAAGTCATAAATGATTCAGTCGCGAGTGAAAACGTTCTCCGAGTTTCGCGTCTTTTTAAAGATTTCCTTGGACTGACTGGAAACGCATTCGTATCCTTTGGAGATTTCGATACACTCAGTACGACAGGGAGATTGTAATAAATAATAGTGTCTTTGCCTTTCTATATCAGACATCCTTACATATCGAGTGACGTAGTACGTTAAACATCTGTCAGTAGTGATGCAGCTACTAGAATTTTTAGGTTGGAAAGCAAGGGAAGTCGAGGAATACCAAGTCCATCTGGATAGGATGCTCGAGTTTTGCTGCGAGCCGCCAATTTTTGAAAAGACTTCGGAAAGTCTGTTCTGCCAAGATGATCTCGAAGAATACTTTACAGTCCTGGGTTGTCTAATGGCGATTTTACCTAGGAGCCAAAATATTCTACAGGTTCAGACAGCAATTCGTCGACTTCTCGTAAGAACAAGGCCCACCACTGTTTCAGCAGTGAGAGCCGAGCTCTGTCAACGGGCAATGGAGAAATCTAGACTACCTGTTACCGTAGTAGAACTTTTGGAAGTCTATGAAGGGGAGATGTTTGAAAAGTTATTGGATCTGATCAAGGTTATCGTGGCCGTGTCCGAACACTGCTGTGAGTGGTTTATAAATGGTTTGGCCGAATGTATCTAAGAAAGAAAAAAAAACAAGGACTAAATAAGGAAAAATAGGTCACAAGCTTCTGCAGTCAAAAATACTCGATCATCTTCTGGTTAGACTGAATCCGTATTACGACAAAGAAAACTACTGCATCCCGCCACCGGAAGTGCCACAGCAGGAAGCCGAAAGACCTGAGTATCAAGGAGTTTTAGTTCTTGTTACAAAAGTGACGTTGGCTTTGATGATGTCGGTCTTTCCGAGTGGGAAAAAGTTTCCAGCTTGCCTGGAAGACTTCTGTTCGCCAACTAGATGTGCTATGTGGTGAGTGTCGTAATCCGACCAGCCCCAAAGCATTTGCAGTGTAACTGATAATTCCAACGATCTTAACACGTCCAGGGGTTTACGATACGCCTTCAAGAGGGAAGTCCTCTACGCTCGACGGAAAACCAAGACTCATTCGGTACGTAATGATCTAGCGACTGTAATTCTTACTGGAATGGTTGGTCTACCCTCCTGGAAAATAATTGAATGTGGCCTCGCTGAAGATGTCTCCGTCCTTGTTGCTGCTTACGAATTTGGAGCAAAGGATTCCTGGGCGGAAACTGCGCCTGCCGTCACAACGAACGAGGACCTGTCCTTCAGGAAGACTTTGCTCCTGATCATTTGCCATCTCGTAAAATGTGATACGTCCATAAACGTAAGGTCTACTTTTATTATTCATCTGGGTCAATTCCCGTTATCAATTTTTATTTTTTACGGTGCAGATTATGGAGGAGAGATCGGTTCTCTTGGCTCTTCTTGATTTCATAAATTCTAGCAGAGTGAGGACGTTCAAGGTGTCTTGCAGAAATCCTCGAGAATTTTTGGAATTATTTCAGTGCTCCATCCGCACCCTGACGCTTTTAGTCCCAAAGATGACAAACTCCTTTCGTGCGCATAACGGCGCGCGTAGGTACACCTATCAGCTAGGTACAGATTTCATGATAAGATCTGCTACTATCTACACTGACTTGTTGCAGGTTATTAACGATCATTAAGTGGTGGATGACTGTCGATGATGGGACCTATGTCATAATTGACTGTCTGATAACAATCGCTTCGATAGTGTCGGCAGTCGAGTGTGTCGAGATTCTGAATGATTTTATCGAGGAAGGCGCCATACCTATTCTCATAAGTATACAGTCATTCAAAAGTTAAAATTGACAGATAAATATAATTTATCACAAGATTAATAATATTAGAGATCGAATGATCTTTTCAGATTTGATAAACTTTGTTGTTATCCATGACAAGTCATTAGCAACGGATCGGCAACGTGTCATCACGCTCGCAATGATAGCTTTAAAGAGTCTGCACTCGAATAGGATATCATCAGTTGCCGAAACTTTGAGCGACCAGAGTGTCAAGATGGTGGTGCAATTATTGCAGAGGACATTAGGATTGACAAGAAGAAATACTAAAGGGAATCTCGATTTTCAAGTGGATCAACGGTACTTGGAGATTCCTCCGAGTGGTATTGCAATGTCAGATAAAAGAATAAATATTATTGGCAGGCTTCTAATCGCAGTGGGTGTCTACGTCTGGAAGTGCATCGTTTATTGCCCGATAAATCTGAAGAACTTTATAGAAACGGGAGGAACGTACCTGATACTGGATATCATTGACAGGGTCAAGTATCCAGTGACTTGCGTCTACATTGGTATCTTGGCAGACATGTGCGAGGGTTCCTTCAGTGCCGCCGAATTGGCCACTTGGAGAGGAGTCGATAAGCAAAAGGGTTTAATGTCTTTGCTGGCACGTGTGTGGCGAGAAGAGGAAATCCGAATTGGCGTCCAGAGGACGGCGAATGGTTCTATAGAGGGTAGCATGGATTTGTTAAAAGAAAAAATTGTTGAATAATATAGAAGAAATAAGACCATTGAAGGATAATTGAAATTGGTCCAGATGCTGAACTTCCTCTGATGGGCACCGAGCAACAGCTGAGCACGTATCATGCGAGGCTGGATCAAAGTTGTAGTCCAGCCCTTTTGGAGATGATAGGTTCCACTCGTGCAAAGATCCATGCGATTCGCAGGATCATAGAGCGGGAGACCTTTGGGTATAACAGAGCAAAAGAACATTATAAAGTTTTATATGAAGATCTTTGTACCACTGATATTGTAAGCACAGTTGTAGCGAGTGGATGTGGATGTTTGGAATTTATTTAGGCCGTACGTTAATCTATTCTAGATTACGATGCAAATTGTCGATCATTACTTTAATTTGAAGCAAGGTCAGATTTGGATAGAGGTCGTTAAGTATTTGGAGCAGGTCGGTGTGAACCCGCTGGGTATGGATGGGCAAATGATGTTCCTCATGATACAGAGACATCGTGGACTGGGGGTATTTATTCAAGGGAATCAGGAAAAACTGCTCAAAACTGCACGGGATGCTGATTCAAAAATCGAAAAGGAAGAATTCGCTAGGATTCGCGATTCTAAACTTACTCTGGCCTTGACTGCTCTGAAGGACATCGATTATCTTCGCAGGACCACTGATAGAAAGTACATGCTGGAGAGAAAAGCAGTTCAGAGGAAGGAAGTCAATGCTGCTTTGAAATTTCCTCTCGTGGCGGATGAGAATCATTGTCATAGGACGTTTTTTGAAAAGTCAAACGTTACCGTGAGTTACTTTTTTTCGCCCTTTTCTTTTCAGTCGATAAAAAAGAAATTGGAAAAGAGTAGGTAGACGGTTTTTACTTATGGTTTTATTTTTACTTAGGCTATCCTGGGACAAAATCAAAGGATCGATAGCGTGAAGATGATAGAATCAGATCTAGGAAGGGTGAAATTACTTCCGGTTTCACTATCGAGTTCCGAAGTATCTTCGCCTAGACTTTCTTTCGGTTCAATTCGTTGCGATTCCGAAGACATTTTGTCATGTAACAAATGCTTTCAATCCGATGTTCTGTGCTCTCATCGGTAATTGACTTCAAAAACTGGAATTCAGGATGATCAGCAGGAACTGAAGGAATTACTGAAGCTTTCCAATGGGCAACAACTAATTGCAACTAGCTGCAGATGCTGCCTCTAGGTATCTTTGTGCAACTAGACGATTTCGATATAGTAGACCGGTTGCCACAAGAACAGATTTCAATGTTATCGACCAGCGGCTCATTTACATAATCTGATAATTCACTCTACATCTATCTTACGAAGATAAACTTTTATCTTCAACTAAGATAGGAAGAAAATAGGGTTTAATAATGCATTAAAAAAAGATATTTGCAGATTCATTTAAATTTCATAAAAAGACAAATCTTCAAATTGTATCCGTCTAAAAAATTTTGAGTTAGCAGCCGTTTGAAAAGAAGAGAATAAAGTACGTACAATCATACAAATAAGAAGGAAGTTTGGTTTACATAGCAATTGTATTATTTGGCTGTATATTTATATAATACGAAGATTATTTTTTAAAAATAAATATCAAACCTGATACTCTAATCGATGATAACAAATATTTGTAATACTGTATACATATCTAATTACATTTTGACGAGCGACGAGAATCAGTGCGGGAAATGCTACTAGCGCTATAGAGTGAAAATCATCTATAAGATAACAAGATAAATAAGGGAGCTAAAGTGAACGGAGCGGCGACTAGCGAGGCGACTGAGGATGAACGAGGGTGGTAAGCGGCAAGTGTGAGTCAGTCGAGCAAGTGAGAGCAAACTGGAGGCAACATGTTATTTTCACTACGACTCGCCATCGCTCCAGTATCGGTTTGAATCGTGCGGATAAATTCTCGGAAAGTCTGTTCCTAGTGAAATCTCGTGTTTGCACGTTCCTTCCTCTTCCTTCTCTCTATCTATCTATTGGTCTCGTAATCAGTGGCAATAGAAGCAGATATTAGTCTTCCGATCTTGTGCCGCGACTGCGAAAACTGCATTGTCGTCGTGGGAGGTTAAGTGAATAAGCAGAAGAGGAAGAAGAAGAAGAAGAAAAGGAAACAATAGGATAATTGTGGATTGTACTGTCTAACGGCAGACTCGAGTCCAAGAAAGAAATCTGCGCGAAAGAGAAAAGAAAATAGTGTCGGTCTACCGACTCGGAAATATGGCGTGTCAACAGTTGTGGTTTACTCGTGGATGTACCGTTCTTTGGATGTTCTTCGTCGTTCTTTTGATGCTTGACGTTCTCGCACCGAAAGGATATTGTCTGATGAACGTGGATTCAGGTGAGTCGTGTTGTTTTATTTAAAACTCTCTCCTCGATAAGTTTTTCGTTGTTTCTTGTACACCGAAGTTGCACTTGGACTTTGCTTGATTAATGGCGAATCACCCACGAGAAAAGAAACGATACTGTCATTCACGGGGACAGAGAGTTAGAAGTTGATCTAGCATGATATCGTGGGCCTGGTAGGCTTGTAGTCGAGTCGTGGTGGTAGGACGGAAAAATAAAGGACGACCAGACGATCAGGCCACCAGACGCACGTCGCCGAGAGGAGTCTGCTGCTACGGAGCTGCGAAGGAACGGCTAGAAAGAGAGCGAGAGAGAATGGGTGAGAGATGAGTGCGAGAGAAAGAAAAGGCTTAAGAAACTTGAGAGAGTAGGAGTGAGACGAAGAAAAGTTTCTGTCTCTTAAGGGCAAGACCCAAGTGGACACTAGCTCTTCTCTCTTTCTCTCTCTTACTCTCTCCTGTGCTTTCAAACTTGTTGCTCCAGCTCGCTTGTGCTACGTTCTCTGCTACGCAATTTTCAGTTTTTGTTTTCTTTCTTTCTTCGATTTAACCAGAGTTGCCTTCTCGTTTTCCTAAACCATTGGAGCTCCTCTAGAAGATGGTGTTAATGGTTGGTTTGCGACTAAGGTGATAGCAAGTAAATGCCGGCGCCAGCGGTATCTAGCCGCAGTATTTCTCGAATGACAGGTCGAAGGCTATCGAAATAAACGATTTGATTGCCTTTTAAGAATTAAAAGTATTTTTATAATCTGACTAGTGTTAAGTATGTTAGGCATAGAGATAGTCGTCACTGCTTGTTCCCCCATTTCAATGGACAATTCGATGTATGTACACGTTACTTCCTGTACTTTGTCGCGGGTATAAATTTCAACCGATCAAAAATGCCGGGATCAAAAATCCACTAATCACACTGACCGAACAATCGAATTTCACATGTGTGAATCACAATCACGAATCATCAATGTGAAGAAAAAGGACGAGAAAGAATGCCCTCGAAGTGTCCAGCCTAATGTCGTCGAAGCTTAGGATTTTTTTATTACGTTCAACGATTTCCAGCTAGTAAAAGACTGTGTATAGCTAATCAACAAAGATTCAAGTTGACCGAGCACTACTTGCTTCCACGGCGTAATATTAACGTTCAAATTAATTCTGAGGCCACCGTCGTGGAGTCTTAAGAAGAAAAAAAAAGAAGCTTCGTGTCTGAGGAAAAACACGATCGTCATTCATTTTCCTTCCTTTGTACGTACCTCCTTCTTTTTCACCAACTCTTTATCCTCTTCTTCTCTGTTTCCACTTCATTTCTACGTAAAGTAATGAAATACTTCATAACACTGTTTCGATATTTATTTGTCGAACGTCACAATCTGCAAATCAACCGATCGGACTCGGACAAGGTTAAACGCCGTGTGCACCTATTGGCGCGTACTGTGTCTTACCTTGCTTGATCAGTCCACCCTTCTCTCTCTCTCTCTCTCTCTCTCTCTCTCTCTCTCTCTCTCTCTCTCTCTTCATCTTCGTCTCTCACCATTGACAAAACCGTTCATCCCACGACGAACAGTCGCTATAGTTTTATACATGCGATTCGATGTGACATTCTAGTCCCATATCTCGCGCATTTCTATATTCTTTATTTCTACGTGCACATTGCTTACACTTGAACACAATAGACTATTCATATCCATTTAAACCTTAGCATAACATTCGACGCATTTAGAGTGTACATTAAGACACGTCTTATTGATACAAATTGTCAGTTATATTACATTGACCTACGGCAGACAATAATTTATATTATTTTACTTGACAGATTATACGAGGATCATATTTGTAGCTTATTCGAGTATCAGTTAAATTCTGCATAACAATCATTGTGCAAATAATACGTCTCGTCCAATACATTACTCGATTCTTATTTGCAGTTTCTCGATAAGTTGCGAGTGTTAACTAGTATGGCGGCTGTCACATAGACTAAATTTCCTTGTTTTCATGCTACTAACTATATTCTTCTTATTTCTCTCTTATTTTTTTGGTCCAAGAAAGGTCTGACTCGATGTCCTAATAAGTGGGCTACCCAATTGTGCTCGTGCGCGAGGACGTAAATACGTGGCAACCTTCGAATATCCTACTACTTGACGGCATTTTACAATTGTCACACTTCCAAGTCTGTGTTAGCTGCAGCGATCGTCTGGAACGATGCTTAGATATTGACGCCTGTGAGAGCATAAAAAAATGCATGAATTACGTGAGAGAAATAATTATAACGTGCACTTTTTATCGTGCGTCCTTCTAACCGACAGCTTCTAGAAATAATTCTTTCAATTGAAATAGAAAATATACCATAGTTGGCAAACTCTAGCTTCTTAAATCGAATATCCAATGTTTTGCATTTCACTACCACTGAACATGGATACACAATATGTATCCTATCTCTAGGGCAGAGTGACCGGTTTTTATTAGTATAATTCTTCAGACTAGCACATTTAAAAGAAACACATAGAGTCGTGCTCCGAGAGTGAAAAATATACTGGAATTAATAAGAATAACTCCTGATATTCTGATAACCTTCCTGCATATTCTAATCAATCGAATACGTTAAATAAAGTTGATCCTAGGACTGATCGTTCAATCAATCGAACGCAGTGCATAAACCTTTGCCTGATTAAGTAACTTCAATTGGCTACTTTATACTGAGAGCACTGACTATCGATCATCCAGTCATTGGCTTGATTTTCGATCTGACGACGATAAGAAAATATGAGCACAACTCGAACGTGCTTAGGTAAGAAAGAAAGATGGCGGACAGAGTAGAGCAATACAGACCGTAGAATATTCCGATGCAGCATTAGGAAGGCTGATCGGTGCGTGACAGCAGCGTATTTCCACATTTACGCTGTCAGCTACGGTTCTCGTGTGGCTTGCGGGGAATTCTCATCGTGCACTTATTCCTGGTGCCTATGCGGATTGGTGAATCGGTGAACAGGATGAATATCATGGTCGCTGTGACTACGTCGCAAACACGTACCGGCGGTAAGTAAGTAGTCTTTGCGTACGTAACGGATAAGTAAATTGTACCGAGAGTTCGAACGCCTGGCCCGATCAAATGGGCGGCCATCATGAGTCGCGCGATACATTCTGGGTATTATTCGGTTAAGCCGTCACGTGATGCCCGAAGTCAAGCGTACTACGCTAATCAAAGGAAAGTCTGTTCTCATGATCATTGTAATTCCAATGAGAATAAGTGACGCTATAGAAAGATGCTTGAAATTGGAAGCTGCTGCTGAGATGAAAACTTGATAGCAGTAAATTAGGCTGTACCGTCGACACTTGAGATTATTATTAGTTGACACCCACGTGCCTTTTTATACGTCGTTACTTTCATCAGGTTACTTCTCTGTCTCGTGCCTGATTGTTTGATTATTTAATTGGAGCGCCCTACGCGCGTACGTTAGACTCGCTGCAAAGGATCCAGCTGAATTATTCCTTCTCGTGTCTTTCATTTATAGCTGAAAGTTCAGGCTATTTGAAAATTTAGGTACTCGTTCGACAACACTTGATCAGCACAGGATATTATTTTATTGTTATTTAATCTCTGCTTTGTATAACGTTGATAGGCTGTGCGTTCATTCGATCGATTCTTTCTGGCTGTAATAAATATAGCTCAATCATATTAAATAACATGTCTCTCAATCTGTCTTAACTTTAACACTGTTTATCGATAATTAATATTTTCTATAATAAACGCTTAAAGATTAAGATTCGATTGCTGTAGTTATTATCACAATTTTCATGCAAATTTTAACGTCCTCGATACCCAGTGCATCTTATGCCTGTAACTTTGTACTTGTTAATAACTGTCTGTGCTATTTTACTAGCAGAGCATCTGGTTTACAAATAGAATGCACATTTCACAAGTAAAATATTTCAGGACCTCAGGTTTCTTTCCAGATACTTGCGGGTTCTCCCAGCCAGCCGTCACTTCCGCTAAAGGAAGTCGATGACTCTATAAAAATTCTCTTGTGGTTAGGTCTTCCGTTCACCGTTTCGTCATCGTTAATGCAATAGCTGTTAAGTCTGCCATTTTGAATATCATAATTCGTCAGTCAGTAAAATTTCATTTGTCCTCGAAGGACTTTAAGGCATTGGTCACAAATGTTACACGAGTTCCATTTCCGCTTATGAAATTTTCCACAATTAATGTTTATACCCGAACGTACTCTTCCGTGTATTCGTCATCAATTTGATTGTAAACCAAAATGTAAATCCAAAATTCACGTGTGCACGTGATGCCCTGGAGTGTAAACAGCTGGCATCCATTCGGCAACGGCGTTCGCACGATAAAGCGTGACTGGCATTACTGGCATACTTTTTCTTCGCCACACGAATATACAAATTCGTCGGAGCAGTGTGCGTATGTGACCGGAAATTTCTGTCAATGGATGGACCTTCAAGCACACTCCGCCTTCTCTGTTATCTCTATTCCCTCTATACTTCACTATGCGTAGACTATTCCTCGCACTAACAACTTAGCTCAGGTGGTCCATAGACAGAATATCTTTTTTATTATACGTTTTGGCACTTCAACGCACGTCGTTGTGTACCTATTTTACACACTATACATAATTTATATTTATTTATTACGTAACACGCTATTTTCATCCTCGAATACTTTTGTCATCTCGATCCTCCACACTTTAATCTTTTATTCGCATGCTCGCGGACCCTTAGACATAGACTCGAGCAGTATAGTAATATAATAGTAATGGTACAGTGATATACTGCAGTCAACTTAACCTGTAGCAATAATAATAACATAGTCGTTCACGTCACCAGTAACGGACTTCACGCGGTCAGGATGTTTCGAAATTTACTGCCAGTGCTGCGACCAACGCTGTGTCCTTATTCATCTATAGGTATCTGAGAAGGAGAAAGAGAGAGAGAGAGAGAGACGTAACTTATTTCGCAATACTGTCAGTAAATTCGAGAATCCTTAGTATTGTCCGTGAATAAAAAATCTTTGTCTTTTGCTAATTTACGAAAAGCTACACAACGTATCATCGTAGTCGTCCTTGTTGCCATAACCTCCAATTCGACTCCATTCGAAATCATCTTCTATGTCCTAACGAACTTCTTCGGCAATGTATTTCCGTAAATATTCCTTTGGGCTGATTTTGTATAAAGTTCAAGAATAGATTCGTTTCTTATTATGGGTATCACGAATTCACCTATTCCCTATATGCATACGTATGCTGAATACCTCTATCCGTATGCTCGTTCGCTATTTGCGACTATGTATCTCCAACTATCAACCTTGTTAATGGTGGAGGGCTTTTCATTGACCGATTGGCTGAATGAAACTGCGTACCTCGTACCCGTTCATTCTAATGAAGCAGCCTCGAGCTCACGCTCAAACTTTAAATCTTTTCACTTATTGACACTAAGCTATAACTCGATCTTCTTCTTTCTTTTCGTCGGTTCTTTTGTAAACCGTTAGATGAGTAGGCAGTAATGGTTTTTTTTCTTTGTAGGTGATTATTCTGGAAAAAAGTAAGCATTTGATGTCAGTATGGTGGTTGGGTGTGATAGATGAAATTTATTGAAGATAAAAGTGTATCTTCCAAGAGGGTGGGGGGGGAGCTGCTTTTTAGGATCCTTTGCATGAAAATGTCTCTTACACTTGGTATTCTTGTTGGGGGATTTATCACTGGTAAATATATGTGCAGTATAAGTTGATTGATATATATATATATATATATATATATTTGTAATGTTAAACGAAAGGTAGAAGAGTCTGGCATAATCATATGTGCAGTATAAGTTGATTGTAAAAGTGTATCTTCCAAGAGGGTGGGGGGGGAGCTGCTTTTTAGGATCCTTTGCATGAAAATGTCTCTTACACTTGGTATTCTTGTTGGGGGATTTATCACTGGTAAATATATGTGCAGTATAAGTTGATTGATATATATATATATATATATATATATTTGTAATGTTAAACGAAAGGTAGAAGAGTCTGGCATAATCTGACGGGCTTGATTACGTCGATCGCGTAATTCGAATAGTTTGCTGCGCGTAGAAAATCAGGAAGAGTAAAAAGCGAAATAGGTTTTCGGTCTATTTGTCGCAACAGTAGCTTTCACTGTGCACGAAGGAAATTCGGATTTTTTTTTGTAAATAACAGCGGTTCCTGATAGCAACGAGCGCGAGGACGAGGGTGGGGTCGAAAGAGCGAAGAAAGAAAAATTCGTGAAATCCGCGCCATTGCACTAATAGGGCGGCCTGCCGTCAGAATTTTACGTATTGCACAAATATCAACAGTCACGAGACTTTAACAATAGGAATCGAAGTCTGCTTTCACCGAAATCTGCAACGCTTTTTTATGCTGCTTACCGGATCAAGAGTCTTTCGCTGCTTTTCGATTCTCTCCATGTAGTTCCTATAACCGTCATTTATTATATTCATTATTCGATTCGCTGGCTTGAAGATCCTCGGAGCGTGTCGCGTAGCTAAGACTGTCCTTTTGAAAATGGCAGAGAAAGTTTATGGGATCAAACTTGAAACTATCGGATATGCCTACTGTCTTTCAAATCCAACGATTCGGTCGAGCTTCGACTTTCGGCGCGCGCACGTGCATTCCGAGATACTTGGCGGCTTCTCGAATCTTCTTTTGCCTGTCAGTCGAGGTTTGCGAAACGGATTGAACGTCGTATGAAACTCGTAACAACTTACCGGCAGTTTAAAACGCGTAGCATTCTGCATGGGATAGAATGTTCAGGTATAACGTGTTACTGCGCGCAAGCGACAGTGCCGTAACGGTGCAATGTAACCAATGGGTATAAGAGACATACACGACGAGAGGGGCGTCTCTAAGCGACAAAGTAGATTGTGAAACGAGAAATAATGAGCCTGCTAAAGTACTAACGGCCTTAACTACCCGCAGCTTCGAATTTAATTCCCGCGCGCATGACGTCACCAGCACAGAGGGAATAGTACATAGTACCAGGAATGGTATATGCGGCAGAGGAGCCTATACATATGTGTCTAAATAAATAATCTGTGAAAACATAGTAATCTATAGTCGGATGCAATCTTGGTCAAACAATTGTTCTATGGTAGGAATAGCATTTTTCGACAATTACGAAGAATATTCGTGGAAACGTAACCGGTACGTTTACGGCTCGGAGTATCGTGGGGTTTGTTATGTCTACTGTGTGAATCCTGGTAGAACCGACGAGCGTCGCGAGTTCTGACTTCGTAATTGTGAGTATTAACGGTAATACGGTCTCATATAATTTAATCGCATCTCACACTCTCGGAATTCTTACTAAACGATATTTCTTTCACTCCTGTCAGATAGCGATACTCGCATTGGAGAATTTTATGAAAAATTTTCACAATCTCCTGCGGTCGTAACCTCAAATTGTACATTGTCCAATTTTACTGCTGCTTCGTCATTGAAAAATTGCGTCTAATGGGATACGTATATATTATTATATCACTTTGCACTTCCGAAATGCATGCAGGTCAAGGACTTTTGTTGGATAACTGACACGTTAGATAAGATACAGTATCGCTTATCGCTGGACTGAACTCAGAGACATAATAATTGTAACTACACGAGTCATATGCCCTTTATTAATAACAATGAAATAAAATTAGCGATTTTTATTAACGTTTCAGGAATTCTTGTTTTCGTCACGGAAATATTGTAAATTTTCTCGAAACGGAAATAAACGCATATTTACTGCTGCCTTCGTTGGGACAGATTTGGAACTCGTAAATTTCCCGAATAAAGGATGACTGTCGTTTGTCTTGTATGTACAAGACTCCGTTCAAATTTTCAATAGCAAAAGGAGCTGATGTATACCTGCAAAAAAACTTGTGCAGTGTTCTTACACCTTATTATGCATACAAGGCATTTCTTCTCGAAGGAGTTGTAATGAATTTTTACCAAATATCTTTATTCCGCAGATCGAAAGAGTGATGTTAGTTCAATTAGTTAGCTCAATGAGTTTCGTTCTGTCTAGCACGACTCGATTATTCATCTTTTACCATTCTGTAAGTCGTGTATACTTTACAATTTATTTATATCGTTAACGTTCTTTTCTCTCGTGATTTCACTCGCTGCCGGCAAATTGAGTGTCTTTAGTTATCGGCATCCACTTAGGTGTCCTGATAAATGTTTTATTAGAGAACCACATTACGTGTCATTTAGCCTTGGCAAATATTTTGCCTTTCATACGGATAACACGTATAATTACTCTTTGACATATGCTCGGCCAAAGTAATTGCGACGACCTAACCTAGAAAACTTTGTAATTCAGAATGTACAGAACTACACAGATACACGTTTGCCTGAATAGATATTAATTTTTGAAATTCACTATTATCCTTAAACAAACTGTCCAAGGTGCAAGTCCTGCCGGAAGTCATGGTTCTGCAACCGTCCTGTCAGTCTCAAGCGGAAGAGAGAAAATAAATATTTCAAAGTGAGCAAATTAATTGTAGGCGACGACGAAATCCTAATAAGTCGGACTATCACGCAGGTCGCAGTTTTAATTGGAACAATACTAATTATGAGACGTGCGATTGACATTTTTCCCTTTCTGTGTTTCGGGTTGGAAATCAAGAATGACGTCACGCGTTATCAGAAAGGTTTACGGAAACCCTCTGCGTTCTGCGAATGTCGGACTGCCTCTGCAGAATCTAGTAGAAGTCCGTTTAGCATATTTGCTATCGTAACGAATCGAAGCCAATTTTATTAGGTTTATGTGATCTTTTAAATTGTGCGCAGAAACATTTACACAATTTTGATTCTTTCAAACGGATTTCACTTGCGTTGAGTATGCTCCTTGAGCTCTTACAGATCCTTGAACAGGAGTCACTGGATGCTTCAGCTAAAACTGTATTGGTGCAATCGAATGGAAATATGTAGAGGCAGTACGATTTCCATTAAAGTCATTTATCCTCGAAAGACTTGAAAGTGGGACTCGAGAGGCTTTCCTCTGCATATGTCGCAGACACTTGATAGTAGAAGCATCTATTGGCACTCAGAAGAATTCAAGGACTAGTCACTCTCTTTTTTCTTTCCCATTCTTAAAAAGATACAGCATGAGATCACGTGGGCCCGTTCGATGGCTTTCTGAGCGTTTCGTTTGACTTTGATAGACATTTTCTCGTTGTGATCATTGAAATTGGGTAAGGGTATTAAGAAATCGGGATTAAGGAGTAACGTGATCAAGTGATGGAGGTCACAGTCGAGATTAGAGTCGAGATGGTCGATCTTTAACCTTTAATATTTTTCGCAGATTGCACAAGGCAAATTTAATGATAAAGTAAGAGACTTTCGTGCGTTTCGTGTTGTCCTGTGTAAGAGCATGTACTGGATGACGCACGTATTTCTTTAAATTTTAATATCTCAAAAGCATTTCAGTAATATCGACCGACTGGTCAAGGTTCAAGGAGATACATAATTTTGTGGAAATATTTTTAAAAATTTATCGGAATATATATCGGCAACGTTGTAAATATTTTTAAACTCGTTGCGAATAATCAAATAAAGAGCGGATCTTCGAAACCGTTAAATAGTTCTAGAAAATTCAAGAAGATGGCAGGCGGAGCGCGGACGTCCTAAAAGACGCCTAAAGATGTCTCTCCAACGAGGCTTTAACCAGAGATGAGTAGGGAGATTGCCAATGAGCCTGTTTTTGGTGAAGGCAATTTTTCTCTGGTTTCGGCGCGCCACCTTAGCGGAGGGCCCTCGAAGCAGTTCCACGTTTTTGATTGGTCGTGTATATATAGTAATACTACGCGTGATAATCTGGAGCTGTGTTTTGGCGTGTCGACGCGCCACCTGAACGAGACTCTCGAACTAGTTCCACGTTTTTGATTGGTCGAATGAATTCGTGTGTTCCTCGAGATCCACGATTTTAAACCGGGTGAACACTCAAATAGGGAGACTTGAATCCACCCTTTCTTACTGCATATTACATAAACCGTAGTAATAAGGTAGTAAATTTTGCCGATGTTAATTCCCTTAATATCCATATGAAGCTTTGTAAATAATAGAGTGAGCAAATAATCTTTCAACAAACCCTCAAACGTGGGTAACTAGAGAAATATAAAGTTTCCAATTTGTACAGCACAATGGCTCGGTAGCGTACGTGCTTGATGCTGGATTAACGTCCGAGAATCTCAAGTTCGAAACTCACGTCTCATCCCTTTTTTTTTTCTTAATTATCGACTATGCTTATTGGTTCACCTAGTTAACTTAAGATTCATTAAATATATGATTATATTAATCTACAAATATTGTATTATATTACATCGTATACATCCAATAAATTGGTACATGAATCAGCGAACGTTTCTTTTTCCCGAGAGCCTACCTGTGACAAACACTTATGGTAGGCTGTTTCCTTTTTTAATAGCATAAATAATATTCAGACGGATAAAGAAGGCATTACGAAAAAATACTGAAAACAAAATTGCTGCAAATAATAGAGTAAGCAAATAAAACTTAAAAAAAACTCTCGAACGTATGTAACTACACAATTACAAGTTTGCTAAATAACTGGCTTCACCAAAAACAGGCTCATTGGCAATCTCCCTACTCATCTCTGCTTTAACAGCTTTGTCTCAGCTGTCGGAGAACCTGAGTTTCTGGCTAATGAGGAATCTGACTTTTCCAGTTATACCAACGAGTCACGATCAGTACGATAAAGCTGCTTCACATTCTTGAAAATCATTACGAAACAATCGAGTACAATCGCACTGCGTCCCCGGGATGCCTTACTGCAAAATATACAGGCTTCGATTCTACGATTTTGCTGAATATTCCGTTTTATGCGTTCGTCACGGTGTCAAAAAGAGATTCGTCAGCCATTCGAGTGGCAAGGACGTTGCCCCCCGCAGGGCTTAACGCGCCGGCGACTTTATTATGCTGACGGACTACAGCAACAGCCTGAACAGTTCTGTCGGTTATGTCGCAACGCGTCACGAGTCGGGAAAGCGTCGTTTCCTCGAATCGCGCGTCGAACAAAAGCGAGGCTCGAGAATTTGTCGACTAGAGAAAAAAAAACAAAAATTTAATAATGAGTGTGATAGTTAACAGTTGACAGGAACACGTAGCAAGAATTTGACATGGTACGATTAGTTTATCATGGCCCTGAAGAAACCCTGCTTTTAATGTAGACTAAATAATAATACCACATTGATGAGGTTATAATGTTTTTATTTTCTTTTGGTAACGACCATTCCATCATTCCTTCCTGCAGAATGACGTCCCGATACAGTACATTCTAAAGGATGCTTGAATACGTCACTGGGTGGCGACGATGGATGATATCTTTTTATAGAATTACGTTATCGGTAGCAGTGGCCTCCGCGCGACTATTCTTATCGCCCTATGAGGATCCCTTTTGACGATGCTTTGAAACTGGATCAATTGGCAGCATCTTTGTCTGCTGTCACGTGCGTTGACGGAGCTTGTTTTAAATTTACTTTTTCTTTTTTGCCTTCTAGAATACTCCTACTACAGTTACGATGCATCCTCGAAGACCAGAAGATCACCCGTGGACCTGCCGAATCTTTCATTGGCCAAGTCCTTCGCGAGGTCGTCCTTATCTAGAAGACGACGTACCCCTGAAACTGATCTGACGATCAGCAGTAACATGCAAAAGCAGGAGCAGCCCGTGATCAACACGAATCCCAAAGTGGCGTCGGTCAACGTGACGTATTCGACCGATGACGGTTCCAGTTCTCCATCTACGAGCGCCTTTTCCACTGTGGTCACTACACCAGCTGCTCCACCAGTTGGTGCTGTTGAACAAACTAAACCTGGGAAGAATGTGTCTTTCGTCGTTTCTCAACCAATGAATCCAGCTGTTGGATTACCTGTAGGTCTACCATTATTCATCATCATTGATGATCTTAAGATACTGTTAATTATATAATGAACTTAGACAATTCAAATGTATCTCTTGATAGCCTCGAGGTGTTATCTGGCCGAACAGGACTATGTCGAAAAACGTCACTGACCAACCTCAGGGCGAATCCAGGACGCCGCAGTCTACGCCGGATGAGAATTCAGACATTGACGACATCTCCATAGACAAGTTCTCGATAAACAAATTCGAGATGAACAAGACCCTCACGCAGAATAACGTAACGAATGTCGAGGAAGATACTCATCTCTATTACAACAGTACGATCGTTACCAATGAGACTATTGGGAAGCAGCTATGGGTCGATATGGACAATCATCCTGACGTCAAAGTCAATGATGTCCTCAGTCAGAGTTACAGAAGGGCTGCTGTGAGTTCACTTGACCTTACTTATGTTTTTTCTTTATTCAATGCACTCATGGGAATACTCATTTATCATCCTGACTTTAATCTTTTCTCATGACTTCCTATACAGACTGTCAAGCTCAAGTTCGACTTCCCCTTCTATGGGCACAAGGTTCGCAATATCACCATAGCTACCGGAGGCTTCCTCTACACCGGGGAGTATGTGCACAGCTGGCTCGCAGCTACGCAGTACATTGCACCGTTGATGGCCAATTTCGACACTAGACTCTCGAACGAGAGCTTCGTCAAGTATGCCGATAACGGTATGGATTTTTGTACAATTTATAAATATCATTCTTAGCAGTGTTAATCTTATTTCATTATCTCCTCTTATTATCAATGGATAGAAACTGCCTTTACCGTCGAGTGGGACAAGGTAATACTCCAGGATAAGCCAAATGCCGGACCATTCACGTTCCAGGCGACACTTCATCAAAATGGAGATATAGTCTTCGTCTATTCGGTCGTTCCTCTAGTCGTCGAGAATATCGAGGATACTGAACATCCCGTCAAAGTCGGTCTCAGCGATGCTTACATAATGGACAGAACCACCGCCTATTGTAAGTCCTGCTAGTTTTCGATCGATACTTTTGATGTTCTATCTAGTTTTTTTTATTGCCACAGTTCTCCTATTTTTTTTTGTTCATACTGACTTTCATTAACGTCTTCTGTTCCTTCGATTATCCAAATTAATTCTGACTCTCGTAGGGAGACTTGTCTCTCGATACACATGTGAGTATAATAATTAAAGTGCGACTCTATAAGCAAACTAGACAGGTCAGTGACTACGTTTTCGTTAAAACCCGACTTGCACCTGGCGTCACTTTAGTTTAACTGAACGTTCTCAGTTTGGCTGGGATCCAATTGTATAAGTACGAACTTTGCACGTGGGTTCTATAATTTTTAACTTTCAGTTAAAGCGTCTCTGAGAACAATGAACCCCTTTTAAATTTGGACATACTTTATTCAGTTTGTTTTTTATTCTTTCCTTGTTTTTAGCCATTCGTAGAAAAATAATCTACGAGTATCATCGGGTCAACTTCAACAGACAGGATATACAGAACTGGACTGTCATTTATCTGCGTGCTCTGCCCACGTGTTTCGAAATGGATAACTGCAACGACTGCTTAACCAAAGTCACAGGATTCGACTGTAAGTGGTGTCCGAAATTGAATATGTGCAGCACCGGTACCTTCCGGCACAGACAGAACTGGCTTAAAAACGGCTGCGAGGTAAACAGCATCGAACAGGAAAGCAGCTGCCGCGTTGAACCCAGCCAGCAAGCCAAGAAACGTAGTTCTCTTGATCATAGTGGTACGTACTGATGCTGTTGACTCCGGGCATCCGCTCCCTCATTTAACAGTTGAACCACTAGCCTTTTCTTTTTCACCATTATCAACATCAAAAACGTTCAAAAAATCAAAACCAAAACCCAATAGTCTTGTGCTCATCAAAGTTCTCCCTTTTAAAGATCTATGTTTCGTCCTCGTCGTTCCGTTATATTACGCTTCAACTAAGATAGGGGAAGAATAAATAAAAGTAAACTTACGAGCAACAAAGGGGTTAATTAAAAGGTAGCTCCGTTTACTTTCCTTGCAAAATACTTTCCCCTTCTTATAGATTGCTTTATAGCGCTTTTCCTTTAATTTAATATTACCCATTATTCTTCTCTTACAGCACGTAGCAGCATAGACATGGGAGTCCCTGGGATTATTGGGATCCTCATCGTGATCGCCCTGTTCGGCGGTCTCGGTGCTTGGGGTGCTTATGCTTACCGCAATCCTCACAGCACACCAGGACAGATGCTCATTAGAGTAAGTTTTTATTTAAGTCATTATATTATTTTTGTCATTAATATCGTACCCAATTTAAAATACTATTTTTCTTTAATTATCCTTTTAACAGTATCGACCGAGCCAGTGGAGTTGGCGAAGAGGCGAAGCTCGCTATACCGCTGCAACAATTCACATGTGACGAGAAACGCATAGCTGAAAGTCAAGTCAACTGACCACAAATATTTCTCGGACCAAACTTCCTACTAAGTGTATACAGTACCAAGTCTGCAGTTGATATACTGAATCTCCTCTACTACCTGGTTGCAGTCGCGCACGTTGCTTAAAGAACGATTAATCGTAAATGTCTTTTCCGAGTCAGGTATTTGTTAAGGCTCCAGTTTAACGAAGAGTATAATCCTACGTCGTGCGTTTTATAGAAATGCTCCCGGGTTAATTAATCGCAATTAAACAAAACCGACAGTCGCGAAACTGACATCACATTTTCAAGTGATACGTGTGTCGAACCTGGATAATATGTAGAGCATTCACCCTAGGCGCAAGCTGCGGTTATAAAACGATACAGTCTCTCATTAATGCGTACACAGTGGCTTTTCACTGGAAACGGGAATATAATTTTAGAACTAGCCTTCTTGAAATAATTTTCGGTCGTCGAACTCTCAAACGCTACGCTGATTGTTCAATCGCTCGAATAATCAAGTCGAGCGAATAACGTGATTGACCCAGATATGTTTTTTAGAATGAACTTAGTTGCTTCTTTTCTCTTGTTAATCTTTCCAAAGACTGTTCTGTTGTATTGTCACCTTCAATTTTTATTTCTTTACTTCCTCTTCTTTCTTTTACAGTCTACAATCTATTTGGATAGTAGGGTTGTCGAGTGTCGGTGGTTTAAATTACGAAATTAAAGTATGTAATACTCAAAGGTCGGGCCACATACAAGAATAACTCGAGCATAATGATGATGATAATAGTAATAATAGGACGGAATGTATACTCAACTGAAATTTATGAAGATTCACACAGTGCCTCTAACACGTTAATATGTCGGAGTGACGAATGCGTCGAAAGGACGAACGAGAGAGCATCCTCAATGTGCTACTTTATGATGTCAAATGACTTTGCAACTTATGGCATATTTTTTTCATTGCCCATAAAAAGGAATTTGTTAATCGTTACACCAGTTACCATCATTCTTTAATATTATATGTGACTGTCACGACCAGAAAGTGTTTTTAATGCAAAATTTGTTTCAAAGGAACTATTTGCTCGCTCGGAGGGGCGAGAGTGCTATTCACAGTTTAGTTAATTTTACTTGTTTATATTATATTTTATGCAGTATTCTGATGTAAAAGCGAATCCTAAAGGGAGAGGGAGGGGGGCATCAATCGGAAAACATTTAGTGATTCCAATTAAAAAACCTTTTGAATCCCTGTTGAAATATGGAGATTGATAATCTGGTCTACATCTCGTTAATGGTTCCACTTCAGCTTATACACAGGGAACACAAAGTAACAGTTATATATGTCGGCAATTATAATAATTCCTGTTCAATATCGTAATGGTTATGAGGCACGTATTGTAAAGTGACTGTTATGTCTGTGGTTAGGAATTTTGTAATTACTGTTACGTCACTCTTGCTTTGCGTTTGACGGTTACCTATTCTTTTTACTTTTCATGACATTCCAAACGATTTTCTCTTTTTTCGTCCTTTTCAATGCTCTTCTGAATCTAGTGCTAACTAAAATGCAATATATAAATACAGCGGGCTCCAAACGCTAAACCTTGTAATGCGATTTTTGAGGTTGTGTTGAAACATACGTTAAGAATGCTTAAGGCCGATGCTGAATTATATAAAGTGACTAATGTGATTGCGGATTTAATTTTTCAACACATTGACTGTTACGTCGGCACCTATTGTCCGGCGTATGGCTTTTACATATCCAACAAATTTCGCTCGGCAGTGAACGTGTTAAAAACATTTCTATTTTTAAATTGTTCATCTCTTCGAAATTAATTAATTTACTTCTTCTTTTTCTGTTAGCTATACCGAAATAAATCCAACGGTGCATAATTTCATGTTATTTGGACGGTCTTTTGGAGCTGACAGATTTCAGAATGGTTTTTGAAAAACTATTTTTTTTTATCGAATATGCCATCATATTTTATACTTGATACAATTTAACGTCAATCTTGATCACTTTTCACGTATCTTTAAACGTGAACGGGAAAAACACGCAGAGTTTAACTGGGATAGTTTGCATGGACACTGACGCGAATTGTAATTTCGTCGTTCCGACTGGATGTATAAATAAATAATGTATATGCATAATTTTATATATATATACACAGATTTATACACCAACAATATTTTGTGAGGTATTTTTTTTTTGTTTACGCATCACAAGCACCGTCGCTGTAACACGTAGTATGTAACAAATATAATGGAAATTTACAGTAGCTGATCAATAACATTATATCTTGAATGTATATAGTAGTATTTTAATACAACATAATTTTTGTGTAATTTTAGTAAGCGAATATATATAATGTTGAGAAGAGGTGCCTTCAATGAAAAATTTTATCTCGACGTCTTTTTACACTTGTTTTTAATTCTGTTACCGAATTTATGAAATTTGTACATTTAAACGGAGCAATGATGTATGGCGCAATTGAGAAATAATTGGACGCAATTACGGGGCGACTGACATAATAGTTTTTATAAATGGTGTGAAATGTCACTGTTGGACGTGATGCTTATCGTTTTAAGGGAGTGTCGTACTAATTCTGTTATAATATAAAGAACGAGGCGTTTATGAAGTGGACAGGAGAAATTTAGAAAGCCTCGATAAGCTTCTATCTATTACTGATGTCTACAGTTTAATTAATAATTTGTGATAATAAATATTTTAATTAATATAAGAGTTGCGTGCGTTTTACTAAGAAAGCCGTATACACCACCATTTTATTCCATGTTACGTTTGTATAATTGAAATAATCGCTGTCAAGAAAACACTAACTCGTATCTTTCAGAAAATGTTTCAACTTGTCAGTTTCAGTTCTTATCCATCTTGACCCAGCTTCATATTCACAGTCAGTGCTTGAGATCATGATTAAGATGAAGCACTTCTTATTCATGCTGGCTTTATCTCCAAGGGAACCAATTGCCAGGTGTTGACCAAATACTGATTATGAATACGGACCGCAAATTCAAATTTTTGAGTGATAAGGCACTAATACACTTATCGAGACAGTGCGTTCATCAAATACCTTTTTCTATCCTCGTGCGCGCGTATCATTCTTTGGAGTTATCGTTTCGACGGTTGGCGTATCGGAAATTATTACAATTCGACTTATCGAGTTGGAAATTCGCGAAAATAAGGTTCGAGGAATGAAACTTTGTAAGTTTGACTGTTCTTTATAATCTTGTGGATTTTACCATTCGAGTTGGTTGTTTAGGCATAAGTAGAGAACCTTCACTATTAGCTGTTGATACAATTTTCCGTTAGTGCTAGCGAATAACTTGGGCTTTTTGTCGTAGCTGAACTAACCATGATAAATGGAAAATTCACCTTATTACCAGTGCAGACCGTGCAGACTAAATGGACTAAACTTTTTCAATATTGGCGGCTGCTGAACGTTGTTGACCAGTGTTGACCAGTGTTGACGATGCTGTGCGGTCTTTGGTGGTGTTACTCTGTGTGACTTGTAAAATCTATTTTTAATCAAATTTACCCTGTATTCGTCTTTGGCATCAGGTTCCAACAGCAGTGCTTAAAATATCTCTGCAACATGTCAGAAAAATCTAGATAGTTCTTTTAGCCTGATAATATAACGCAGCATCAGTGCATTGCTCAGTCGTGAACAGAATTCAACAAGTACGAGACGAGATTAGAGATACATAACCAAGTTACTCACTTAATACCTGTGATTTTATTTTGGAGCAATATAGTGAACATTATTGACATATTCAACTTGATCATTACGTTTATTTAATTATTTGATAAGGTAAGCTGGTACGTTTAAATAACCTAATACTTTAAGAGAATTTCTTGTTTTTTTAATTAAACTATTTTAAAATCTACAGATTTAAACTTTAGAACCATACATGTTGCTGATAGTTTTGTACCAGTTGTCGATGTAATGAAAATTTGTCATCTTTGGGGAATTATATGTTTCAGAGCACATACCACGTATTTATCATGACGAAGACTGATTTGTTGCCACGAGAGTGGAAAGAAAAGGGTAACGAGGCTTTCAAGAAAGGTGATCTAGAAGATGCTTTAAGTAGCTATACAAGTGCGTTACATCTGGCTAAAGATGATGATGCAGAAAAAGCTGTTTACTATAAAAATCGTGCTGCTGTATATCTACGCCAACGCGAATATGCTAAAGCAGAGAAGGATTGTGATGCTGCGTTGAAGATATGTCCTAATGACCCCAAAGCTCTATTCAGACGATGTCAAGCATTGGAAGCTCTAGAGAGATTTGAAGAGGCATATCGTGATGCTCGAGCCATTATTATCAATGATCCTGGTAACAAAGCAATTCAGCCAATTGCTGCTCGACTACATGAAATCGTACAGGAGCGTCTGAAACAGAATTCACGAGTTACTGTTAAGGTACGACTAAATAAACACTACAATAGAATACACTCTGTTAAATGTTTCAAGTTTAATTAGCTGAATTTTCCTCTGAATTTATTGCAGGTTGCACAAATGTTAGAGGTTGCATTTGACTTGAGCAAAGAGAATGGTCACCGTGAAACAGCCATGAACAATTTATTGGTGTTATCGCGTGAGAAAGCTGGAGCTGAGGTTATGTTCAAGGAAGGGATAGTGGAAAAAATTACGAAACTTTTGAAAGTCGAGAAAAAAGAGGAGATTATCGTGTCGGCTGTTCGCATAATTGCAGAATTGTGTAAAGACAATACCGCTCGGACGGAACTAATTCTGAAGGATATTGGGATTCCCTGGTTTCTAGAGATGATCAACAGCAAAAACGTAGATAGAGTGAACGCGGCGCAATATTGTATACAAATAGTCTTAAACAGCTACAGTGGTATGGACACCAAGCCGGAATCAAAGCCAAACAGTGAAATGTGCGAAAAATTCAAAAAGGAAATTGACACTGTACTCTCTTGTTTGGTGTACAGTGTGACGAGCCGTACAATCACAGGACTAGCACGAGATTCTATATTGGAATTGATAATGCGAAATATTCACTATACCGCATTGAACTGGGCAGAGCGTCTGGTTGAAATTCGCGGCTTACAACGATTGATGGAAGTCGCGAGCGAACTCGAGGAGTACAAATACGAGTCTGCTATGGAAATCACACAATCGACGAGGACAGTGACTAGCGTCTGCCTTGCACGGATTTATGAGAACATGTATTACGATGCTGCCAAGGAGAAATATATGAATGCCATTGACGAGTACATAAAGGATAAGCTACTGACTCCGGACATAGAGTCGAAGATTCGCGTAGTTGTCGCGATAACTACTCTTCTACTGGGTCCACTGGACGTCGGTAACTCTATAGTCGCGAAAGAAGGCATCATGGAGATGATTCTAGTTATGGCGGGTACGGAAGATCCACTACAGCAAAAAGTGGCCTGCGAGTGCATTATTGCAGCAGCTTCGAAAAAGGATAAGGCCGCTGCAATTATCAATCAAGGTGTTAACATACTAAAGAAACTGTATCAATCTAAGGATGATTCGATTCGCGTGCGAGCTTTAGTGGGTCTCTGTAAATTGGGAAGCTCAGGTGGTACCGACGCTAAGATAAGACCATTCGCAGATGGAGCGACGAAGAAGTTGGCAGAAGCCTGTCGAAGGTTCCTTATCAATCCAAAGAAGCAAAAAGACATGAGGAAGTGGGCTGTCGAAGGTCTCTCGTATTTAACGTTTGATGCCGAGGTGAAAGAAATGTTAGTTCAGGATCAGGAAGCTGTTCAGGCGATGATCGAGTTGGCTAAATCGGGTGACCAATCGGTAGTCTACGGGGTCGTCACCACCTTGGTCAATCTGTGCAATGCATACGACAAACAAGAAATAATACCAGAGATGATCGAATTAGCTAAATTCGCAAAGCACCATATCCCTGAGGATCATGAGTTGGATAGTCCAGAGTTCGTTAACAAGAGGCTGTGTCTTTTGGCAAAGGCGGGAGTAACCAGCGCCCTGGTCAGCTTATCGAAGACAGAAAGTCAGAATAGCAGGGAACTGATTGCACGCGTTTTCAATGGTATTTGCAGTCAACATGATTTGCGGGGTATCGTCGTCCAACAAGGCGGCGCAAAAGCCCTTTTACCTCTGGCTCTAGATGGCACTGATAAGGGTAAGAAACAAGCAGCTCAGGCACTCGCTCGTATCGGCATCACCATTAATCCGGAAGTCGCCTTTCCGGGACAACGAATCATGGAAGTTATACGGCCATTTTTGAATCTGCTCAGTCCTGAGTGTTCCGCCCTCGAAAACTTTGAGGCTCTGATGGCACTTTGCAACCTAGCCGGTGTCAACGAAAACGTTCGCAGCCGGATACTCAAAGAGGGAGGTTTCCAGAAGATCGAACTTTACATGTACGAGGAGCACGAGATGCTCAGGAGGGCGGCTGCACAAGTTATGAACAACTTGTTAATGTCGGAAGAGGCAGTCAAATTTTACGAAGGCGAGAACGACAGGGTTAAATACCTCGTGATACTTTCTCAGGACGAAGATGAACAAACGAGCATCGCAGCATCGGGTGCACTGGCCATGTTGACCTCTCTCAGCAACAAGGCATGTGCAAAGATTTTCGAAACGACCTCTTGGCTGGAGTCGATTCATTTTCTGCTTGCCAATCCAAAACCTGAAATACAGCACAGGGGTGTCGTCATAGTCTTGAACATGATGGAAAGTACCAAGGAAGTTGCTAGTAAACTTATTGAGACGGACGTCATGGAAATTCTTATGGCATTGTCCAAGAGCGACACAGTAGAGAATCCTGTGATCAAGGAGATTGCCTTGAAGGCGTTAGAGGCTGCTGCTAAGTGGGATCTTATTAAGGAAAATCAGGAATCCTCCGGTGCAACCACTAGTACCAGTCCTCTGGAATCTATTGACTGAACAGTACTTTTAACATCCTTGAAGCTTCCAATTCCTGTTAACGTTCAATATTGATTTCTTCGGAAAGAATGCTAACGGCAATGATGATATTTGTATCGTGCGGACTTCTATTTAAATCAAGCTGATTGGTGATCTATTTGAATTTTACAGTGCCAAAACAAATTTCCTGTTATGAAGTTTATTCATCGGTATAATGTTTTTTATAGGACTATTTGAATTGGATTTTATTTTTAAAACTGAGACTGCTGACCTTAGACTTTCTCGGGATCGATTATACATGTACTTAACTTCACAGATCGTGCCTTGAAAAAAGTCTTTCTATTTTTTACATTCGAAAAATACAGTGCCATCGAATATAATGTTAGTAAAATCGGGCCTTTATAATTTGAGACTTAGTCTCGCATTTACTGGTTATTGTTAAGAAATATAATTATATAATTGTTAAGAATGTGTGACGTGCTTATGTTATGAGAGAATGAAGTTTATTTATTTATCAGTTATCATATATTAAAATTCAATATTTATTGTACATATCCTATGTGTGCGCGAACTTATAATAAATTGATTCCAGTTATTTTTATGTGTACTCACTTTGTTTATCAAGCACAGTGGATTCCAAGAATTGAAATTATTTATGTAAGAATAAAAGACCAGAATATATTTACATAGAAAATTTACGTATAGTTTATAACAAATATCAAGATGTCTGTAGAAATGGATGATTTAGAGCTTGTTCCGCAGTTGCTCGTGTCTTAAAATCTGGATCCAATAATCTGATCAGAAGATCATATGCAGTCATTGGGTATACCAAATGTTCTGAAGCTCTCTAAAATGTTAATATAATAATTTGAATAACAATTTTTCATAAAACTTATTACTCGTAGGAGTATACTATTGCATGCTTTCGAGAAATAACGTATCATACTTAAAAAAATAGAAGTGTCAATGGCAAAGTAAAGACAATAATACCTTATTGAGATCATTAAGTGCATTGATAGCTCGGCATGCTTTATTTCGGTTTCGTAACTTTTGACAGAGAGACACGATGTCAATCCCTGGGATATTTTCACTAAATACTAATTTTCTACCTGTTTCAATGAAAAAATAATATAAACCAAGCAACATAATAGAACAGTAAATTAATAATAAATTTTAACACTCCGCCACTGTGTCTAATAAAGTAATTGATCAAAAGTGCAAAAATAAGAAGAAATTATAGGTTTATTTTATCACTTGTGCTTCGCACATACCTAGTTTTCTTGCACATTGCTGCATTCTAGCCGAACCAAATATTGATGTTATCTCTGATAATGCTGTGCAGTCATCCGGTGATCGAAAGAATAATTGAGTACCACTCAGAATGCAAAGCATTATTACTCCACTTGCCCAAATGTCAATTGCTAAAATTCATGTTTCTGAATTACAAATCTATTAAACGATACAAGTGTTACAGTACAGAAGTAGAAAAAAGCAATACAAAATAAGACTTTACAACGGTGAAAATATTATAGGTCACAGTGTGTTTTATAGTGAATGCCAAATACCTACCTGGAGTTTGATAAGGATATTTCAGTAGTACTTCGGGTGCCCTGAACCCTGGTGTGCCAGCACGTGATGCCACTTGTGGCGGCTTTATTAAACATACTGAACAAATTCGTGCTTTTCCGAAACACACACATTTTGTTTCTGCGGCCTTTTTTGTATTTTCTCGCACTTTTTCCACTCGGTTCTATAAAACCAAGATTTTTCTTATAAAACTTTTTTTAAGGCTCGTTTTCGTTGTCATAACTTTTTGCCATACACATACTAAAATATATTACCTCATCTGATCGTTTTCTCTTGACAGAATAATTGCTTAGAACTTGTGCCTTGTTATCGATAGACAATTTTGTCTCCTCCGTATATTGTTGTGCTAATCCAAAATCAACTAGTAAATATCTAAAATTTTGAATAAAATAAGATAATGTAAATATAAATCCTTAATAAAGGTTTTCAATGACTTATCAAAGTAAACACCTTCTACTTTTGCGATCATATAAAAAGTTACTGGGTTTAATGTCTCTGTGTATGATATTGAACTTATGCACTCTTTTTAAGGCCGTTAAAAGAGCTCTCATGTAGTCTTTAGTTTCCTGAACACTCATATTATGAACATAATGCTGTAAAATATATTTGTACTGTAGTAAATGTCTATTCTAATTGTTATCATATATATTCAAATTAAATGTTTATTACCGAAAATCTATCATGTTTCATGTATGGCATTACAAATATAATGGATCCAGCACTTCTTACACACAGTTCCAATCCTGCGACATGATCCGTACCTCTGTAATAATTATAAACGGTTCTCATTTATGAAATTCAATACAACTAATTAAAAGAGGAATATGTAAAAAATCATTTTACAATTACCCAATTTTCTGCAAACATTGTAATTCTTGTTCGATTCTATCTGGATGACATGTAGGAACTAAATGTTTCACAGCAAATTTTTTCAAACCATCAGAACTTTTCAGTGTGGCTAGAAAAACTGAACTGAAGGTGCCTTCTCCGATTTTACCATGGACTTTAAATAAATCTTTCAGAAGAGGCACACTCTTGATGAGCTCAGCTATCTTCTTGTTATCATATTCTAAAAAAATGTTAATTTCCCAAATAAAAAGTTACTCGTAATAACATTCTCTGCCAAATAAAGAAGTAATTATAGGTATTTTACCATAATCCTCAGAATCTTCTTCGCTGCATGATAGATCTTGAAACTCTAAAGTCTCGCACTTGGCATTTTTTAACATATTAACTTCTCTCTTGTTTTCTGTACAGTTATAATACTACTAGTGCTAAATAATTCTTGTTAATTCTCACGTTAGGTGCAGCGTTTTGGAAATTTGAATTTCGTTTGAGGTCAACAACATAAACAGTGCGAATTAAACTCGTCCTGCCATAAACTCACAATGATATTTAAAACACTTTCCTTACGTTCTAATAATCTTATATACGCACAAGATGCTGATTCAAAACTGTAACTCTAACTAAGAAGTCAAAAAACCGATCAACAGATCATGGAACATTAAGAAATATTTTAGACTAAATAGACAGCTGTTAACACGCTGATAATGGTGGTAACTACAGTACGTGCAGTGTGCTGCGAGTATACTACTGGCGCTACAGTGTGTTTTAATCAGCTGTCGTTGGCTATAGTACAGTTAACTAGAGTTTCAATCAGTTCAGTTCAGTTTTGTTCAGTATTGCTCAGTATTGCTTGGTATTGCTTCAAAAGTTGAAGGAGGCATAAGCTCCTGCTCCAATAAGTGATAAAAATGTTGAACTATAAAGAGAAGGAAGTTTGTCTTTTTTGTTGAATTGCAAATGATTAACTAGTTTTAATAATATATTTCTGTCAGAAAGACACACAATCGTCTATTAATATTTAACATTGGCAAGAGGTTATCTCAAAATACTGTGTTACCGGCGATACTCTTGGTTTCTTTTCGTAGATTCTAAAGAAATCCAAGAATCTTAAATACATTGGGGTTGAAGTAGTTTTTCAAGAAAAGCAGCGACTTGTAATTATACTGAAAACCAAGAAGTTTTTTAAAGATGTTTTCTCTTGATCCTCCCAAACCACCAGAGTCTTCATCAGCAGTTACAGAGACCAAAAATCGAGTGTTTTTGAATGACGCTGACCTGGATAAGATAGCTGTCTATCTTGTAGGTAGTCAGCAAAGGTTTAGGGAGAATATAATTATTCCAAGAATAGCAGGTCCTGTTAAGATTAAGACGAATGAAGAAAAAACTGTAGAAACAGTAATGGAAAGCTGTGCTTTTAAAAGCATCATGGCTTGTGTCCTAGGTAAGTTCTTTTACTCTCTACATATTTACTTATATTGGTTGTACCGTTAGAAATATAGCAAATGCTTACTAAGGTTCATTTTACAGGATATGGCTTAGGAGCTGCTATTGGATTATTCTCGTCGAGTGTAAATCCTAATGTGGCAAGTGTAGAAAAGCAACAAACAGCTCGAGAAGTCTTTCGTGAAATGAAGACCACAACTTTAGGATATGCTAAAAATTTTGCTGTCGTGGGCTGTGTATTCTCAGCTATCGAATGTACTATTGAATCAGTAAGAATTTATCTTCCAATCCATTTATTTGTTATGACAATTTGCCTCATGGGGTAAAAACACATATTATATAAGAATGGTAATTTGTATGGAAATACAAGTCTATCCAATGTATTGCATTCAATTTGATTGTAATATCTTTACATTATGATTACATTCACTTGAATTTCAGTACAGAGGTAAAACAGATTGGAAAAATGGTACATATGCTGGTGGACTGACTGGAGGTCTGATAGGTCTTAGAGGTACTAATAGCTCTTTCTTTAGTAAACCTAATAATTTAAATATTATAATGCAACTTTTTTCGATCTAGCTGGTATAAAAGCAGGACTTGTTGGCGCAGCTGGTTTTGCAGCCTTTTCCACAGCTATAGACTATTACATGCATAGATCGTAAATAATATAAAACAAATTATTGTAAATAAGGAGGGTTTTAAATGAATAAAGCACAGTAATGCAAGTTTTATGTATCGATAGAGGGCACACGAGTGCGTATATGCAATTTATTTATTTTTTTAAAACTTACAGGTAAGTACAAATGTTAGAAGTTAAAATGAATTCATAGAATTGGGATGAACAATTTGCAAATTGTTTCGCAAATACATCACGTTATATCGTAAACACGTCACGAAAACTTTAAATTGCAAATATAAAACCTAAATGGAATCAAAAAATTTAAGAAGTGTATTCACTTATGGCCTAGCCTTAAATGTTAACATCATATAAGATGATTATGTTTACATTAACCAAAATAAATGCAATGTTGTAACGAGGCCAAGATAGTCTCGTTGCAGAAAAATATAAATATCTGTATATGTATTCTTTCTTTCTCCCTCTTTTCATCTATTCGTCATTGCCTATCACAGTAAAAAAATGAAGACTTCGCAAAATTACAATCGAGACTAGACGTGCAATATCACGTCACATGCGATGTTACTTCGAGTCTTTCGTTTTTTACTTCAATTGCGAAAATTCTAAAAATCTACTCGGAAGATATCAAATTAATCATTTCATACTTAAATATTGAATACATTTGCTCTCTCTATCTCTGTACCCGATTAAGAGAGATCCTTATAGGATTCAATATCGTTGATTATATTTCAGAATTGCTATTAGATTTGTGAATTTGCCGATCACAACGATTATCTTTCAATATGAGCATTATGTATGAACGAGTAATTCTGAAGTTCTTCCAATAGGAAATATGACGGCAGACCAAGCCTACATGCGTACCTATACTATAGGAAACTAAAAGTGTTTACATTACGTGTCGTATTGTAGAAAACAAAAATATATTAGGAAGTATCACTGTGAACCTACAAAGTATTGCCAAATTTCTCAAGTTCGCAGGCAGAAAATACAATAAGAAAGGACGAGCCATTTGGAAAAACTGCAAGGCACTTTTTTCTACTTCACTCTGACGCTGCAGGACAAAAGTCCAGAAACTTGAGTTCTTATTTCTTTCTCTTCCGCAAGATGTTAATAAATGCTGGCTCATAGTGTTTCGACTCAAGGAAAGATCATGAATTGGCGAAACACGAAGATAAAAAATATGACATACTAGATCGCGTCTTATATTTAGGAAAGACAATTCGTGCGAGGCAGCAATATTTCTTCTATATGTTTGTCATAATAATTTTGTTTTTGGTTCATCACACAGATTGAGATTCCGAAGAAGCGACTAGAAGCCACAAGATTATTTCCCACGTATGTTATACCTTCCGTATTGTTTCTTTCGTTTTTTCTCTAACTTTTAATTTTGGCACCTGGCAAGATGAAAACACCTTCGTTTGTTCAGTTTCCTTTGATTATTATATGAGATGAATTGAGAAATTAAGGTTTCTGCTGTTGCATTTGCGCCTGCATTGCAGCCAGCATCTCTTGCATTCGCCGCAATTCCGCTTCCTTTTCTTGCAGTATACGATAGTTCTCGGATGTGGCACCCGATTTCTCCGATTCAACGATTCTGGGAACAAATATTTATAGTTGTACGTACCACCATTTTCAGAACCGATAAAATTGTTACTAGGTATGTAAATGAGCACTCACGTTTGCCGTCGTGGTGGCACAGGAGCTCCTTTGGCCAATCGTTCACTACGATAATTCTCATAATGTACCTCTTGAGTGACCTCTTGTAAATCTTGCATGTGCGTACTGTTAAGGTGAAGATTGAATTTATTGAAATAACGTCTATATTTGCATTACGTCTATTCATTATAATATTGGATGTGTGTATATTGAAGTCATAAAAAAAAAGATTAATAGCAACTGATGATGAGCTTACATGAGCATTGTCCTCAATTTAATGAAGTCGCAGTGATCTGGATTTTCAACCTCGACAACACCCCATGGATAAAGTCGACCTCTGACCTTTCTCCCTTTGACTTCGAGCAGTGTGTTTGCACCGCAAACAGCGAATGGAACAGCCTCTTTCAATTGTCTCACTTGTTCTTTGTAATCTTCATCCTCATCACTATCGCAATCCGGTAGAGGATAGATCTTAATTCCGCTACCTTCTATTTCTTCCATAACACGTTTTTTCAAACGGAGCACCTCTTTTTTGGTAAGCACATCCGCCTTGGCGATCACAGGCACAATATTTACTTTATTGTGGAGTTGCTTCATGAATTCTATGTCCAGCGGCTTCAGACTTTAAACACAAGAGAGCAGAGTGATACTTAATATCTACTACAGGCTTATATTACGATGATGTTATTATATTCTAAATACATACCCATGACCAAACGGTGAGATGAAATAAAAGCAACAGTGGATTCTATTGTCAACTATGTTTCTTCGATTCAATCCACTTTCATCTCTGAGAAATCTTTCAAACTGATCGTCAATATACTGAATGATTGCTCTAAAACTGTCTGTATTATCAATAGCATCTCCGTATCCTGGAGTATCAACAACAGTTAAACGTAGTTTAACACCCCTTTCCTCAATCTCCACTGTAGATGCATCAAGCTTAACAGTCTGGTTTGTTTTCTCTATAAAAAATATTTGTTGCAAAAACACAAATGGAACAATGGTAATCTATTTTCTGTCTTGCTAACTTACCAACAGCATCCGGTATTAGTCTCTCTGGATATAAATCAGTAAGAAAAAGACTGTTGACTAGAGTGGATTTCCCAAGACCTGATTCTCCAACAACCATTAAAGTAAATTCAAAACCCTTTTTCACAGACTTCCGATGCACCTGGTTTGGTAAGTTCGCAAATCCCACATACCCTGGAGTCTCTAAGCTGGCAAACTACAGGAATCAAAGAGAATGAAAATTAATAAATACATGTCCAATTACAACTCATACAAAGAAGAATCAAGCTTCAATATTATAACTTATACTATTTTGCTCGATTCTTCATAAAAATATGAGTAACATTCTTTACACATAAATACATTTATATATAAAAATAAAAAGTTATTTCACCATTTCTGAATATTCGCTCATCCTATTCGCTTGTAATGATTCAGAGCGCTAAACTAAAATGCTCGCCAGACGGACAAATAACGAAATTTAAGGCCCTTTATTGCGATCGGAAAAAGTAGAATTTCACTTTTACAGACCCCTTACCGTTTTTACGCTTTCTGTAGACATTTTCAGATTGCAGACACGACAATGAGAATTACCAAAATGAAATTTTTGCACGGTAAAAGTAGTTCAACAATTTGGTTGCCACCGGACGCTGTACTGACAGAACTTGAATGAAAAAATGGGGACCGAAGCGACGAAGGCAGGTTATTTTCGCTTAAAACTTTCCGCTGGTAGCGTGCATGAGGGTAACATCATGGATTGGCTACAGCTATTAGTGCGAGCCAATAGAATTTAAACTCCAACGGAATGCAGTGTAAAGGCCTTTGGCCGAATGTACAGGAAGTGTTGTTCCGTTTAGGTGGGGGAAAACCCCCATTTGGGGGAGGTCGAGGCGTGGCAATTTGAACATAATATGCGATTCCTACTTAACCGACTTATTTACCCTTTATGATCAAATCTACACATTCATTCTTGCGCCGCCAATATTATCCGAACGTTTAACAAAATTTGAATTATTCGTAACTTATTATTAGTCTTGAAAAGTTGTCTAATGCAGATTTTCGTGTTCTACATATTTGCACGGGTCTTTGCCTTATAAGAAGTGGCAATTGATGTAAGTACGCGGCGCATTGATATTCTTAACGAATATCAGGACACGTCGATTAGACACGAAACCGTTATTAAACAAAAAATTACAATAGGAACAATGGATTTTATGGATCCAGACAACAGGTGATACTCGCGCCTCACCTTCAAGTTTTGGTTTGATAAAAATAATGTGTATAAAAAGATTCACCTTATCGCAGAAGTATTAGAAATTTTCCAAAACTTTTATTTCTTTTTCGATTAGATAAATAAATTAATATCATTCAGTTTCTGAAAATTTGGTCGATCTAGTTCGTCTTACGACGCTTTATACGAGTACGAGGCAAACAACTACTTTATTCATGAAATATTATCATATACAAGCATAGTTTTACATAATAATCATTATTTCACGGGTTTCATTTATTCACTATCACTTCCTTGTCGTCGTCGTAGTCATCGCAGTCATCGTCTTTGTCGTAATAGTGGTAGTTGTCGCAATCGTCGCCAATGTCATTAGATCGACACTCATCGTTAGCATAGTTAATTAATTCGTTACTCAAATATTAATTAGTGTATTATCAGTACGAACCCTTCGAACCGTTTCATTGATGTAAAAATTCTTCAAACTTTCACACTTCTCCTTCTATGGTAATTTATCAACATTAGTTTTCATTTTTAATAAACAATCGTACAATTATATCCTTAAGCAATTGTTTACCATAATTAGCGAAAAACAATTGCTTAATTGGATGTCTGTTGTGTAATTTCCTCCGATTTTTTTTAATAGACACAATCGTGTATAATAGGATAGCGTTATGAAAGAAACATAAAAATAGTTAGTGTGAACGGGGCGTAGGTGGTAGATGGTACGTGTGGGTGTGGGAGAGATCATAGCTCAGAAGGTCGATAAAAGGTCATTAGGGTAAAACGGAATTGATCCTTCATGAGTATCTCAAAAGGCGATATACAGAGCAGGGCTTAGTAATTCCAGTTTTGTACTCTTTTGAAGAATCTTCAGGCCTCGAGTACACTCATCTCCTTCTTCCTTCTTAACAGATTAAGAGTGTAACGGACTGTGTGCTGCTAATGATGCACCGTGCAATCCCACTGTTCCATTGAACAATTTGTACAAGATTCGGTATCAGAACAAAACATGAAAACTCGACACAAATAGTAAAAGCATACGCACATTGCATTTACCTCAATATAGTCATGATTCACATAAATATTATTCCATATTCAAACATGCATTGTACACACATATCTCGTATATTTTAGTTACAGTGTCTAATTTCCTATGGGATTCTCATCAGATGGAGGTCTATGTAAATGCTGCATCGAACGATAAAGGAGAAGGTTACATTGGAATAGAAAATTTGGTATCCTTTACATTAGCGAGCGTTCAATAAAAATTTGAGGTTTTTTGGGAAATCTCGTGGGACTGCAGCTTATCGAAAGCTCGTTCGTCAATTCGTCGAAGAAGTCTCGGAAGGCACCCGATAGGGGGTAAACGTTAATTCTTCGGATTTTTTTCGAGCTGTTTGGAAATTTCTTTCTGGGGAGACTCTCCCCATGATCTACGATGTTTCTGGGGCAGGATTATCAGGAATTGGGAGATGGGGAATTGGGTGATCTTACATTGGTTTTCTGGATGATGATTCACTTCGGAGGAGACTCTCCCCCTAATTCATAGGGATAATAGAAGCTATAATGGTGACGTTACGGGTTTTACTTCTCCTCGTCGGTATTCAGCTTTTCTTCTCGTGGCTTTGCACCCCCGTAGATTGAGCTGGATTTGCTCGATTCAGCTATTGCGTTTACAGGATCCGGAACTGTTCTCGGTGCCAGCACCAACCTTTTCCTTCCAGTGGTGTCTGTTGATTTTAATTGAACAATATTGAAAATCATGAAATAATCATCAGCATAAATTTATATGCATTTAAAAAATGTTTGACTAACCTGGTGGTGGTTCCTTGAGGAACGGTTCGTCCTGGAATTGCTTACGATCCGGAGCGGGACCTCGTGCAGGAGGTCGACCACTGTACGATCTTGCAGCACCGCCGCGCGGCCATTCTCGGCTGGTACCACCGGCCTCTTCGTTAAAGTTACCATAATTTCCACGGTTTCCTCTGACATCGCCAAACCCGCTGCCTTGTCTGCCGCCACCACCGCCACTACCACCGCCGTGAGCCCTATTATTGTAACCTGTATACATTATTAAAGAATTAAACTCAAGAGAAAAATTAAACTCTTTTTTCATTCAACAATTGTTATGGTGTCATTTTTCAAATTATATCATAGTATTGGAATGACATGACATAAACTCATTACCAAAATCATCGCCGCTAAATCTGCCTCTGAAGCCACTGCTACCACTACCGCCTCCTCCTGCACCACCACCACGTCCTCTTCTGTCGAATCCACCACCTCGATCGCTTCGTTTGTCCTCAGCCACATCAATTTTGATTATGTTACCTTCTACTTCTACCAGCCCATTCAACTTCAATGCCGATTCGAGGTCAGAAATATTATCAAACTCAACATAGCAGAAACCCTTAAACCTAAACGAGTTATATTAGTTATTTTGCCAATGTTCGAATTCTGTTTAAAAATATGCAAGCACAAACCTATCTGTGTCCCGATCTTTCACTAATCGAATTAACTTGACATTCTGGTTCTGAAAGATTTTGTCAACATCTCCTTGGACTACTCCATTTGGTAGATTTCCGACATATGCAGTATACGGTGGCTCAGTAGGTAATGGTTTTCTGCTGATACGATGTCCACCTCCTGAATAATCTCTATGAACCAAAAGAAATGTACATAAAATTTATGGTAATTCATAAACCCTTTAATATTATCACTGGTATAAAGCTTTCGTTTGACCCAATATATAAGTATATTGGAGCTCTGGGTAAAACTATAGAATACAACTTCTTCTTGAAGAATTACATATAGAAAAACTAATCAATCCATAGCTAACTTTAAGAAGGAGTCGTATTCTGCAATTTAGCTGAGCTCTGTATACAAAACAAAGTATTTATGACAGAACTTAAAGATCCTAACATCCATTTGGAAGGAAAGAGAACACTTGTGTCCTTGTGGGAACCAGTCTACTTAATATGAACGGTATTGTACAATTATACTAATGATCTCAAATGCCAAATAATAAGATCAACAATTCCACTTGTTACATTTTGTTAAATTCGAAAGGATAATCCTGGTGAGAGGCCGACGACTCGCGTGACTCTGTCATACCAGCAGAGAGATTTCTTGACTTGTGGATCAGTCGTATCAGTAAGTTCCAAGGGAATTCATAGCGAGATGGATATTCAAAGGACCGATTAATATTCGAAATTTCACCAGAAAATTTGTTCATTAAAATAATTACGAGAGTTACCCGGCGAGATATCGCCGGGCAAAATAAAGCCGCGTGCTCCCATGTCTCATGTCCGCAAAGTGCTGCGCTCCACTCGACCCCGAACTCACTTAACCTTAAAAGCAAGATATATACACGGACATGACCGTCTTCTCCGCAGCTCTATAAATCTGGAGAAATGTAGTGGCTGTTCTGTCGCGCGAAAATACACTGGATCCCGTACACTAGCGAAATTACGTTCGATACTTGCCTCGAGTCCTCATAACCACCTCGTCCAGCCATGTTGGATGCACGAAACTGGCCGGGACCGCGCGACGGCGCGACAGCGGCGACTCGTGAGTCGTGCAAGTCCCCGTTTTCAAGTTACAAAATGGCACCGAATGGCACTTTGTGCCTGCCGATCGTTCTTGATCCCAGCCAATTCCAGAAAATTTAAAGTAACGAGATCACTAATGCCGTTTATCACTTTCGTCAATAATCTTCTAATTTATAGCACCTGGATCCTTAAAATATAATGAAGTTTACCATACAGTAAATGGAAATCACGATTAACGATAAATAGGGAATTTTTAAGTAAATTAATTTGGCTTCCTATCACTTACCATTTACAACGTACATATTTCCGTCAGCACTTCTAAGTAAAGTAAGAAACAAAATTGCTTAATCAGTAATGATTCAGAATTAGTGTCAATTAAGATTGAAAATTGAATACTGTATTCACAAGAACCTACATACGTGATTTAACGTGTTTTCAGAATCATAGCTTTCTGCTACTGTAATCCTGTTTACTTTCAATGACTTACAAATAAACGTAAGATAGAGTAATAAAATGTAATCGTCGGTTCTAATGATGTGCAATCAAAACGGAAAGAGTTATTTGACAGAGAACTAGAATGTCATATGGAATGGAGTAAGTACAGCAGTCGGTAGGGTGGAAGCATGAAAAATAATGTAAGGAATGTATGATTATCAATTAAGCATTATGAACTTTGGTGTGTAATTTTATCTAATGGAATTTTTAAACTTTCAATTTCGAGTCTTTTTTTTCAAAAGAATCAAACCATTTGAAAACTATCTGAATTCTACTTACGTAGTTTCAAAGATGTTTTTTATTGGACACATTATGACGGCAGCCATATTGCAAATTGGCTGCTATTGGCTGATTGAGTCAAGTCGAGTCAAGTCGGGTCAACATGGTGGCTGGTGGGATGCACGTGTACGCACATGGTAGTGATGGTCAGATATCAGAATCATTGAAATAATTAAGATTATTCTTGATTGTACGAGAGTACCTCGTATTCTTTAGAATTATTGGGACTCTAAAAAGTGGGGAAAAATGAGTTCCACTGTTTTTGATAGCTTTACGAAGCTTACAAGAGAGAAAGTGCAAGAAAGATTGAATGGTGCTGGAACATTACTTAAATATATGTCCCAAAAAAATACGGTAAATCTTCAAATTAATTGATAGCAATAATGATTTTGAATTGATCAAGTATTTTATAATGTAAATAAGGTATTTATTTTCATTGAACAATGTGGCAGGAAGAAGATAAAGTTAAAGAACTAAAATATGCACTTAAACGGCTGGTGCGTGGTCTTGGATCTTCACGAGAATTTGCTAGGAAAGGTTTCTATTCTGCATTCACAGTATATCTGTCTATGAATTCAGACATTGAAGTATCCAAGATTATGGAAATTGTTGAGAGTGAACTGAGCACTGTCAACAGCAATACAAAGAGTGTAAGAGTTTATATTATTCTCTAATGTTACTTTAGCAATAATATATTTCACATGCTGTTGTGAACTTGCTATGTAAAAAAATGTGAGTAAATCCATTGTTTTTAATTGCAGGAAAATGCAGATATTAATATGGGACGCATATTAGCCTGTGGAGCATTGATACGCTCTAAAGTGCTTATTAAATTAACAAGCGATGAACAACTTAAAGTTCTGGAATGTTTAATAAAAGCAGGAAATCAACGTTCCTATCTCTCCTTCGTTTCAGTATCATTCATTCTTGATTTTGCTATACAACTTGATGAAGTAGCGTTTAAGACAATACTTTGGCCATTGCTGCAGACAGAACTTGGCAAATCATGGTCGGACCAAACCTTGGATACATTTTATGCATTGTTGGTTGTAAAGGAAAAATTTCCATCGGTAGTCAAAAACAAATTTTTGAGGCAATATTTGGGAAACGAACATATCATTTCATCAGATTCTATGAAAGATGTGGTAACGTTATTGAGTGTAAGTAAAATTTATTGTCAAAAGGAACTAATTTGACATCTGTAGGAATGATGAAAATAATATTAATACAGATTATATTATTTTTGTTTTTAGGACATACCCAGATTTAATTGCTACCAACATCCAGTATATGAAATCTTTTGCAAGAAATTGTGTGAAACTCAATATGTTGTTGAATTTTGGACAGGAATAGATCAACGGTTTATCAAACCATCAAAAAGCATAGAGCGTCTTGCTATAAAGATATTGACGTTGTTACTGTCAAATATTAAAGATAAATCTATACTTCCATCGTTATTGTCGACACATTTTCTTCAACATATGCTCAAAAGATTCTCTGGCTGCAAAAGGAGTAAGACCGATGAGATTGCTATTGCATTCAAGGAAGTGTTCACTGTTTTGATAAACATTTTAAATGATAAAGAAATCAAGTCGAAAACTTCTATAGGAGTATTGAAAAAATTATTATTTTATCCCGGTGATTTGATGATCGAAAAAATAACAAGCACCAAGATAATTCAAATGATTACTGCCAATCTGAATACAGAAGGGGTGAAGAAGTTGTCAAAACTTTACAGAGATATTGCAGTAAATGCTAAGCCTAAAGAAAATAGTGCTGGTATGGAACATTGGACAAATGCCGAAAGGGCTTATGCTGCTCAGATGCTAACTAGGTATATCAAATAAACGATGTCCAATTTATCCTCAAATAGAGAATCGTTCTCTTTCTAATTAAAAATGTTCGTTATTCTAGACTACTGGGACATTCGGTAATGAGTTCCGACCATGACTGGCGATTGGAGCAACTTCAGTTCTTGTTCTCCATTGGATTATGCGAGTCGCCAAATATCGGCACAGAACTAGCCCGTAATTATTTTATCCATGATAAGGTTTTAACTCGATATGTTTCTTTCTGTGTTCAAATTCTGTATTCTATCAATGATTCATTTATTTTACAGCACAATTTAAGGATACTTTTTATCGTGCTCTGGATCACAAGTTACCAAAATTAAGTGATTTGCGAGATATATTGAGTGCGCTTGTTCGCTATATTGATGAAGAATTATTTTTGAAAAATGCTTTGACATTAAGGGCACCCTTGACGGATTCTGTAAAGAACGTGTGGAAAGATACAATGATTCTAATTAAAAAATTGGAAAAAGACTCAAAGAATGAAGCTGCAGCTGCAATATTTCATACACTGGATTTACATATGGCGTTGCAATTATTTACTGAGTCGGAGATGGCAGTTTCTTGTATTAAGGAATTGGATAGTTGCTATGAAAGGTTATCCAAAAAAAGATCGAAGAAGACAAAAAAGACAGAAATCGAAGACAATAACGAACCTGAATGGGTTGAAGTTGTTGTTGATCTCTTATTGTCATTACTCTCGAGAAACAATCATCTACTACGGTCACTTGTTGGATGTGTTTTTCCTCACATGTGTACCTTCCTAACAGCTAGCTCCATTCATCAAATTTTGGATGTTAGTGAAAACGACATATATTATATCTATCATCTTATTATACTAATTCTTTAAAATATTTTTTGATTTTCAGGTATTGGATGTAAAAAATGTCAAAGGTCCTTTGACTAGCAACAAAGGTGATAATGATGATGACGAGGATGACAACGACGATAGTGATGACGATAACGATGAGTACGAAGAAGATTCATCGGTGGAGGAATCTGGACCCAATGAAAATGGAAGAGTTGAGGATGACCATGATGATAGCGATGAAGATCATGATGACAAGGATAGTGATAGTGATGATGATGATGACAGTGAGGCAGAAAATGGTAAAGAGGATCTTAACGACAGTGACTTAGATATGAACGAAAACGACGCAGTGACAGACAGATTGAGAATGGCTGTACGTCAAGCCCTCGGTGATGCTTTGGTTCAAAGTGACGAAGAGGACATCGATGTAGATCAAATCGATGATGCTGAAGGCAAGAGACTTGACGAATCTTTAGCGGCAGCATTTAGGATTTTACGAGAAAATCGTAAAAACAAGTCGAAGAAGCAAGAGAAAAGCGCTGAGACTTTAACACATTTTCGAATTCGAGCTATCGATCTGTTGGAGGTTTACTTGGATTCCAGTCCTGTTATGGCTCTTGCTCTCGATATGTTGGTGCCCCTCTTTGCCCTCCTAGAATTTTGTATAAAGAATCCACATGAGAAACCATTAGAGAATAGAGTGAGAGCTTGCCTAAAGAAATTATCATCGGTTAAAAAGTTTAAAAATACGGACGATGTCGATGAACTACTTTTTACGGACATATTAAAGGTGAGACAAATACAAATTATTTTAATATGAGTCTTTATTTTCATAGAACGTAGATATAAAATCGTGAAATCTAATTGACATATGTATAAAGGTGTTAATAGAAAAAGGTGAACGGTCAGCTTCCGTGTGTCAAGAAATGAGCGACAAATTGGCAGAGTGTTGTACCTTCCTGGTTAGATGCATTCAGCAGGCAAACATATCCAGCGATAAAATAGCAGAAATTTATACTGAAAACTTAATAGCATTCTTCAGGAAGAGAGATTGCGTTTTGCCTGCTATTCTTTTCAAAAGCATTTTGCAGCTACGTTGGGACGGGAATTGGAAACTAGCACCTATTCTTGTAAGTTTCGTGCTGCATGATCTATCATTTCTCTTTCTATTTTTAAAATCATATTTTAAAAAAACGAATATTGTTATCATTTAGGTGGATTTTTCTTTTGACCCTGAAATACGATCGTTCAGAAGAAGTCAGGCCCTCGAGTTTCTGGGGATATTCTTCCGTAATTATAGACTGATTCGATCGAATGAGAAACATACCGAGATCAGATTAAAACTCGAAAAGAAATTGTACGATAGTAGTATTACTTTTCTCGAAAATTTAAGTATTTCCGGCGTAAGGGAGAATGAACACTCCACACCGGATAAAAGTGTTAAGAGCATTAAGGACGGCAGTCAGAAATTTGCTTCTTTACTTTTTGCATTGATACACACGATACAACCACATCACTTACCTAAAGTTTGGAATTGGAAGGCTTTTGCCGATGCTTTGACAAAATACAGAGCCAACGTATCACTGTCTACTGATGCCAAAAGTGCCTACAATAAACTGGCTGCACAAATTGGACTGCCTACTAACATGTAAATATATACACATCTATATATTTCTTCAAAATTTGTAACAAGTTGTAACAGGGAAAACTCAAATTTTTCATAAATTGAAAAAGAATTTTTAAAAAACATTAGGCAATACTGTAAAACTTGTTTATTTATACGTGTCTAAGTTAAGGTTTCATTTAATTGATTTAATATATTCTCGAAAATTATTTTTAGAACAAAAAAGAAGGATAAGAAAGAGTGTCCAGCACCAACTAACGGAAATTTATCCGATGGTGAGGAGGCTGTTGGGATAGTTAGACAGGAAAGTCTTCCAAAGCATAACATAAATAGCAAAGATTCAGAAGATACGGCGAAGGATTTGAGAAAAGAAGAAAAGAAGCGACGGAAGATAAAGAGTAAACAAAAAAATAAGCAGAAATTGAAGAAAGAGGCCCGTGAATTGCGTGCAACAGTCATGGCTGACGGTTTTGAACCGTTGAATTTTAGTTCTGCAGTTTTGACTAATGGTAATATAGTGGACTCTTCGGATAGCATGGATGGTGAACATGATGTAAATGGTGCCACGGGAAGAAATGATAGAAATCCGAGGAATTCTCATGTCAAAAGATCGTTGCCGGAAGACTTGGAGGGGGCGACGAGCAAAGCAAAGAAAAAGAAGAAGAAAGACCCAGGAAATAAACAATAGAATAATAATAATAATGTATTGTAAAACAACGCTTTCATGTTGCGCGATTTCTTCTTTTTATATATGTATGGAATTATGTACATAACATAAGTGACCCTATTCCGTACGTAAATACATTACAAGATAAAACGATCAAGTTGCCTGGTAAATAATTAAAATTATTTTTAGTGGATACGTATATGTATACAGTTCACGGCTAATTATGCAACTCTTTTTTTCTCTACACTGCTTTTAGCATGTTTATAAGCCTGAGAATAGTGCTTAGTATTAGTAATTTCCAACAGTATGACAATGATGTATACTGGTAATTTTCTTATTTTAATTAATTTACCGCGATTTCGACTAATATATCATTAAATGTTTACTGAAATCTAACGCACAAATATTTTGTCCTTTGTGCGTACGGCTTTATTCGTCCTTTCATTCAAATTGCCCGAGCTGTAAATCAATTATAGCTCTTGCCTTCTTTCGGCTTCAGTATCTGATTGGCTAAACTCAGTCATTTTCGTTTCGTCACACTGAGCACTGAGGCGCTTTGTAAAGTAGTATACATGGAAATCGGATACATGAAAATCTTCATTGAAGTTAGAATATGGGAAAAGCTTTTTATTTAAAAGACAGTCTGTAAAATGACCAGGAAATAAGTCTTTTGACAATAACGTACGATTAACTTTGTTGTATAATATTGTTGTATAATGAATATAAATGTGATTTTAATAATATAGATTAGTGACTCGCCACGTTTATTTGTAGGAAGCCTGTTAAACGGAATTGAGGTTATACATATCACCACGCGGTAATTACAACTATTATAATTTTTATTAAATGGCTTACGTTTAAAGAATTTTATTTAACGACATATTAACTAAGAAATTAGATAAATTAGTTATTATAATTTGTTATGGAAATGTTTCTTTCATTTGAAAAATTGAGTTCCATGACACAGGATTTCCAATTAATGATTTAATAATTTCTTTTTTCTTGCAGATGAAGAATAATTCAGTAAATGATGCCGGCATTGACAGCGGCACTAAGTGGTATGAAGAGTTTCCAAAGGGTGAAGCACCCTACAAACATACAAAATCAGAGGTGGAAGTCTTAGACTTGAAATCTGAAGCAAAGAAGTGCTTGGATGCAGAAACGGCTGCATTTCAGTTAAAGCAGTCAAAATCACGCGATTCAGAAATTTTGTGGCTTAAAACTGCTTTGTCTCGTGGCACAAGTTCAGATAAAATTGCTGCTAGTGTTGTACTTATACAAGACAATCCAAAATATAATCTTTCACGATTATTATCAATTGTCTCTCAAGTTCGTGCTGCAAAACAGAATCAGTGTATTGCGGTCATTAAGTCATTGCAAGATCTGTTTTTGTCAGATTTACTACATCCTAATTTCAAGCTACTCAAATTTGAGGAACAGGATTTAGATTCACTAGTGAATATTGATACATTGAATAATAAGAAAAACAAATCTCAGTTGGAAATTAAAAGAAAGAAATTACTTGCGCACTGGTATTTTGAAGATCAGTTACGAGAGCAGTACGAACGTTTTGTTACATCACTGTCTACTATTGCATCAGATACAGTAGATACAAATCGTGAGAAGGCAGTTGTCGCTATGGCAGAGTTGCTCACAGCTAATGGTGAACAAGAGCAGAAACTCTTGGAGTTTTTAGTGAACAAGATAGGTGATCCCAGCAGCAAAGTTGCATCAAAAACTGTATTCTCATTAGGAAAAGTCCTGGAGGAGCATCCGAACATGAAACTCATTGTATTACGAGAAGTAGAAAAATTGCTATTCAGAAAGAATGTAGCACAACGTGCACAGTACTATGCCATATGTTTACTTACGCAAATGGTATTAGATCGTGAGGACAAAGAAATAGCTACAAACTTGATAGATGTGTACTTTGCATTTTTCAAAGCTTGTCTTAAACGTGGTGAGCCTGACAGCAGGATGATGGGAGCAATTTTAACAGGTGTCAATCGTGCATATCCATTTTCTAATATGGATACAAATAATTTACGTAACCACATTGACTCTGTTTACAAGGTGGTGCACGTTGGTTCTTTTAACGTATCACTGAATGCGTTAAGCCTTTTGCATCAGGTAATTATACTGATTACAAATAATGAATTAAAAAGCAGTAAACATGGAAAGAAGTATAAGACTACATGTTGTTATTTCCCAGGTTGTTGGCAAGGATTCCACTCAAGCGGATCGATTTTATTCAGCATTTTATCGAAAACTTATGGATCCTCAGATTGGAGTGTCTAATAAACGCGCGGTTTTTTTGAATCTACTATTCCGTGTACTTCGAAGTGATCCAAGCGTTATACGATTACATGCCTTTATTAAGAGAGTGCTTCAAGTCTTGACGTATTTCCCGGCAAACATGGCTTGTGCGACTTTGTACGTGGTATCAAAAGTTCTCCAAGTTCGTAAGGATGCGAAACAGATACTTGGTCCGTTATCAACAAGGGTTAAAGCGGAAGCGGCATCGGAATTTGAATCGTCCGACGTTACCACAGAACCAAGCTTATCTAAAATGAAAATTCAATTGGAGAACGATAATGACGTTAAAATCATGACTGAAGTGAATCCTGCGATAGACTCAATAATGCTCTCAAATTTGAAAGTTGAAGCAGCAGGTAAAGAAAAGCATGAAAAGGATATTGGAATGGTGGATTCCGTTAAGGAAGAAAAAGATAATCTCCAATTCTACGATCCCTTCGCCCGTAATCCTCTTCGTGCCGGAGCCTACCACGGCACCTCGTGCGCTGAACTCTTGGCGCTTACCTCTCATTTTCATCCGAGTGTTGCACTTTTTGCAACTACCATAATTCAAGGTATGCGTAAAGGGTATTTATTTTATATCCAATGCTCAGAATGAATCATTAAAATCTATATCGTTCATAAATTTAAATTTTAGGAAAGCCCATCGATTATAGTGGAGACCCACTAGAGGATCTTACACTAATTCGTTTCCTAGATAGATATGTCTTCAAAAATCCAAAAAGGTTGGAAAAGAAAAAGCTTGTGAAGAAGAATGATCCTCTCGCTCACCGTGCTGCGTATACTCCGAAAGGGATGCGTTCGATCCCAGTTGACAGTATGGCCTATATAAATGAACGCGAAGAGCGCATTCCTGTTGATGAGTTCTTCCTCTACAGTTACCTTAAAAATAAGAATGAGTTGCGAAATGGTGAATACTTTAAGAAAGAGAAAGAGGAGGACGAGGATAATGAAAGTGTAAATAGCGAAGAGTTTAATGTCATGTTGGATAACCTTGGTAAAGAAAAAGATTTTGATGAATTAGACATCGCTGGTGACTTTGAATCTACCAAGATTAACAGGAAAAGTACGAATTTAACTAGGCTCACGAGTTATGTTATTTGAATTTACGTATGACATAACATTTGCAATATATTTATTATTTTTACAGAAATTGTTGATGAAAGTGACGATGAGGACGAGGACGATGACGATGACGATGACGAGGATGACATTGATGACGACCTCATGGATGGGGAAAGTGACGTTGATCTTGAGGATGTAAATGAAACTGATGAAGATGGTCTTGATGATTTATTGGAAATGGATGACATTGATGACGAAGACCTGAGCGACATTGACTTTAATGATTCTGATGATGAAGACGGCGTCGAGAAAGAGATGCTTCGTAGCAAAGCAAAGTCTTTCAAGAAGAGTAGTAAAGATATCGGCAAGAATTCAAAGAAGAAGAGTAAAGGCTTGGACGAAAATGTCTTCATGTCAGCTGAAAAATTCGCAGAGATGCTCGAGGAGCAAGGACGTTCAAAGCTTAAGCATGGTGGCACGAGCGAATTAAGTAATGCAGATGGAGCTAGTAACAAACAACTGGATTGGGAAATGGGTAGGGATCAGCGACTCAAAGGAAATTATAACAGAAACAAGAGAAAAGGTGCCGCAGCTTCGAAAAAGAGAAAAGGTGTAAAAAGATTTAAGCGATAGAAATTCCAAAATATATATTGCGATAAGTTCCTTTACTATTGCCTAATTGATTAAATCCTCTGTTTTTGGTAATTTTATTAAGATACTAAGTTATTGGATTTTAAGTAAATTTTGCATTCAAGAGAGAAGAAATGTATTTATGATGTGTCGACAAAGCGTTAACAACAGTTTTTGTGTTACATATTGCATTACAAGGTTTCTAATGAGTAATGAAACATGTATAAAGTATTCAGAAACAAAATAGGATCAACTTAAAAGTAATTATATCGCTTTTCGAACACAAGTCATAATGCTAAAGTTAAAATACATATTAAAATTTAGTACTTAGCCCCCTGACAAGGACAGAAAGCCACTCAAGGATCTCAAAGAACATTTATTTGAGTTTCTATTATTAGGAGAAGACAGAAATCAGAATAAAAATGTTATACATAGGAGTTCAATGTTTTTAAATATCAGACATTAGAGCTTTGCAACATGAAGCGAATAGGTCAAGGATAATACGCTACGCTGTGACACGTTGATCGGAAAATAACGCAGATTTTTAAATCTTATTCGTTTTTATTATTGAAACAGCAAGACAAAATATGTCGTAACGTATATCATGTATTAATAGATTGTGTAACATGAAAATTCAGATTGTTACTGTTTCCTTACAAAACCATTACGATCTATCATATATCGAGCTAACATACTATATCTCTGTTATTGTTCTCGAAACGTAAAAAAGTGCTTCGCCTCTCCGTAATCGTTGAAATGTGTTACCACCAAGGAAACTTAAAACTCAGAATATCGTTATCACACGTCATAGGAGTGAATTACCTTCGCCGCATTCGATTACGAAGAACGCATGCGGTTACCTGTATCAGAAAGTTACTCACTATTCCGCCTCTTGTTTTGCCGAGCTTTCCTCGTCATTTGTGGGACTGTGCCACGTTAATCTCTCTTCATAGAATCTGATCACGATTTGCGGACACTTTTCGTTGGCAACTCGTGAAGGCACCAGGTCCGCGTCATCAGTTCCTTTCCACTTCATTAAAAACATTAGTTCACCGCTTGAATCAGTGGCCCCAATGATACGCTCTGGTTCCAGGTTCCTGTCGAAACCTTTAAACAGAAATAAAAGACATGCAGATTAAAAATATTGCATTTGAATACATCTCACTAAGTCAACTAGAGAAGCGTGCCTAGAGTCGGTGTTAAAACTTGTGGAAGGGTATTATTAGGGATAAATGTCCACCTTCTGGTTTCTTCTCCTCGGGAACCTTCCTCTTAGTTTGGGTTGGAGTTGGTGTGCTAGAACTTTTGCGTTTCTTTTGATCCTTTTCATCATGCTTTTTGCTGGTTGTTGCTGCTTCCTTCTTTTTTCGTTGTTCTTCGAATTGTGCAATCAGATCAGGACAATCTAAATTCTCTTCAGGCTCCCATGTGTTATCCTCGTTTGAGTATCCTTTCCATTTGAGAAAATATTCCACCTTCGAAATAACATAATGTCGCAAATTTAACCTATATGGACACTGTTGTCATATAGCAATTTAGGTTTGTAGAAACAAAACTGCTTTAAAAACTACTTTACCTTGCCCTTGTTGATTCTTCTATCCAGTACTTTCTCCACACTGAACTCCTCTTCAGTCTCACCCTCAACCATTGGAGATTCTTTGGATTTGCTCATTGCCCTATAAAAAATGAATTTATCGTTTCTTGCGTTGAATGGAAGACTGTTTAAGAAGCTATAAGCACGTTTCGCACTATAGAACTACTATTATCTATGCTATTAACAACCGGTATCACTGCTTCTTGGAACGTCACTAAATGCGCGCCAAAATCACAGTTAATTCTTATTATCCGATTACAAAACGAAATGCGATTGAGAGTACATATTTTAGTAGAAGTCCATGTGTAAGCGACTCTTAAAATGTGCCTTAATCTCCGTAAAATACTGAACAATTTGTAAAAAACGAAAAAAAAAGATACGTAGAAATCACATTTGCAAAAAACCGTTACTTGGGTATCGTAAATTTACAATTTTAGGAGGGAAATCATATTAATTAACCTTGAAGTACTTTTCAAGAAGCACAATAGTAGTACATACGACAAGAGAATACACGCAATATTACCTCATTTCTTCACCACGATAAAAAACGTTAATCAGTTGAAAGTATTAAGTATGAGTAGGAGCCGAACGTAAGTAAAATGTTAGGCAAAATGGCGGTACAATGCGGCCGGAAGACAATGTCTGTTTTTGACTTTCTTTCTCCCAAAAATAAAAAGAATGCCTGCTCTAATTATTTGAAACAAATATCACTGTCTTATAATTAATATATACTTACGGCTTTTTTTTATGATACTTCAGTTTTAATTAGTGAAGACTCATCAACTGCCACACCAATAGGCTTCGACTCTACGCTTTCAAGCTTCTGTTTGCTTCTGTTTATTCGTTTGGCGTCATAGCAGCTTGCCGCGAAAAACGTGGATTCTTATTGGTCCCTTCATGCCTATTCGTTTCAATGACAACAAAAGCATAAGTTTCAAAAATTTCTATAACACGGCATATGTTACAATTAAAACTCAAAGTTTTAATGTCATAAAAATAACTCGCAACTTTTCATACATTCGACATAAAATATTAATATTTATAAAGTAAGGGGTTTTTTTCACTCAAGTGGTAATGCTGGTAATCATAATTCATTTTCTTTAAGTCAACTTTTCATGTTTACGTTTTGCATCGAAATAAATTTGTTGATGCTGTTAGCAATGATGGTACATTATGTTTTGCCTTTAACCAGCGAATGAGCCAACAGTGCTTTTTCTATTCTTTCAAAGAATACACGTGATTGGCTAATTTTATTTAAATTGGTCCTACCGCTCAACCAATAGTAATAAACAGATAGTGAGCCGCCATAACCAGAAGAAATAAGCCGTAAGAAGTCGTAAATAAATAGCCTCTACTTTTAAAGTATATAAGCTTCCGGAGACATATTGTCAAATGTATTATAAATATATATCGTAGGAAACATTTTACAGACGCACTAGGTTGGAATGTTAAATTTTTCAGATCAAGCTCTTTTCTTATAGAAAAAGACCGGTCGAACAATTCTTGTATTATCAACAATAGAAAGCAAGCTTAAAATATTCTAACCTATGATCCAAGATAGTGCCCAATCGTTTATGTATTAGCTACTATTAGGAAGTGTCATTTAAACTTGACAATTGTTAAAGTGAATGTTCAGTTTTAGAATTCTTAATCTTAGTGTCGTCTAACAGCTATTTTAAAGTTTGCATCTGCCTCTGACATTGGATCCACATTTATTCTATTTACACCATTCAATTATAATCGTGCGTATTGAATGATAATATGGTATTCCACAGAACGGTTACTTAATATCATTTTTTAACACAATTTTGTCAAGAGAGAGCTTCTTTGAATAGTATATTGAGTATCCTGTATCTAAAATTCTAGGATAGACTTAGATTTGAATTTTGTATTGAATGCTCAATTTTGTCGAGGTGAAAGGAGTGTAAATATGAGTTCTCAGCAAAGTCCAGCAGCTTTGCAAGTCACTGCTGATCGTGAGAAGGTTTATACATGGATAATCGAATTGTCAAATCCAGAGACTAGGGAAAATGCTCTCTTGGAGCTTAGTAAAAAACGTGAGGTAGTACCTGATTTGGCACCCATGCTTTGGCATTCGTTTGGCACTGCAGCTTCGTTGCTTCAAGAAATTATTAACATTTATCCAGCTATTAATCCTGCGACACTTACTGCTCATCAAAGTAATCGGGTTTGCAATGCACTGGCTCTATTGCAATGTGTTGCGAGTCATCCTGAAACGAGATCTGCCTTCTTACAGGTAAAATTTGTGGACTATGATGTTTTATAAGTTCCTCTTTCATTACAATAGCTATGTTGATAACTAATTTTTTAAAAATATTTTCAGGCTCACGTTCCACTTTTTCTGTATCCATTCTTACACACTGTGAGTAAAACACGTCCTTTCGAGTATCTGCGTCTAACAAGTTTGGGAGTGATAGGTGCTCTGGTCAAGACAGATGAACAAGAGGTCATTACGTTTCTCTTAACCACAGAGATCATTCCTTTATGCTTAAGGATCATGGAGAGTGGTTCGGAGTTGAGTAAAACTGTAGCTACATTTATCCTTCAAAAAATCTTACTGGATGACAGTGGTCTTTCATACATTTGCCAAACCTATGATAGATTCAGTCATGTTGCCATGATTTTGGGAAAAATGGTTTTATCATTGGCAAAGGATCCATCAGCGCGATTACTGAAACACGTTGTTCGTTGTTACTTGAGGCTCTCAGATAATCCAAGGTTTGTATAAAACAAATTACTGTCTCCTCTCCCTACCTCTTATAATAATGTACATTTTTCTAAACTTTTTTGTTTTCCACAGAGCATTACTAGCACTGCGTCAATGCTTACCAGATCAATTGAGAGACAATACATTTGTCACTTGTCTGCAAGAGGATAAATCAACGAAGCACTGGTTAAATCAACTGTTGAAGAATCTGGAAACGGGACCTCAACCTGGACCTCCGAATCAACCGGGTCAACAGGATCCACGAACGATTGGCATGTCACCCCTAACATCATAAATATTCTTTCACTGTACAGATACAGATACATTCTGCAGCATCATGTTGAAATTAATAGCCGACAAAATGCGATGTCAATGCTGTTTGTCTAGGTATTCACTCCGCGGAGATAAGGCCAATTTGTGTAGTGAGCGAATTTAGAAATTGTCGCCTGTATTGTTGAATTTCGTATGAATTGAACCACGTACCCATCTTTTTGAGACTTGAAGTAGGTTTACGTGATACTTAGATAGGTCTGCTACCGATTTATTATCATTGTACAATAAGCAATAGAAGGATCTACTTAATCTCGGCTCAACCAAGAGACGAATCTATGATCATCAGATCGTCGTCGACCATACCGGATATAATAGCACGTACATGTATAACGCAACTAGGAAAGAATCAAATCTTTGTGCGATCTTCAATTGGTCTTGGAAATTTTGATAGTATATATAACAACCTGATGAAGATATCGAATGAAAACACCATGAGATCAACTTAAATGATGGAGACTAATTATCTTTTATGTATGATATAAAATTAAAGATTAATGTAAGATACATTAGGATATGTTGTCAATGCGGAAAGCACCTGCTGTCATTTGTACAGAATTCAAATACTCTTCCCGTTTTGACATTTGTGTGTACATAACTTTATTTGTTAAATTCGTTTATGCGATTAATTTCACTGTAGCGTTTCGTCAAACTTTTCCTGATTTACGTGAAATAAAAAAAAAAAGAAAATACAGAATTAACTTCCAAAGAAATTGTCAGAAAGATGGAAGTCTGTATCAAAAAAGGAAATCGGGCTAAGGATACTAGTAGTTTGGATTGATAGATAGAAGTTGACACGTGACTTTTTTAAAATGTCACTAATACCGAAGCAAATAGTAGCAAAGATAAGTATATTTTTCTGGATCTGCTTGATCACACACCTTCCTTAATTGTAATTTTTGCATTAGAGAGTACGGTGGAAAATTTCCTTTCCTACATTGGCGTAAAAGGGAAGAAGGGAAAAAGCGAATTGTGAAATTCATACTTCTTTGTACATGCTCTACTTTAGATATAGTGATACTTATACGCCAAAAAAAAACGATATTTTTAACACTAATTTGTTTCCATAAGAAAATATTAAAAAACGCATCATGGACGCATCAAAGTTTTTCTGAGTAAAGTCCTTTCGACTTATGAAAGCAGTCGAATTTTTGTGTCTTTCTATTAAGTCGTACAACAGGCTTGTTTACCTCGCCTGCACTAGCGAATAATGACATTTTAGAATTCTGAGGTTCTTACGTCATCACTTCGTTTACGTGTGTGTTGATGAAAGAAGTGGAACAGCAATGACAAATTATAACGTGAAAGTGATCACTGATCAGTGATGTCTGTTGAAAAGAAAAAAGGAAAGAAGCAGTATATTGTGGATAGTCCGAGTGTGTGATAAAGGTGTGTAATTCGCGGTAGTATTTTAAAGAATGCCTACAATTTAATTTCCTTAATTTATACTAATGAACGAGTGATAATTTTAGCCCATTTGTATGGTGTTGCTAATGGATACCCTATGAGCTGACGAAGAGAGATTGAGAAATTGTAAAATACAATAAGTATACTGATAAGACATGTGTTATCCATTACAAATTAATTTGACATGCTAATCTGACATCTCTCACGGGGCTTCCGAGGAAAAATGAAATACAGAATGGGATGCTGCTATGATAAGTCGACTGTCGGAATTTAAAGGTATTACTGAAAAAATTCGTTTAACTCTTTTACATGGATTTATTTAACTTTTCATGAATTTCGAGGCGAATATAGATTCGCACCGACTTCCGGCTCTATCTTGTGCAGTTCCGTGCTATTCTGAAACGGAAATACGTATTTAGATGCAAAGTCGAAGCGAACAGAAGTGAACAATGAAATGAAAATGTAAAAACTACTGACCGATTTTTTAAAAGTGCGAAGGTCCAGCATTTTGTGTATAACTGGTGTATACAATTTCTTATCTTCTGGTTTATATTTATTCGGTCCCGTTATCCAGGACACGACAAGTCCAACGACAATTGCGGTGAGGAATCCGACCCACGTATACCAAAGATATGACATTCTATATAAAAAGAATGGTTGCTCCCTGTAAAGACAGGCTGCGATTAGCTCATCGATTAATGAAATTTCCAAGTTGGTTAAAACTTGCGAGAATGAAAAGAATCGAAATTTTTTACTTGACAGCATTCTCGACTATCAATGTCAAGTTCGCTGCTGAGGATCTCAGGGGTTCGGAACAGCCATCTACCGAGACGGGTTTCACCGGGAATCTGATTATTCCGTTAGAAATAGCAGCTTGAGTGCCAAGTGATATCCAGGCTACCAGGTTCACGCTGAGAAGGCCGCCTACGAGAGCACCCTGTTCTCCAACAATAAGGCGTTCTTTTCGTTCAGTTAAATAGCAAAGTTCCATCAAGTACGATAGAAAAGTTTAGTGTATTAGAATTTCAAATTAAGCCAAGTTTCCCGGCAATGGTTTAAGTCAAGAAAACGGAATATACTTAAGACTTGTTTCAAAGCTAACTGAATTTCGATATTGGCTGGTGAATAAGATGTACATATATCTAAAGAAAGTTTAGCAGCAGTTGGAAATGCGTCAAAGCAACTTGGTAAATCGGGCGAGTACTATGAACTTAGAAATGTTCAGTTGACATTTGTGGCATTTTAATTAGGAACGTACGTACGTTTAGTACGTTTGTATTACATTTTCGTATTTCTTTCAAAGTGTTTCATTCTATTTTTTAAATTAACATGTCTTCAGTTGACATACATTAGTAGATTTGGACCAGACTAGATGAAAGTTATACGTTATTACTAAAGGTACATTCACAAGCCAATGTGCATGACGGAGGTGACTCGAATACTTGTGTTTGAATGCTTTATTCTTTAAATTATAGCTATTCTTACCGCGGAGTTTGCATACGGGAAAAACATGCCAAGGGTGAAGATTCCAAGTAGTGGCCCAGCCGTAATGCCAGATAAGCTTTTCCCAGCCTGATAAAAGAAGAAATTTATAGTAAATAAAGAAAAGATTGTAACATATATACCTATATATAAACGTATAACCTACGAACTAATACTGTCAAGCTTTTTAAGTTCTAATCGACGGATCAAATTCCCTTTGTACTTTTTTCTGGTTATACCTGTATGAGCCCACTGAGCTTCTCAACGAGGAAAACAAGTCCGACGCAAACTGCGCCAATCAGGACGACAGTCAGTTTCATGATTCTACTGGCAGCAACTTGGCCCATGGGTTTCTTCAGCAATGGTTTTATCATGTCCTCGTAGATGACACCGGACATGGAATTTAACCCAGTGGACATGGTGCTTCAAAACAAAAGAGAGAGAGAGAGAGAGAGAGAGAGAGA